CGTCCGCAAGGCCGAATGCTGTCATGTCTTCAGCCTCGCCCGAGGTGATGGACATCACCAACATGCTGAACAACAAAGGCGGCATGACTCACGGACTCGGTGGAGGCATGCCCGACCACCATCACCACCAGCATCACCTTGGCCTCGTTAAGCACGAGCCTACGATGGACCGATCAGCCTCTCCTCACATGTCTGAGCATTCTTCCTACTCCGCCCACAGTCTGTCTCGCGCCTATCCCTCACCAACGGCCATGCAAGCCCCCATGCAAATGCAGAACCCTATGCATAGTGCAATGCAGATGGGTGGCTTTGCTGATATGTCTGGGATGGGCGGCGTGCCCAGCATGGCTATGCATCATATTCCGCAGCAGCCACCACAGCAGCAGCAGTCTCCCGCCGCTCCTGTTAAAGCCTATCCCTGCAGCACTTGTGGCAAGGGCTTCGCTAGAAGAAGCGACCTTGCCCGTCATGGTGAGTCCGGGTGCTGTTGAGACTGATAACTCAAAGAGACCACTGCTAACATGTTGATTTACAGAGCGTATCCACACAGGTGTCAGGCCTCATGTCTGCGACTACCCCAAGTGCAACAAGCAGTTCATCCAAAGATCTGCTTTGACTGTTCACCAACGAGTCCACACCGGGGAGAAGCCCCATCACTGTGAGACTTGCGCCAAGGTAAGCTAGTTATCAGCGTTGAGCTCTTTGCTCTTTCAGAAAAAACAAAGCAAACCCCGCTAATTCGTGACATTGCAGCCATTCAGTGACAGCAGCTCTCTGGCTCGGCATCGAAGAACGCATTCAGGAAAGCGTCCTTACAAGTGCCCTTACGCCGACTGCCAAAAGACATTTACGAGGCGCACTACTCTTACCCGGCACCAAAACCACCACACGGGAACTATCGAAGAGGCTGCGGCGGCTACTGCGGCGGCACTCGCGGCCTCAAGGGCCAAGAACGGTGGCCAAGCTCGCTCCGACGGCGACCACATGTCCAGCCACGGCTCTCCCCTGACGACCCCGTCACCCAGCCATCACACCATGATGTCTCCTGCCCTGGACCTCTCGGGATCCAACGGGCTCAACCGACATGCCGAGTTCCAGTACATGACACAGAGCGGCACGCTGCCTCCCCACCTCCGTGTGGGCAGTCCTACTTCGACGACGTCGGCTGCCAGCTACAACAACGGGATTCGGCCAACCTCGCACCCTACCGGCTACGGTCCTCCTCCCACGCTGGAGCCCAACTTGGAGCAGCACCCGGCAGGAACTGGAAGCGCAGGTGGCAGTCCTCACATGAGCCAGGTTGGCTGGCAATCCCCCCAAACCCACTCGCCATCTCACAACGGCGGCAGCTACGTCTACCCCGACCCTGATGGCTACCCACCCAACCCCTCGATGAGCCAGATGTACTACGGCGCACCACAGCAGATGCGACGGCCGCAAAGCACCGAGCCTGGTCTGGTACACATGGCTTAGTAGGACTCAATACCATTGATGAAAGCCGAGTGCTTGCTGCCTGATGGCTCTTTCCCATGATGACTTCAACATTGACACGCACATTGCTGTAAACCAATTTCCTAACTTTTACATCAACCACGTACACGACTATTTTTGCCGGCTTGGCAGCGCAGAGGCCGGCTATCTGTATGCACTGGGGCTGACTCTGGGCCTTGGCTGCTCTCTCTTTATCTCTCTCTCCTCGTATTTCCTTTATTTTCATGTTTGTTATTCTCTTCATATAGACTTTGGGCGATAGACTGGCGGACCGGAATCTTGACGATCATGGACTGAGCGTTTTTCATTTGACACGACGCCGGCAGGGGAGGAAAGACTGGAGTTTATAAGGAGGGGTGGAAGGGCACCAAGTGTGTTTGCTTGCTCGTCTTTTCTCTTTTTTTTTTCTGGGTGGCATACAAGACGGGCTGGGAAACGGAAACAAGATATAGACGGCGGGAGAGCTGTCCACCTCTCTTCGATGACGCATTTTCCTTGGCTGTTGGCACAAATTATTTAGACAAGGGCGCTCAAAGCGCACCTCTTCGCGAGAATTGTACGGATATACATTACGGAATACGCAGTGACCAATTGTACACGAGACGTGACCTGCTTCTTTCTTCTCTTCTTCTTTTTATTTTTTTTCGTTTTGTGATCAGAGTAAACTTTCAGCTTGTGATGCCCGACTAGCCGTTGTAAAAGTCGTCCATGTGAAGTGTGATGAGGGAAAGGAACCAAGTGAGCCGATATGACGTTGCAAAAGGAGGAAGCAGGGCGAGGGGCAACGCGAGAGGCCGCGACGCTATAATTTATGATTAGTCGTCGAGCCTTGTTCGGGCGGGCAACGAGGAGCCAATCCGTTGCGCAGGGAATGATGCTGGAGAAGGGGTGGGATGATGCGGATGTGACCGCTGACTGGCACGAAGTGAAAACGAGTTTTGCAAGAATTGGGTAGAGAAAAGGGGAAAGAGAGAAGAGAAAGAAAGAAGTTGGTTTTTCTGGATTGGGGTGGATGTTGGATGGTTTGGGTGTGTGGCGCTGTGGCGATGTGATTTTGGGATTTTGTAATCAGTTTTCAGGAGGTGAGTGAGTAAGTCGTTTCATTTTTTTTTTTTGGGATAGTTAGGGATTGATTCCGACTTGTATCCAGGATGAAGGGACTTGCTTGCTGCTCTGTCTGTTATTCTTAGATGTTTAAAATGTTATAACAGCATCTTGGATGATGAGATGAGATGGGGAGTTTGTGCCTGGTATAAGAGTCGGGAAGGATTGCTTCCGGTATAAGGTAAGGCGGCTTAGGTAGTGATACGGCGGAAGAGCTGACATGGGGCACCGAGTTCCGGGCAACTGGGTGAAGAGGATTACGTCTCTTTGTTTTTGGTGGGAGTGATGAAATGACGGAGGTGCTGATGTGTGATAGCTGCCCAAGGGGAAATCCGGGGGAATTAGCTGTAGTTCCTTGAGTAATGTGTGGTATGTGTAATGCATTACATGTGTTTGTCGAGTCGTGGATTTTATTTGGGGATTACTGGGGTTTATGCGAGACGGAAATGATTACTGTACGATGGCGGATATACAAGTAAGCCTTGCACCGTCAACGGGTGCTTGTCTGTTTGCTTGTTTCGCCTCGTTCTTCTTGAAGTCATGATGTTTTCTGACCATCTTTTGCCTCTGGTGGATTGATTACAGCATTTGCTCAAATCTGAAAATGCTATATACAACTTATTCCTCGGTATCACAAATTCAAAATTCGAAGAAAAAGATTACTATTAATTAATTAATTCCTCCCGTTCAAACTCTGTCGTGAACGAAAACACACGCAAAACGGGGAAACTTACATACTCGTCGCCGGCCACCCAAGGGAATCTTCGCTTTATACAAGAACGTAAGGAACATTCCGCAATCATGGTTCCAGCCTTTTCTGCCTAGCACCAATCAGGATAAAGGGGGGCGATCCGATCAGTAATCGCGATGAATTTCATATTACTATTCAGTCCGTCGAAGCCAAAGTCCGCGAGGCTCCATCAGGTAATTTTCGTTTCGCCTTTTGCTCGCCCGCCCCGAATTTTTTCTTTTTGGGTTTGCGGATGAGAAATCCCTGTTGACCATGTGTTTTCCATGTGTCGCGTGTGCGTTCATGTCTTCTTCTGAACATCATATTGATGGTTCTTGGTTGATCGCACCTCATTGAAGAAAAGAGACAATGTAGATGCATATCCGTAACATTGATGGGTAATCCGGATTCCCTCTTACAGTAATTGTACGGAGCAAAAGAGTAATAGTGCCCGCGTGCCCTGAAAAACAGCAGTAATCGCGGGACCGTTTACTGGCCTCGAGCGCTTTAGCATTTAGCGGCCTTAATCCGCAGGGGCCGGAGAGATCCGCGTGGGATGAAGAAAATGTCATCAAATCAATATTTCGACTCAGCTCGACCGAAAGAGGAGCCTAGAAAGAGAAAAAAAAAGGCAAAAATCAAGGGAAATGAATGGGATGGGATGGGAAAGCAAGTCAAGTGGATTCCAGCCGTGTCGGTCCTATTTCTTGACGCCCTTTCTCTCCTTCCCTCACTCTCTCTTTTTTGTTTCTTACACCACATATATTTGTCTTCCAATCCATCTCTGCTCATCTTCTTCTGTTTTCTCCCCCCCTGGGAAGATCTGATGACGAAAATAGTCGTCGCCGATTAGCACACCCAAAGGATTCCCCCTAGTCCGCACTACAAAACTCCCTGCATATACTGCTTTCAGTCGCAAAGTCCACTTTCTTATTTAGGTGACCTTGACGCCCTCTTTTTTTTATCCTTCCCTGTTTCTTTTTCCCAGGCTTTACAGAAGCGATTTGAAACCCCCTTCCGTTCGAAGGAAGGCTTAGGAGACCCCCCGGAAAAAGAAACCAAGGTCTGACTAAGAAAAAGAACAGACTTACCTCGTACCAAGGCGGCGAGAGCCGAGGCTGCGGGCGGGTAGCGTCACTTTTTTTTTTGGCTGGAATCATTAAGAAGCTTGAAATCCATCCCATCCAATCCGCAACTCGCGCGGACTAAAAGAGGCAACAATAACCTTTTTTTTTGGATTTCTAATTTCTTGCTTCCGTCTATTCCACATCATTACTCAGTCCTTTGGCGTTTCTGTCCTGGCTTTTCTCTCTCTCTATCCTTTTCCTTCTTTATAATATAATACCCTCACACGACATCTCCCTCTATTCATAGCCACTCATCCCACTTTCCCGCCGTCGCATCTCACTCAACCACACCAACGGTGGCAACCCGCAAAACGAACAAGATGAGTGCATCACCAGTCATCGGCGTCCCGTCGCAACAACACCAGCCAAACCACCACTTCCACAACCACAACGACAGCCTCACATCGCCCCAGCCCGCGCGCCAGCCTCTGCCCTCGTCTGGACGGAGACCGACAGCGGCCACGGCCACGGCGGCGATGCGACAGGACAAGACGGCGAATGCGACGGCCGGCCGCGGCGCCGGAGGGCTGATCCGGCTGGAGATTTACATGGATCTGCTGTGCCCGTGGTGCTTCATCGAGAAGCACAGCCTGGACGCGCTGATGCAGCGGTACACGGAGGAGCATCCCGAGGTGCGCTTCGAGGTGGCCTATAAGCCGTATTACATTGCGCAGACAATGGCCAAGCGTGAGTTGTTCTCTCTTCTTCTTCTCCTTTTTGGTATTGTTCATACACAATGCAGATGTCTTGACTTACAAATCATGCGCACGGATGACCTAATCATCTTGAACTTATCATGATGTTCTCACCACACCCCTCCATCATCATCATCGTCATCATCACCAAAGCAAACACTAACACCCCGGCGCAGGCAACGTCGAGAAGCGCTCCGTCTACGACCGCCTCAACAACCTCTATCCAAACTTCCTCTCCCGCATCCAAGTCACCGGCGCAAAATACGACATCGCATTCTCCATCCGCGGCCTCACGGGCAGCACCCGCCCCGCCCACCGCCTCATCGCCCTCGCCCTGCACGAGCTCGGCGCCGCCGCCCAGTCCCGCGTCGTCGAGACCCTCTTCCAGGGCCACTTCGAGGACGGCCGCGACATCAGCGACGAAGGCTGGCTAATCAGCGTCGGCGTCGCGGCGGGGATGCCCGAGGCCGTTGTGAGGCTCGGGCTTGAGGACGAGGACGCCGCGAGGAGGGTCGATGCCATGGCTGAGGCGGCGAGGGATGTTATTGGGGTTGAGGCCGTGCCGTGCGTCATGGTGCAGGGGCGGTACAAGGTGGGAGGATACCAGGAGAGCCAGGTCTTTGAGAGCCTGTTTGAAAAGATTCGGCAGGCTGGTGAAGCTTTCTAGATTTTTGCGCATGGGGGTCTGACTTCTGATATCCTTTTGCTTTCTTGATTTTTGGCGTCATATCCCCGGTAGGCGGTTTTCATATAGGAGCATTGCTTTTATTATTTTCATTTTTCTTTTTGTCATGGTGTTTTGGGATGAAATTGGGGTGGCGCCGGTTGCGAATGATATCAAATATAGCATTAGGTCAGTGGTGTTGAAGGCGCATCATCACAGTTTGTCAATACCCTGGGCATCCAGGGCGGCGGCTTGGGAATTTTATATCATTTTTCCTTTTATTACCTTGATTGTCTTTTCTGTTAGTTTCACGGAATTTTCCAATTAATTCCTATTTCGTTCAAAAACATACAGAAGCCAAATCTGTAAAGCGTCGTCCGCACTTTCCGACTCTCTATCTTGAAGAAAGAAACATAATGCCCTATTACCCCGTGGTAAGCTGTCGATTCATGTCGGGGTAAATTTTTTGCCTCGTCTTTCGTAGTATAAGAAAAAAGAAGAAAAAAAAAATCAAAAAACACCAATGCAAAAAACACCAATGCAAAAACTCCTCAAAACTCCATTCTAGTGCCAATGCCAAGCCCACCAATCTGTGAGTGAAAACCAATCTTTGTCGTCTCTTTTTTGTGTGTGTGGCCATTCATTCTCCGAATGTCGATGTGGAAGAAAAAGGAAAAAGATGTTGAAAGTAAAAGACAATTCGCCAGCAGTTTCCCGTAAAAATTATGTCCTTGCGCGTTATCCCGTACAGTTTGAATATGTGCCCCCCTCACATTCGCTTCATCTCCGCATCATCGCCTCATGCCGCTGTAATCGTTGAGCAGGTGCGTCATGTGCGTGTTAGTCGCCTTGCCAATGCGCTTGCCGGCCCTCTTCTTCTGTTGCTTGGGCTTCGCCGCCGCCGCCACGGCCTTGCGCGGGTCGTCGCTCGTCGGCTTCTGCCCAACGCTCACCAGCTTGCGGTGCATGTCGTCCAGGCTAGGCAGCTGCACGCGGCGCCACATGGCCTGAAACTCGGGCTCGACAGAGTTGTGCAGCGACGCGTCGTCGGCCCACACGTACCGCGGGAAGTTGTCCTTCTTTGTGCGCACCACCAGGATCTTATGCTCGCCCTCCAGCTTCGCCAGCGTGTCCTCGCAGTCGGGCCAGCCGTCCTTGAGGTCCTTGACCGACACTCCCGAAGCATCCGTCTTGCGCTGCAGATGGGCCAGCAGCGACGTGGCGTCCTTGACTCCCGGGATGATGGGCCGGTGCTTGTACGTGCCCGTCTTCCACGTCTGCTCGCTCAGGCTCGGATCCGGCTTCCATTCCACCCGCGGGTGCCCCCTCAGCCCCTCCGTCAGCTCCTTCTTGTGCTCCTCCGTGTAGTTCCTCAGACTCAGGTGGTCGATGATGTCCGTGATGGTCTTTGCGTCGCCCTTCTTCTTCAGATACTCCACCGCAAACGTCATCTGCGTCTTGACCTCGGCACCGTATCCCGTCAGCTGCGGCTGCGAAAACGGCACTTCCGGAGCGACATCACGCTTCCTCTTTGATGTCGGCGTGTTGCTGTCTGAGGCGGCGGACGGCGAGGGCGATGGCGGAGCGAGAGAGGCCGTGGCTTTGAGGCTTGACGGGTTGGACAGTTTGGACGCGGCCGAGGCGAGACTGCCTCTGAATACGGAGGACTGTTTCTCTAGATACGACGACATGTTGGGCGGGGATGACCTAGCAGTGGCAGCAGTATCGTAGAGGGGGGAGAAAAGAGAGGGAGCGAGGTGGTTGACGAGGGTTGATGGGCAGAGGTTGAAGCGGATGCAGAGCGAGTTCGTATGGGGACGGGAAGAAGAGGCTGATGCGACACAGTGTGGCGCATTAGGCAATCAAGGTTGTGGCTTGACTCTTTTTTTTCCTGCTTATCAGTCTTATCGTTTGTTGAGAATGCCACGCAAGCAGAAACTGAGACCGGGGTGAATCTATATCTCAGGTCTATTTGACATTCAAGTCAGTGCGTCTTCCGGGCATATATTAGGCAAAGTACCTTAAAAGTTGCCTTTGTCATCGGGCCTATGAGAAAAGCCGGTACAAAGAGCCTCGTTCTTTTCGTCATTGCCAGCATCAGTTGCGAGTTTTCATATGCGCATCGTGTCAACCAAAAAAACATTGATTATCGTAGATATCTAGCCCTGTATATTTTCCGTCAAAGGCATCATCTAGTTCATTCCTGTAACAATGACTCCCAATGGTCTAGTGCCCGAAAATTCTTGACAGCACGCCTCTATACTGTCACGCTTATCAAAATATCCCAGATCCGTTCCCCGGCGTGGTATTGCATGCTCGAAAAAGGTAACATGTCACAAATCCTCTCCCCAGCTCTTTGTCCTGTTTACAACTTCGCGCGCTGAAGCGAAAGCTCGGGCATGATTCCCCCTTTTTCTTCTTCCCTTCTTTTGTTTTTAAATTTTATATTCGTTGTTGAAACCCTGTCATGGATAGGATGCGATTTAGGCAGCCTGGGCAGTCTGCTCGGCGTTGGCCTGGATGTACTGGTAGGCGAAGTAAGCGATGAGACCGCCAATGGCAACAACGCTGTAGAGGCCAAAGCCGCCGCCGGTGGTGGAACCGCCAACGGAGGGAGTGTTCTGGGAGACGGCCTTGGGTACAGGGTCGCCGGGCTGGAGACAAAACGTTAGTTGTGAACAAAGAGTGTCGCAAACAAGAGTTGATGGGGCGCATACCTGGCGCTTCAGGTCGCCGACAAGCAGCGTGGCGAGAGACTCGCGGGCCTCGTCGCTGTGGCCGACATCCTCGAAAGCCTCGGTGGCATCCTGGCCGGCGACATCGAGCATGACCTCCTCACCACCACTAAGACACTGGTGTCAGTAAAAAGAAAAGAAAAAGATGACATTTCCATGCAACATTGGCACTGTTTCCCCCCTCGGAGAAAAAAAAGAGGGGAATCCAACAACTGGTTGCCGGGGTCGGGAACTGCAAGACGTACGGGTGCTCGTCGACAAACTTGGAGCAGTCGTAGACCTTGTCGTGGATCACGACGAAGAGGTCCTTCTTGGTGTTGTGCTCGGCAACATCCTGGTAAGAGTACTGTTGAGACATGGCGGGCGAATTGGGCTTAACGCAAGCAAATTGTTTAAAGAAAGAGTAAAGAGTAAGAGAGAGAGAGAGAAAAAGAAGAGCGGCGAGGAACCCCAAAAGGAACTTGGTTTGGCAAAGTCGGTCAAAAAATGATGGTGGGAGAGAAAGAAGAGGAACAGCCGATGCGAGTACGATAAAATCGCTTTAAGCGTTATGGCCATCTCAGTCCCAGTTCTGCAAATGCCAACTAGCCATTTCACTCTGGCTGCTTAGCGTTTGTCGGGCCCCATCAAATCAATTCCGTTGGGCCCGCAGGGGTCATTGACTCGCCCAATCAGCCGCTGCAAAATTACCGCCTGGGCTGCTCTGATTCGCCTCGCTCCAGGGCATCTCATCAATCCAGATTCTGAGGCGTTCCGGCGGCGTTCTCAGCCAACTAACTACCTGAGGTAGGCCTAACCGTCCAGCGAATCCCTTCAACGTCGGATTACTTTTAAGCGCATCCCTCGTCTCAAATCCCAGCATCCTCCTGTTCACATCCTGCTACTAGCTGGTCTTCGGGTCAGCGACTGGCGGATCTCACAGGAACCCGAAAAACCGGGGGTACATCGGGGGTGTGGTAGCATTCGCTGATATGGAAGGCTTTGGAAAGCAGTGGTAGTAATACTCCGCGCAATTCCCCATGGCATCTCATATCAGATGCCTTACATTGAGAGGAAAACGCTCCGATGGGAACAAAACTTCCCTAGCCAGCGTCAAGATCCTATCAAGATCAGACAATCTCATCGCCACCGGCTGTCTCGCCTATGTACATGTAAACTGGCCTTGACTCAATGGCACCCCCAAAGGCATCAACCATATCCAGTCGTACCAATGAGCGTCGAATATACCGGCATTTACAGTACAGCAGCAACCAACTCGGGTATCTCGAGCTCGGGATATGATCGGAAAGGCACATGCTAGCCCATCCCATCCTCTTATTCGCATTGCCCCAGAGTAGCATTAGCTCAAGAGACCAAGAGCGGGCTTATCTTAGCCTTGCTGCTAGGCCATTCCCCCCTCCTCTTCCGTGCTGTCCTTCCGACTCCTCCTCCAAACGGGACTTGTTCACGGTTGTTGAGTACCGTGGTGAGCCGTCGTCTACTTTTTATTACTGTATGCTGTGGCTTTCTTTTTGGAATTCAGCATGTTCCGATTCCGAAAACCTCGGACGATGCTTTTATGCATATTTCTGTCTGCTAATCCTAACCTCTCCTAGGTGCCTTCTTGCGGTGGCACCTATTCCAATCACCCCGGATGTCTGATACTGTAATGTTACTGTTACATATACGGAGTACTATTACTGCTACATTGATATCACAGAGTGTCTTGTGTCACTTCGTAATCGCAAACGGTTGGCTGGCCTTGTCTCTTGTCTCAGCGGCCCCGCGTCATACCCGGAAAATCCATGGACTACTCGGTAGCTCTCCACAGCTCGGTCTCAAGATGCAAGGCTGGGGTATCATGACGCCGCAAAGCATATTATTCTGTACACGATTGCGCCAAGCACGGAACAGCATTCGTCCAAGTGAAATTTTATTTTCAATGTACCAAGTATACCTAGTGCTTCCAGCGACTACTCATACTCACTACTCTTTTAGCGAGGCCGCGCTTCTATGCAGTCAGATGGACGATTCCCAAAGCAGAATTTCCCGTGATGCTACCAGGGTCGGGATATTCATGTTTCTGTCATCCAAGAAGTAAGTAGTACGTATGGCCGGAGGTGGGGTAGTAGTCAAACAGCTGCTGCTCTGTTCATTGCTCATATTCATTCTTTGACTCTATTAATCCATCGAAAAAGCATCGTCTCCGTCTTGAAGCACCTTTCTTCCCAAATGGCCCAATCATAAATCACTAAAATCATCGCTTTGAGCTGCCACCACCAATGTCCTGGCCCAGGCGGTAGCCCGTCACTCGGTCCCACTCGATCTTCTGCCTCGTCACCGGCAGCTGTCGCCGCAGGCCCTTGAATGCACCTTCGCTCAGGCTCACGAAGCTCCTGTTGAGATCTTCCTGGTACTTCTTCTCTATCGACGCAATCTCCTTGACGATTCCAGCACCGGTGCCCGAGGGGATGGAGGCGCTGACGGCCTTGTTGGTGAGCAGCCGCACATTGCCGTCTTCGTAGTAGTGAACGTCAACCATGATGGTGCCCTCGAGGTTTCCGGAGCTGGGGTCAAAGGTATATACGGATCTCCATCGGCCGTTCCTATAATCTATAAGTATCTATAATATATCGTATGGTGTTGAGTGTTCGTACCAGAAGTTGTTGGGGCTGTATTTATTTGCGACAACGACAACGGCAACCTTTGAGTCGGATTCGACAGGGTATGCGCCGAGGGCAGCGTTGGGAAAGTGCTCCTTGACATAACCTCCCAAGCTCTTCAATGTTGATTTACTACCACAATGTCAGTCGGCTTGAGACTGGTGCCAGCATAGATTCCGCTGCCGAACACTCACACCAGGTCCGCTTGTGATCCTTCCAGCACGTAGCTCTGCACCGCACTAGCTTTCTGTGTCCCCAGTTAGCTCCAACTCTCCAAATTGTAGCTGCTCGTGATGTCAACGTGCCTGAGCCACATGGTCTACTTCAAAGCTGGAGGAGCTCTCGACATCGTAGTATCGTCCGCCGCCCAGCGAGTTGTGTGGGCTGATCAAGACCTTTCGGCAAGTTAGCCGTCTTCCTTTCTCATAACACGTGTATCCTCGAGGTACCGTACCGGCTGGCTGCTTCCCGGCAGCTTGAGTGTGATGAACTGCTCCTCGTTGTACCGCTCGAAAGCTGGCGCCAGCTCGTCAACGATGTTTGGCTCGGAGGCCGTCAAGGCCTTGATATCTGCAGAATCCGCGCGTCAATGGTGCTCTTCGAAACTTCAACAAGTATCTCGTCTTGGGCTGCATCGTACCGGCAACGACATCTGCGAGCTAATAGAAGTCGGGGGTTGGAGGTTAGCTTGCCAATGATGACGCGTAGGGGGGCCTAGAGACAGCTCACCTCTCCCGGAGGAGCTCCCTGGACGAAGGAAGAAACTGTCTCGATATGCGACATTGTAGAGGTTTAGCTTGGAGGAGATGAGAGAAACGGACCAGCTCTTTGGGAGCTTTGACGTACACCGCAATCGGGTAGGGGCCAGGAGATGAAGCATGGGCGGGGCATTGACACGAGGGGCAGTTTGGTCTCCATATCCAATCGCTAGCGGGGTACACAGCCGGACTATGGCCCTTTTGCAGTGGTCGCACGTACTCTGTTACCAATTCAGCTTGCATTGATCCCTAAATCGTAAGCGGGCATCAAGGCAGTTACAGATGCTCTTATTATAGGCAGAGGAGGTGCCCGAGCTGTCTTGTGTCTTGTTGCTGGCGAATGCTGCTTGGTGGCGCATCTTGAGTCGGGGAACTAAATCTCTCGATGCGCAATCAAGTCCCAGAGGCATGGATTTCGTACAGTGGCATGTTATATGTTACACAAGGCTTTCTTCTCTATTATTCACATTTATGCTAGGAAGAAGTTCTAGAAAATCAAAGATAAAGAAACACATTACTCGCTCCCCACATTCTTAGTACTGAACCGTCTTTTTAATACTGTCGTAAATTCCTGAAGAATCACTGTTAGTAAACCAAGTTAAGCTACCCGAGAGGATATAGAGATGGAGATACTCACTTGCAACATCTGGGACGTGAAACTTTTCGAATATCAGAGCGTTGTGGATACTCCATCCGGCAACACGAGACACGGGAGCCTCGAGTCTGTTGAAGGTATCTGCGTTCTCTTGAATGGCGGCAGCCACCTCTGCACCAACACCCGCGTTCACCATGGATTCGTGGACGACCAGGACTCTTCCGGTCTTCTGAACGCTTTCAAAAACAGTCTTCTTGTCCCAAGGATAGATTGTGCGCAGGTCAATCAGCTCGACGGAGATGCCCAAATCCTCCTCTGCCTGCTTGATGGCCGCCATGCAGTTGTACAACGGCTGACCATATGAAACAATTGTGACGTTCTTGCCCTCCTTGATGACTTCGGCCTTGGACAGAGGCAGCTCATACGGTGCCACGGGAACCTCCTCTACGGCGGCTCGGTACAGGATCTTGGGCTCCATGAAGATGCAGGGGTCGTTGCTTCGGATGGCCGCCAGCAACAATCCCTTGGCTTGCAGAGGCGATCGAGGCATGATGACTCGCATTCCGGGAACGTGTGTGAACAAGGCCTCGGGGGACTGAGAGTGGTACAGGGCACCGTGGCCGACGGTTCCGCAGGGCATGCGGACAGTCATGCCTCCAGCACTCCGGCCATTGGCACCTTCATAGTAGCGCTTCTTTGCCGCTTCGTTGACAATCTGGTCAAAGGCGGGAAAGACGTAGTCGGCGAACTGGATCTCGGCAACAGGCCGCATTCCCTCGACGGCCATGCCAATGGCAAAGCCGAGAATGCCCTGCTCCGTCAGCGGCGTGTTAAACACCCGGTCGGCTCCGTGCGTCTCTGCGAGCTTCATGGTGCATCGAAAGACACCGCCAAAGGCAACGTCCTCGCCAAACACGGAAACCGTCTCGTCCTCTGTCAGGGCGATGTTGAGGGCGTCGTTGATGGCCTGGAACAGGTTCATCTTCTTGGTCGCGCCATGGAGGACGTCGGAGGAGATCTCCGTGTTCTGCTTGGCTATCGCCGACGTGTGAGCCAGCAGAGGGGTTGTCGAGTAGTCAATGGGCAGGTTGAGCTTTGCGTTCGGGGGGTGTGTGGAATAGCATCGTGCCAGATTCAGAGGTGCTGCTGATCGAGCTCGGGGATGCGCCAGCGCTCCCTTTAGGTGACGAACCGCCTGACGCTTCATGGTGATTCTGATGCTGTGGGTGAGGATGAGGATCAGAAAAGAGTCGAGAGATCCGGGGTCCAAGATATTGCGATTCCTGCGCCCAAAGTAATTCTCATCGGTCGTCGTCGGTTTAGACGGATGGCAATGGCGCTCGGCTTGCTGCGGCCTGTCGCGGGGCTGGAGCCGGCAGAATTGGCGTCTGTGGTTTAGACGGTGAAGCTAAGGTAATAAGCATGGGGTAAGTGGTCTGGAGAACCGAGGACGTGCGAGCCTTAGGTAATCTGGAGTTTGTATTTGTTTGTAGACTAGTTCAGTAATAAGAAGCATATACGCAGATGCAGCTGTCAAAATTAGAGATTGGAGTTCAATATTGTCAACAGTTTATTAGTGCAGGGTAATATTGATATATGTACTTTGTAAGTATGGAGAGCCTGTTGAGGCCGCCAATAAGTTGAAATGAGCTAACGAGTGTGCTACTGTTACTCGTTACACTAATACTATAGAATCTTTCTTGAATAGATGGAAACGATTATTCTAGAAACTCTGGAATGCCTCTTTAATGTATGAAATGTTTAGTCGCGCTTAAGATGATGGTGCAAATCCCCGGCCGGTGGCTGGTGGTTGGTGTTGTTGCCAAGAATCGTCTTCGTATAGCTTCCGCATAGAGTACACCGTATTTATCGCTATACCAGAATCAGTACGTGTGCTCTCAGTAATGTATTTCCACCAACAAACTCTCTCCGACGTCTTTCTGGAATCTATAATTCGTATTTTTACATGCTCAATATAAACCGGCGGCAATCGTTCCAATTATAACTCTGCATCATTCGCTCCGCCGTGCCGCTTCCGGGCCTGGTGCCGTCCTCCCGGCCGAATCTCCGATTTGGGTCGTGTTGCCCAGCCAACGAGCCAAGCCTTGGCAATCTGACCTGCAAAACTCAGCCCGGTGACGTGTATAATCGGTTAAACGGCCATGGCATTGTTTTGAGTCCTTTGTAGAGCATGTCGAATTGTGTTTTTCTTCTTTTAATGACTTCTTGGGCTTCTTTTCAGCGGTTAATTTAATAGAGATCGATGCGTTTTCGTGTTTATGCGTTCTGTATACTAGCGAGCTCCAGCTCGATTACGAGGTTACGATGAGCGACACGGACGTACCGCGTGCGCACCACCACCGCAACCGCAGCGCACGAGGCGAATCATCCAGAAGAGACAGAAACAGGGACAGAGAAAGGGACAGGGACAGGCCGCCGCGAACGAAAGGATCGCGGACGCGGAGAGGCGCCAGCAGCGCAGATGAAGGCAGAGCCGACAGACGCAGCAGGTCGCAGTCGCTTTCCGCAAATGCGCTGGCGCAACTGAACCAGGATAATGTGAAGCAGCAGAGACAGGCCGATCGCGAGCGGAGGAAACGAGACCGCGACCGAGGGAGAGGAGAGGTAGACCCTGATGAGAGAGCCCGAGAGCGCGCGGAGAGGCACCAAAGGCGAGAGCGAGAGCGCGAGCGCGAACGGGAACGGGAGCGGCAGCGAGAGCGGGAGAGGACAAGAGCAAGAGAGAGATCGCCCAGTCCCGACCCAGAGACTGAGCCGAGCATTGTGCCAAAGAAATACCGCAAGCCTAGCAAGCAGAAAAAGTCCAGAGTTGTTAGCGGGGCAGTGATGGAGGAGGGGAGGTCCAAGGGATGGCGGTTCGGGTTCGGGTTTGGGGGTCACTCGCGGGATGATAGCTATGACAGTCTAAGAAAAGAAGACATGTATAGTCAGCCGGAGAAGAAGAAGAAGAAGAAGATGTCCAAGAGAAAGAAATGTAGGTTGGCGATCAGCGACTGCTTAGAAGAGTCACTAACCTTTGTTGCTAGGGATCATTGGAGGAATAGTTGCCCTTGTACTACTCATTATCATTATCGTGGCCGCGGTGCTTGGCTCAAAGCACAAATCGGGCGGTGGTAGCAGCGATGATTCGTCGTCTGGAGGGTCTTCTGCAAGCAGTAGCGATGTTCCGCTCAAATACAAGAATACAGACCTCGACCCTTCGACGTGGGCGAGCACAGAAGATTTCAACACTACCTTTACCGACGAGATGGTTGGAGGTCTTCCTGTAATGGGTCTTTACTCGAAATGGGACGATTCTACTCAGGCGAACAGCAAGGTGCCCGCGCTGGATAAGCCCTGGGGTGACTATTCGAAAACACCGGCCAAAGGAGTCAACTTGGGAGGGTGGCTATCGATTGAGCCTTTCATCACACCATCTCTCTTCAACTATCCCCTCAGTTCTGGAATCGTGGACGAATGGACCTTATGCGCGCATCTCGGGTCCAAGGCGGCATCGACTATTGAGAACCATTACAACACCTTTGTTACTGAAGACGATTTCAAAGCTATTGCCGACGCTGGTCTGGATCATGTCCGCATCCCATTCTCGTACTGGGCTGTCCAAGTTTACGACGGCGACCAGTACATCTATCGAACATCGTGGCGATACCTCCTGCGCGGCATCGAGTGGGCTAGGAAATACGGTCTACGGGTCAACCTCGACTTACACGGCCTACCAGGGAGTCAGAACGGATGGAATCACAGCGGCAGACAGGGCACAATCGGCTGGCTCAACGGCACCAACGGGGCTCTAAACGCACAGCGATCCCTCGACATTCACAACAGCCTCTCCCAGTTCTTCTCCCAGGACAGATACCAAAACATCATCACTCACTACGGCCTGGCCAACGAGCCTAAAATGACCTTCCTCAAGGCCAGTGACGTGGTAAACTGGACAGAAACAGCATTCACCATGGTTCGCAAAAACGGCTTCAAGGGGCTGGTCATCTTTGGCGATGGCTTCATGGGCCTGGACAACTGGCAGGGCCTCATGCAGGGCTACGACGGGCTAGTTCTCGATGTCCACCAATACGTGATTTTCAACCAGAACCAGATCGACTACACGCACCAAAAGAAGATTCAGTATGCCTGCCAGGGATGGACACAGCAGGCGCTGCAGAGCCAGGACAAGAGCACGGGCTACGGGCCCACGCAATTCGCCGAATGGTCTCAAGCAGACACAGACTGCGCCCAGTACGTGACAAACGTAGGCCAGGGCAACCGGTGGGAGGGCACGCTCAACACGGGCAACGCGAGCACGGCGATCCTGTCGCCAGACTGCCCGACCAAGAACAGCCAGTGCTCGTGCGACAACGCCAACGCGGACCCGAGCAAATGGAGCTCCGAGTACAAAAAGTTCTTGTCCATGTTTGCCCAGGCGCAAATGTACAGCTTCGAAAAGGGGCTCGGCTGGTGGTACTGGACGTGGAAGACGGAGAGCTCGCCGCAATGGAGCTACCAGGCCGGGATGGCGGCGGGCGTGTTGCCGCAGAAGGCGTGGGAGCGGGATTTCAACTGCGATGCAGACGTGCCGGATTTTGCGGCCAGCGGATTGCCAGAGTATTATTGATTTTTTTTTTTGTTATTTTGTCTTGTTCGGGGGTTGGCTGATTGTTACATATCCGGCGGGGAGGAAGGGGGGAATATGGGGAGGATGCGAGTATACATAATTTGGAGAATACCCTGTTGTTTTGCGTTTATAGAATGCCTGCTGGTGTACATACGAAGAGCTCATGTTGTCTGCGAGCAGGGCGGGGAGTTTTATGATTGGCGTTGGGTATGTTGTTTTAGACTTGTATATCGATATTGGAGGTGGTGATGCCTGCACGATGATGGAGATGCAGCGGATGAAGGAATTGGTGATGCCTTGGCGTTGCGCTGTACATGGGCCCAAAGATGAATATACGAGACGGCGAGGATTGATAATCTCAACGATGTTCTCGGCCCCCAGATGTGATGCGCTCGCGAGTCAGCAACAGGTCGTGATAATTCCGCTTGGCGCGTGAGCAGCTGCAGGGCGACTGTGCAGCTTAACATTGGCATCGAATCTACGGATTAAAGATGACTCTTTTAAACGCGAGAGCGAGAGCGAGGCCCGGCCGCAGCACCCGCGATACCCGAAGTCTCGCGCCTTTTCTCCTAAGGCCTAAGGCCTAGGGCGATTCGTAACGCCGAAGGGCTTTTACGCAATATGCGTGTGTGGCTGAACCTGCTTGAAGGTCTGAGCTCTGCTTAGGTACAGGTAGGCTTAATTGAGTTTACAGTACGTCAATGTTCCTTTCGAGGTCTTTATTAATTCGTAATGCTAGGTATGTAAGCAGCTCACACCGTTCTCGTATCATCCGTATTAGTTGTAGTATCAGAACCCCCGGTGCCTTTGGTCTCCACATGGGAAACAATGGGACGAAGACCCTGTCCTTACTCGTACACTAGAAGAATGAAAATTTGGGTTTCTGAATACATCTGAATACGTGAGGAAGGGCGTCCAATCGCCGAGACGGGAGCTTGCGTTTCTTGCTTGTTGGTCATGGAAATTAGAAGGATTTACCAGCTCTAGGAACAAAGGCCCAGGTAGGATCAGAGCTTGCAGAGCATGTACATAATAACACTGTTAGTTGGACAAATAAGAAACATAAGCCAAGAAAGCCAGGGAAAAAAAATCGATTTCCTTCTGGGGTAAGTATTGCCGCCGAGAGCTGCCGGGGGAGGAGACGAAAAGGACCGGACGTATGCATAGCCTGATTTGGATGGAGTGTGCCCGGCAGTTAGCGGACCGCACGCTCTCGTTTTGCTCTTTTTGGTGTTTGACCTTGTTGGATTGCTCGCTCTTCGCCTTTATGTAAAACCGTCCGGGCGGGATCCACTGACTGACGATGGCGATTGACGACGGCTGATTAAGAGCTTTTTCGTCGAAGGCTGGGGCTGGTGATTGGTAACATTGATTTCCTATTCTGTGTGTCGTATGGGTTGCTTTGCCCATTCCTTTTTCTCTCTTTCTTTACTCCGAGTGGGTTTTCGGATGAGAGAGATTTTATTCCAACGATCGACTTACTTGGCCCCGGGGATACTCGTACAGATTCGGGCGTATTCTGGAGGGGGGGTTCCATTGATAATGCTTCACCGTCACGTCACCTCCTGATTGATAATGCCTGCATAGCACATCTTGGCCACCATTGCCAGAATCTGCTATATACAAGGGCGTTGATCCACTGGGTCATCATCTTGGCTCAACTCTCATCAAACACACTAGCATTATCTCATCAGAATCCTCTTTCACGCAGTTTGGCCACAGTCTCCCACTTTGAGGTCGTTGAGAGAGATACATATAGAGAGACACAGAGTTGCTAACCTAATGACGGCACCGACACCGGACGGGGACACGGCATCGACGCTCGCGCCCGACATGGCGGACCGCGAAAAGGGCGAAAAGCCCTACGAGAACCCCAGCCTGGGGGAGGACGCAGATGACTTGCGGCTGGAGATGACGCCGTCGACAGGGAGCTCGGTGAGGGAGGACCTGGACCGCACGCGGTCGCAAAACGGCTACGGCGTATCAGACGAGCAGCGCGGCGAGAAGGCGTTAGAAGCTGGCCAGCCGGAGACGGATCCGTACGAGGTTGGCTGGGATGATGGGGATAACGATCCGTTATGTCCTCGGAGCTTTAACAAGGCGCGCAAGTGGCTGATTGTGCTTATTTGTGCGGGTGGCAGTCTTACAGTGTAAGTCTTGATGTTCTTATTTGATTTTTGATGTGGTTGATATCATGGTTTGGGTTGTGTGAGACAAGAGAAGTAAAAAAGAGAGACAGAGACAAAGAGCTGGATACACGCCTTGGTGAAACCTTATGGCGCTTCTTCCCGTTGCATTTGTCTCACTCACGGCACATTATGTTCAGGTTACTAGCAACAAGAGTTCAATCACTGACATGGAGTTAATCTCTTGTGCAATACAGGACATGCGCCAGCTCGATATACACCTCGACTTACGCGCAGATGGAAGCCGAATTCCACAACGTGCGTGAGATTTCCGACCTCGGCCTATCGACGTTCGTCCTGGGCATCGCCATTGGGCCCATGCTGCTGAGTCCCCTGAGCGAGTTCTATGGCCGCCGGCCCATCTACCTGGTGTCGTGGACCATGTATCTCATCTGGCTGATCCCCTCGGCCGTGGCCAAGAACATTGCCACCATGGTTGTCGTCCGCTTCTTCGACGGCCTGGCGGGCAGCGCCTTTCTGACTGTGTCTGGCGGCACCGTGGGCGACTTGTTTGCGAGACACGAGTTGCAGCTGCCCATGGCGGTGTTTAGCATTGCCCCCTTTGTCGGGCCCAGCCTTGGACCTCTGTTGGGAGGCTTCATCAACTACTTTACGCATTGGAGGTGGACCTACTATGTCCTGCTCATCTGGGCTGGCGCCATGTGGGTTGCCATCGTTGTCCTGGTGCCGGAGACTTACCGTAAGATAGAACCCTCTCTCTCTCCCTTATTAACAAGTACACCAACATGAGAAGAAAGCATTGAAATGACTAACATGAGACTTTGACCTGTCAATCATAGATCCGATATTGCTCAGAAACAAGGCTCGCAAGATGCGAAAGGACACCAGCGACGAGCGGTGGTTGGCCCCCTCGGAAAAGACGCAAAAGACGGTGGTCCAGGCCATGGGCACCTCCTTGCAGCGGCCCTTTCAGCTGCTCATCTTCGAGCCCATGTGCCTCAGCCTGTGCATCTTCACCGCCATTCTGCTGGGCATCCTCTACCTCTTCTTCGGCGCGTTCCCGCTCGTCTTCGCGACGAACCACGGCTTCAACCTGTGGCAGATTGGCCTGACTTTCGTGGGCATCGGCGTGGGAATGGTGCTCGGCATGCTGACGGACCCGGTGTGGTTCCGCATCCGCGCCAGGCTCATGGCCAAGCTGGAGCAGGAGACTGGCGTTCCCGGGGGCAGCGAGCCCGAGTTTCGGCTACCGTCAGCCATCGTGGGGTCCGTCCTGGTGCCCATTGGCATCTTCATGTTTGGGTGGACGACGTACTCGTCTGTGCCCTGGATCGTGCCCATCATTGGATCGGCCATCTTTGGATTGGGGTGAGTCTATCTTTGAGCCACGGTGACGCAGCGTTGCAAATAGTGGGATCCTTGTTTCTTTGATACCACCCTCCCTCTTCCTCTCCCCTCCCTCCAGCCCTCCCTTACTCTTCTGCCCCTCTTCAGCCGGTTTCACGTTTTGTTCCCGATGGGAGGAGCAGAGCATGACCTGTTTCGGTTTGGAAAGTAAACATCCTCATTGGATCTTCGACTCGGTGGCTGACTCTGGATTTTCCTTTTGCAGCAACCTCCTTGTATTCACCAGCGTCTTTACGTTTTTGGTAAGTTATCAAAATCCGTTAGATGGCATGGCTCATGTTGGGTTAATTTCAGCAACATGTACTGACTGATGGATGTGCTCAGGTCGACGCCTATCCCATGTATGCCGCCAGTGCCCTCGCCGCCAACGCATTTGTGCGCTGTTCATTCGCAGGTATGCCAAGTCAATGATCTGTCATGCTTTGTATGAAGCTGTGGCGTGATATGTGATGCTAACTTTTGATGGTCTTGCAGCTGTGTTCCCCCTGTTTGGTACACAAATGTATAACAAGCTTGGATTCCAGTGGGCGTCGTCGCTATTGGCGTTCCTAACCGTGGCCATGATGCCGTTCCCCTACCTCTTTTTTAAATACGGCAAGAAGATTAGGAGCAAGAGCAGATTTGCCAAGAATTAGGAGGCGGCTGCTTGCTCTACCCTCTGGCTTTTAGAAGTGGCTTGAAGAGGGGCAGGACAAAGGACAAGGGGGGAGGTGTACGATGCACTGTAATCGTACTTGTGTGGGAGTGCAATACTAATTAATATCAGGGCATTTTGGGATAATACGTTTTTCTTTGGGGCGTAAGGGAAAAGTCAAGAAAGAGAGAAGGAGAAAAGAGAAAAGAGAAAAGAGACAAGATGTGACGGATTTCTTTGGACTATGGACTATCGGATAAGACACCACGTCTCGGCTAGACCCCGAGGCTGTAGCATGGGATGAGCGACATGACGGATATGACTTATAGACTATGATACTAATAAGAGAGAAGAAATTGGATTATATCACACCGATGAGGGGATGAATGACCAATCGAGTAAGAAGAGCTGCCTCTTGGGGACAGGGATTGAATGTGAGTCACGGGCGTCTGCATGAGAGCGTCTCTGGGCGTAAAAGCAAGAAAGAGCACGCGTCAACTGGGACGCAAGGGGGATTACTATGGAGAGCAAGGACGAAACTTGCCAAGGCCAGAGAGAGAAGCCATTTCGTGAAGCTGTGTGGTGGCCTTGGGTTGTGTGGCTTGCGGAGAATGGGTAGCCAAGCCACGGATGGCTTGTTGGGATACATGAAGGCGGCGTTTAAAGTTGAGAAGAGGAGGGGCAACTTGTATTTTTACCATTCTTGGAAGAGACAACTCGTGATGAGCTAGGAGACAAGAAGGATTCAAGTTGGGTAAGGAACTAGATACATCCATACTATACTTGATATTACCTAGGTAGTGAGTGACGCTCGCCGAGGTTTGGTGGATTTACAGTCCCAGTTTCTGCCGTCCCTGATTTGACAGTTGAGTCCATGGCACGGCAGGATGCGGAGCTGAGCTCCAAGAACCAATGGAGAAGTTGCTGTGATGCGCAAGGGCAGAAACAGGGCTTTTCTTCTTTTTTCTCCATTCGAGTCTTTGCCTTTTGGGGGTGGGTTGCAGCAACTCTAGAGCCCGGCCTGGATGCGGGTGATACGGGCCTGCGGATTACGCAGTACAAAACGTCTGGTCCATGCAATTGACTTGATAGAGCGGTGGCATGCCGTGGCATGTGAGACTGCATGTAAGGGGAACATGGATGATCCATGTGAGAGACTGGAGAGTTTATGCTGTGTTTGAGACAATATGGACAGCGTTTACTCGTAGATGAGATGGACTTTTGCCCCAAGTCCCATGTCGTTTTGGGGGCAGACCGAATAACAAGGACATGCATGTTTTGCAACAATGAGGAGGCAGGGCAGTTGGTCATTGTTTTCCAAAAATGCTCAACTGCCTGCACGACTCCTCAATAGGGGGCAAGCTACCTTCGTATACAATTTACAGCTGCATTTGCATTGACACACATAATGTTCAGGGGGTTGGTTTTTGGTTCATCAAGCGTGCTTGGACGGGCATACAGTACTTGTTGGAGGAACTCGGAGCGGCGTCCCTCGGGAACTCGGTTATCGCTGATCGAGCATGGGGAGGGGGTTCCGAGATTTTTCGTGTTAGCCGTAGAAGCTCAAGAAGCCAATTTTTTTCTTTTCCTTGTTTTTCTTTTTACATCTTTTTTGTGGGTACGTGTATTCCAGACTATTTCTATAGCCGTGTTGTGTGTTGTATTGACTTTGTTCTCTTGTAAGTGCCAACATGCTTTCTCTCCATCTTGTTAGGAGTTGAGCCGTTGTATTCATCACACAAAACCTGCGCCTTTGTTGGGCAGAGATTTTCCCATTCATGAAAAACAAATCAACTGAACTGAAAATTTCTCCCGTCCCCCGGCTTGACACATGCAGCGAACCTGCATTCGCAAGCCCAAAAAGCAAATAATGGCACCCCCTGGGCTTTGGAGCTTCTGGATTGGTGCCGCTCAAGTTAGCCGCACCCACCGGCGAACCCCAGAATGGCGGCCGCGGTTGGGACTAGAGGGACTAGGGGAATACCTTGCGCGTCTGTGAGATTTGTGAGGCCGGGCAGAGTAGACGGCATGTACAGAACAAGTTTTTCCAACCGGGATACTGCTTGTTTGAGGGATCGTCGTGCTGGAGATGTTGGCACTTGCAAGACCCTCACCGGTGAGGAGCTGTGGGTAAAAGATGCAGTGAGTGGATGGAGGTGAAGAACCAGCTTTGAGCTTTTGAAGGATCGCAACCCAGTCCAGCCTGGAAAGCCGGGCCCCTCTTGGCAAATCACTGCCGCAATCTAGTGAATTGACCTGCAGGCCGATGCTGTACGAGCGCCTGTAATCAAAAGGACGGACACACGCGACACTCCCAACGCCTCAAACTTGCATTCAAGTTGCTGTGCTGCTATTGATTGCACCTGAATGGGTTAATGTTGTTGGGGGACTCGTCTCAATTGTAATTGGCCCAAAGCAAACATGCAGCACAGCACACTGGACGAATTACTCCATTAGTCAAGATTGTCCAGTTGATTCGGCATAAGCCGTCCATTTGATCCATTGATCCATTGGGTGTACTCGTACCTGGTTCGTCCTCGCTCGCCCCGTGCATGCGGCTGCGCCCAAGTACCAGCTACCAACTCGCGGCCAACTGTGCATGTACCTTTGGGCCGTGGCCACTCAGCGTCCAGCTGATTCCCAAACAGCCCCAAGCGCCGCCGCCACCGGCCCAGTTCGGGTCAAGGCCTGGAGCAAAAACCCCGCAGTCCTGCACAGCGTTACGGGGGATCCCCAGCGGTCCAGCCCACTAGCAGTGCTAGCACCAGCCCAGCACCAGCCCGTCCCCCAGCGGCACTTTCAGCGGTGCTCTCCAGCGGGCTTCAGCGCCCACAGACAACGCGCTGCACCCACCATAGCCCGCTGCAATTGCGAAATGCACATGGATGCCCGTGGGCGAACCTCGCTCGAAATTCTGACGGTAGCTTAACTCGACGACTAAGCAACGTCGGCACTTCTGACTCCCTCCCGGTCCTCTTTGCGCCTCAGCTTCTTTTGTTTCCTTTGTCTTTTTTCTTCTTGCTGGGCCTTGATTTCTTCCAACCAGACCGTCCGGTTGCCGTGGCCAGCAGCCGCATTGCATCGCTGCCAGCGGAAAGGGGCAAAGCCGCACAGGCGCAAACGGGTCCTTTGCCGTCATCGCCGCCATCGCCGCCATCGCTCCGGCTCAGCGTCATCCCAGCCGAGCCGCTGCTGCTCGCATGCCTCGTTGCTGCGCGCCCTCAACTTCAGCTTGCGATCCTCGGGCCCGATCCTCACAGCGCCGTGTCGCCTCCCGCCTGCTCCTGGTCTGCGCATCATTAAACCCCCAATCCAATGGTGGGCGCGGCCAAGCGTATGGGTAACGGGTAGCTACTTCAAAATCTCTTCGCGCGCGCTCTCTCTCTCCAATCTCGCAGTTCTCCCTTGGGAACCGACCCCCCCCCCTCTCCTCTCCTCTCACTCCCATTATCCTTCGTCCGCCCTCTGCGCAGACGCGGCGTTACATCTTGTCTCTCGAACCTGGGCCGATCGATCACACACCCCCGTTATCCGAGAGAAGGACAGATCCTGCCCGGCTGCGCTTCCGCGCTGGAATTCACTGGCCTCCATGCCACCGGCGCCGCCGCTCTATTGATTCTGCCGCCTTGTCACACGACCAGACGCCCTCCTGCGTGCTTCACGAATCACAGACGCCCATTGGCCTTCGACCGCTGTGAGAATACGAACTTGGCCAACCCCGACCTATTTGGCCCTGCCTGTCGCTTTCGGCCTCCCGTCCGATCAACTGCCGGGAGCCCACACGGATCGTCCCTCCCGCGACCGGTCAGCGCAACACTGTCTCATACATACCGCGCATACAAGCACGAGCAACGTTGAGGCTCTGCTTCTGCTCCTGCTTCTGCTTTCCACTTGTGCTCCTGCCCTCTGCTCAGCTCGGCTCAGTCCAGCCCGGTTTGGCTCGGCTGCCAGTCATTCGTCCACCTTGGGTCTTGCCAGCTGCATATATCCCTGGCGCGCTTCAAGCCACTGTGGATCGCTCTTGTTTTAATCGCACATCCCCAAAGAAAGTCACAGCCGTGTAACTATCAGGCCCTTGCTCGCTCGTGCCACGAAAGCCGTGCGTTGGTGTGGTTGATCAGCGCAAGAGTTGGATGGATTTGGGGGAGACGAGACTTCTGGGGAACGGAGCCCGATCGCCGCCCTGATTCGCAAAGAGCAAAACGGATTACCTGCTCTGCTGTGTATGCGCCAAGGAGGTGCTTTGTTATTCTATAAAGACCAGCCAAAATGCCCCAAGACATGTCAGATAACGGGGCAGACGTCTCAGATCCCGTATCCGAGAACGAGGAAGACTCGGAGACTCTGCTGAAAGACGAAGACGAGAGAATGGCCGACCCAATGGCGGCCAATGGTTCTTACGACGATAAGAAGAAGTATGATCCTAAGGATCCTTTGAGGCCGAGGCGGAAAAAAGCAAGGAGAGCATGCTTTGCTTGCCAGAGGGCACATCTGACATGCGGTGCGTCTTTCTCGGGAAAACGAGCCCTCCCCTTTTCCTTTTCATTTCCCATGCAAACCCCTCTGCCAAACCAATTCCTCGGATATCCAATTGAACTCATTGTTTCTTTTCTTGGCCGTGTTTAGCTTTCATCACCGTTTGCTTTGCTAGTTGTGACTAACATTTGATTGTAGGAGATGAGAGACCGTGTAAGCGGTGCATTAAACGTGGTCTTGCCGATGCTTGCCAGGATGGCGTGCGCAAAAAGGCCAAATATCTGCATGATGCCCCTCCAGAGGCCCTTCGACCCGTTCTCGGCCCCAACTTTAGCCCTCCTCCTTCTGCAAAGGCCAACGGACGCCATGATTCGATTCACTCCGACAACAACGTTCTTGGCACGGCTACGGGCGACGGCTTTCTATCGCAAGGCAGTGCCACGTTCCCGGTCTATCCCAGCGTCAGTCAGCCGCCGGTAGCCATCCCTGAAGCCATCCACCTCAACCCGCAGGCATCACCCATCTCGCCATCTTTTCACAGTGCCTCCGCGGCAGGCCAAGCTCACATGGGCGGCATGCTCCAAGGAAACACCATGGACTTCAATGCTCTGTTCGATCCTAGCAACCCTGCGCTCTACAACTTTGATCTCGAAGGCCTGAATTTTGGCAGTCAATATGCCGGATGGGAGTTTGGCATTCTTAACAAGATGGGCCTTGGAGCCGAGACTCCTCCTCGGGAAAACTCCATCTCGCAAACTCCAAAGACTGAGGCGAGTTATGCAGCCATGTTTGGCAACGGAAGCGGATCATATGACGGCGCCATCGTGGGTGACTATGCTGGCATGGATCTCGGCAGCTCGAATATATATACCCAAGGCAACCTTCAGCACGGCCTCCCCCACGCATTTGCCATTGCCGCCGGGCCCAACAGCTTGGCCAGTCCTAGCACCGACGCAACTGCTAGTCCGCAGGCCATCATGGATGGTTCCCCGAACCCGGCGGCAGGGGGATTTCCTGGCTTGCCGAATATGACCGGGGCTTCTCGCCTCAAACCGAAGCAGGATAGGATGGTGCAGTCCATTCTCGGCAAGAGGCAGCGGGATTCTGCATCTATCTATGCAAGCGTCAAAGAGCCCTATCCCTATGTCGCTGGATTCCACAACATGATATCTGTCCTACGCAACAGATTACCGCTGAGCAAGCTGTGGAAGATTGCGCAGTCGCTGGGGGAAATTCGACCGTCGTTCATCTCCTGCACCAAGGATCTGACGCGCGAAGATCTCATCTTCATGGAAAAATGCTTCCAGCGGACCCTTGTCGAGTTTGACGACTTTCTGCAGCACTGTTGCGCGCCGACCATTGTATGTCGACGCTCCGGAGAGGTGGCGGCTGTAAATAAGGAGTTTGCGGCGTTGACAGGTTGGCCTAAGGACGTGCTCCTGGGCAAGGCGCCTAACCGCAACATCTATACTCGATCCTCAGACGAAGGCACAGATGATGGCGATAGCTTGGCTTCATCTGGCCAAGTGACACCTGCCAAGAACCAGCCGATGCAGACTAACAATAATAATAACAATAGCAATAACAACAATGGACGACCACAACCGGTTTTCTTGGGCGAGCTGCTTGATGACGACAGTCTTGTCGAATTCTATCGCGACTTTGCCCAGCTTGCGTTTGAAGACAGCCGAGGCAAGGTGCAGCGCAGCGGCCGGCTGATGAAGTATCGCACGCAGGAGATGCTGGAGGCGAAGGAAATGCTGGGACCTCAGAGACACCCGCGGACGGGCATCCTGAGCAGTCGTGTCACTATGATTGACAGCGAGCACGGCATTTCCCGCATCGAAAAAGACGGGAAAGTGGACTGTACGTACTGCTGGACGATTAAGCGGGACGTCTTTGACATTCCCATGATGATTATCATTAATGTGAGTTCTGGCTTCCTCCATCCTGATGTCCAGTGGTGTCAGTATGCTAATGAGTTATAGTTCTTGCCACGATATCACCCCAACCAAGAGCCACATCAGCTCGCTGTATGACGCTCATCGTCGCCCCTAGTGGGCACACTCTCTATACGTTAACCTTTTATGCATATAAGGTGTTGGCAGTTTTTTCAATTCTTGCTTTTTCCTTTTCAACGTTTTGCCATGGGCTGGGTGAGGTAATGCATTATACGGCTTACCCCTTAAAAAAATTCGGTGGGCTATTATGGGCTAGATTTAGGACTATTTTTCTTTTCTGCTGTCATTCATGAAAGGCACGGGGCATCTCGTGACGGGTATGATTTTCTGGCTTGGGTCTTTTGTTTTTTTCGTTTTCGGATCCGATATGACATGAAACTTTTAATGACAAAAGAGGGGATTACTTGGATGATACCCGCGTGCGCAAACACACACATACAGACACAAAACACATAACAACGCATACCTTACTTACACACATTCTCAAATTTACGTACATCTAGTATATAAGTGTGAACTGGCCAAGAGGGGGGGATGGTGTATTTTGGCCGGTATGATGCTATTGGCTTTGTTTTATTTTTCTATTATCCAAGAATATTTGCGGTGCTTTTCTCTCTCTCCTCCATATCTATGGTGATGCCCATCCCAACCTTGTATCCATCTCCCTCCCACCTGGTGTAATAAAAATAGCCATCTTGTCCTTGCCACGCAAAACCAAAAGTCCAATAAAATCGAAACAAAATAAAAAACAAAAACATCATCTATAAAGGCTTGACAAACCACTCCGCATCCTCCTTACTCCCCTTATCCCACGCCCACCCCTCCCTACTAAGACTCTTCTTCGCAACCTCGCAATCAAAGTTAATATCATCAATAAGCGCCTCCAGGCTCTTATAATCCTTCTCCTCGCGAATAAACCCCAGAATCAGAAGACGCATGTGGGCATCGTAGAAATCGCGCCCGAATTTATGCAGGATGTGCACCTCTGCGCTGCGCACGGTGTTTTTGTAGAACGGGTTGTACCCGATGGACATGACCATGGGGAAGACAGTGAATGCGCCGGAGGGGGCGGAGGAGGGGTGATCCGGGTGGGAGGCTGGGAGGGCGAGGGAGGCATAGCCGAAGTAGACGCCGGAGGGGATGTTTGCGATCCAGGGGGTGAGAGTGTCGTCGACGGGGAGGTTGGCGGTTGGGATGCCGAGCTGTGGAAGTTTGTGAGGAGGTGAGTGAGTTTGAGAGGGGAGATGGATGTTTACCTCTTTGGAGCCGCGGCCGAAGCCGGAAATGACTTTGCCTTCCATTTTGTAGGGGTAGGGAGATTCAGGGCCGGCTTGAGGGCCGACGATGTCGGGACGGGACGACATGGTGATGTTGATGGAGTGAGCGAGTGAGTGAGTTTGTGATGAGTTGAGAACGGATGAGTCAAATGGTTGAAGACGAAAGTGATGAAATGCGCCGGCAGCTCGCGGAGACGGAGTTTCCTCAAAAACACTCTCTCAAGGACTTTAATACTCTTTTCTTGTATGTGTAGACCCAACGGAACGAAGATAATCTAAATCTTGAAGAGAAAGAAACTCGGTATATGACTCTTTAAATTGATAGCTGGACCTTTTTGGAGGGGGCTTCCGTAATTATGCCTTATCAGCCGCGCGGGATTGCCTGGAGAGAGAGAGCAGATCGCGTGCGGGCCCAAGATTGGCGGGGCAGAAGCCAAAGGAACGGCAACTTTTTTTTTCCTTCTTCTTCTATTGACGCCGGTCTAGTTTTCCAGCTCGGGCTTCGGCCGCGGGGCAAGTCCGGACACGGGTAAGCGGGTTTTGTATTGTTGTAGGATTCAAAATAGTGTTGCTGGAGAGAAGTTGTGATTTATGACTCTTTTTTCAATCTCTGAAGGGGGGGATCATGGATTAATCAATAGCAAGATAAGAGCCTTTACATCATTCTGTTTTAAAAAAAAAATGGTTGGAGGTATCATTTGAATGCAATTTGAAAACTACATGTAAGCCGTAAGCCGTCTGTTGCTGACCAATGGCCCCAGCAATTCCGGGGCGTCAAACGCCTGCCTTGCAAATTATATGTAATCTGCTATCATCATTGTGTGTATCATTCTGTTGATCCCTGGTTCCTAACAAATGCGCAATTGATCTGAGCACTGGGGTATTGCAATTCCAATTCCGACAATTTTGGAGCCCAACAATGGCTCCCTGTCAGCTCTGCCTGTTAAAGAGCGTCGAAGGAAAATGAAGAGAGAAGGGGGAAAAAAGAGGGAGCGGATGGGTCTTGATTCTTGAGAGAAGCTGCAATACAGTGCGGCTCTCCGTGATATGTTGGAAATAGAAGTCTCGCCGTTCACTGAGCCTCCTCCTTGGCCTCTTCCTTGCTGGCCTCCCACTCGGTTCGGCCAAGCCTGATGATGTCGCTCTGGCCGAGGATCCAGAACTTGCTGGGCGCCTTGCCCTCGTCGGCCAGCTGCGTGGCTCGAATCGCCGCCCGCGCAATCACCTCGGCATCCTGCGCAAAGCTGTCCTTTAGCCCCAGGAATCCCAAGCCACGCGCAAACGTCATGGCCAGGCCCTCGACGAGGCGCTTCTGCTCGCGCTCGCCCATAATAAGCCCGGGGCGCACGATGATGCCGTGGTCGAACTCGAGCTCCTTGACCGTGGTCTCGACGCCCTTCTTCATCTTGCTGTAGGGCGACGTGCTCGCCAGGATGCCATCAGATCCAACGCTGGAGATGAAGACAAAGGTCTTGACGCCGGCCTGCTTGGCGGCCCGGGCCACCTCGACGTTGAGGTCGTGGTCAATCTTCCACTGGTTCTCGATGCCGCCGGCGGCCGCGCGGGTCGTGCCGATGGCGGAGAAGGCGACGTGGGGAGCGGGCGAGATGGCCGTCAGGGCGGCGGGCCACTTGTTGACGTCGGCGTCGATGATGGAGTTGAGGTTGGGAGACTCGGCCTTGGGGGCGCGGCGGCCGACGGTGTGGACGGGCCTGAAGGGGCCGGAGGCGAGGAGGTTGGAGAGGATGAAGGAGCCTACGAGGCCGGTCGAGCCAAAGACGGCGGCGGAGTTGGGAGCAGCCATTGTTCTTTTTTGAATTGTCGATGGTGATGGCGATGTGTTGTGTAGAAAAAGGTCTGGAGAAGCAGAGATGGAAAGCTATGTGGGAGCTATACGGAGTAGGTAGGAGGAGCTAGATGGGGAGAGAGGGCAGCAAGCAGCTTGGGTACCCATCATATATAGTATATACCTTATGCCTTCGTGCCTTATAATATGCGAATGATGGAATGGAGTTAATAACAAATGCGGCCCGAAACGCCCGAGCTTTTGGAATGATTGGGCCCATGTCTGTCTGTGATTTCCGCCCGCAGGCGAGAATGGCAACATCTAATCAAGAACCAACGGAACGGCTACCATGTGATACGGCGGACAGAGCGGATAGGAGCGGACTTTTGGAGGTACTCCCAGGTACTACTAATTGAAAAGTGCTGGTTGCCTATTACCATTTGCCTGCTTGGTTCTAGGGCATCGAATGAATCGTATTAACCTTCTGACGGGGCGGGATGTTCCGTGACGTGATTTTTGGGTTGACGCTCGAGGCATCAATTGGATCGATGCAACTGGTGGAGGTATCGGGACAATTACGCCGCTGTGCCCCGTCTGGTGCTTATGATCAAATGCTGGTCGAATTGATTGATGTCCTGTTTGGGAACTGCATGAGCTTACATGTGCTGTGAAGAGCGTGCTCAATTCAATTTCAACCTCCAGGGCTGAGCTACAGCCGAGCTACCTAGGCTATAGCGGACCCTCCAGGACGTGGGCTGCCTATTCGCATTCGCTAGGCGCCATCGATGCCCCTCCAACTGCCCTACTGCCGGACATTGCCCCTCCATCACTGCTAGGCGCAAGTGGGCTTGCGACAGCTTCTCTGCCTGCGAGGGCTGAAGCTTTCCGATTCCCATCAAAAGTCCGCCATCGTCACATCCATCATATGCGCGCAGCCTGATTGTGAACCGAGTATTACTGTTGCACCGACTCGCATAGCTTCGCATCACGCAGAAAACACTTACACACCCAAACTCTGCCTATCATGGCCACTCAATACGAACGTAAGTCCAATCAACCAAATCCATTGCAACTCTAGATCTGAAGCACACGCCCTTTGCTAACAACACCACGCAACACCCTCTTCCAGTCGAACACAATGTCAAATTCTCCGAGTCTCGCCGCGCCGGCCGCCGCGTCGACATGGCCTCCTTCTTCTCCCTCCTCAACCAGCTAGACGAGCCCACGACCACACAAAATCCGCACAACAACCCGCACGCAACGCCCACGCCCGTCGACACCGCCGCGCTCTTCCGCCTGCTGCAGAGCCAGATGCAGACGCTGCTCACGACGGCGCCGACGACGGACAACCGCTCGTTTCTCGAGGACCTCGTCAACTCGCTCGAGGAGGACATTCACGACCCGCCCACCCGGCTACAGGGTGCTAGCCAGGAGTTTGTCGATATGCTGGATCGCGTCAACAGGAAGAAGCTGGACAAGGAGGAGGACTGCGCCATCTGCAAGGTGCCTTATCTGGAGGACGAGTACTGCCTTGTTGTGGAGCTGCCGTGTAAGGGAAAGCATAGGTTCGATCTCGAGTGCGTTGGGCCGTGGCTGCGGAGTAAGGGAACTTGTCCTATGTGTCGTGAGGAGATGGGAAGAAAGAAGGAGGTTCCCATTGTGGAAGATGACGAAGAGGAGGATGGTGATATGATGTATGCGTAATGATGTTGAGCATGGGAGAGTTGGGCGTATTGGAGTTTCTGTTGGACTTTTCATTTTGAAAGGGATGGATATATGAAGCCATGGCTGCTCATGATATAGAAAGCGAATATTTATGGGTTGCCACATTTGGCCCATGCGAAAAAAAGGAAGAAAGATTTATGCATGTCGAGTGTTTTCGTCTCGAGATGGTTTATGCCTCCAGATTCTTGATCACTTCCAACGCCTTCTCCGCCCTCTTCTTGGCCTCGGCGCTTGCGTCTGCGCTCAGCTCTTCCAGCCTCTGCTTCCAAAAGCTCCATCTCTCCTCATTGAGTCCCGATTTGGTTCCCTCAATCAGAGAGCCCGGACTTAGAGCTTGTTTATCTTGTGAATCAAGCTCGATACTGTTCTTTGTCTCGTCGTACAGCACCTGGCCAGCCTGGGTGATCCACTCAGATGCAGTGATCAAGTGCGTATCTCTGGCCTCATCAGTGGAAAGCCGCTCTTCCAGCCCGTCGCGAAGCTCCCATATGGCAAAATTCGTCCAAGACGAGACGGAAGCGCCGAGGAGGCGGGCGGCGAAGGAGTTGATGGAGAGCCACTGGGCGATTTTGGTGGCTTGGTCAGGTTTATTGTCGAATTCAGGGGAGGCTGAAGGAAAACCAAAACGTAATCAGCAAATTTGTAGTTGTATTGTATATATGTATGTCATTCGTTAATTATTAGCATAAAAACTGTGTAAACTCACCGTTCCACTCCTCTCTCATGACGGCGCCAAAGAGCGGCATGTCGGCCCACAGCTCGTGCTGCGAACCCCAGATCTCGACGCTGCCGGTCTGCTTGGCGTTGAGCGCCTTGAGGATCTCGACGAGGTGCTGGAGTCGCGGGTCGTCGAGGGGGATGCGCTTGGAAGTGTCGGCGAGGAGCGTCCACAGCGACCAGAGGAAGCTCTCTGCATCTTCGTTTCGGGGGCACAGCTTGTCGATGCCGTCTGCTGTGACTTGAGCGCTTGCGGTGCCGTTTATGGCGCCGTCGAGGAGGTCGGCGAGCTGGGACTCGACTTCGGGGGTGAAATCGTTGTCAGTGACGAGGAGGCGGAAGTCGAGGGTTGAGGTGGACATGTTTGCTGTTGAGGGATTGCGAGGGTGTGAGTATGAGCTGCTGTTGTAGGTGAATCGGTGTAAGTGGGAGTGGTTGTGAAGAAGGGCTGTTTGCGAAATCAAGCGCTGAGCTGTGAATGGGGTATGTTTGTAGCTGAATTGTGTGTCATATGGAAGAGTCTGAAACAATTTAATTCTCTGTGGCCGGCGAATTGACGAGCAACATCCACGTGTCATTCACAAGGCCAGCTTGGCAGAGCTCATCACATCTAAGCTACGGTACGCGCATCATGAACCAACTGCGTCACCGAATTAGTTGCGGCGGGGCAGTGTTCTATGGAGGGGCACAAAGTAGCACAAACGAGTATACCAAGCCCAACCAATTGACGCACGCTCTCACGGCATCGAGACTATCAAGGCCCTTTTCAAAACAAACACCAATTCGCATGCGGCAGGTCAGTAACACTGAATTTCTTAAGTATTCCATTTCATTACTGTAAATCTACGCAATCGTCATCCGCATGCCGCCATTGGCGCACACCACGCTCCCCGTGGTCCACCCGCTCTCCGCCGTGCACAGCATGTCAATCGTGCCCGCAATCTCATCAACAAAGCCCGGCCTCCTCCCACCCATGCTCTCCCTCACCAACCTATCAAACTTATCCGCCTCGTCGCCCGCCTGCCGCAGCACCTCAGCCTCGCCGTCGTACGCCATCAGCGGCGCCGCGTCCACGTACGGCTGGTTGCGCTTCCAGAACGTCGGGCCTGCCTCGGCGTACATGTCGCCCCAGGCCGGGCCCGGGTTGATGGAGTTGACCGTTGCTCGTTCGCCCAGCTCGCGCGCCCACGTGCGCGTCATGACCTCGAGGGCGCCTTTGCTGCCTGCGTAGACGGACTGGCCTAGGTAGCCGATGGACGCCGACACGCTCGAGACGTTGACGATGCGGCCGGAGCGGTCTGTGGGGAGGTGAGGTGCCACTGCTTGTGTTAGGAGCAGCGGTGCTAGGACGTTGACTGCGTAGACGCGGGTGAACTCGGCCTCGACGATGGGACCCTTTTCGGGGTCGTTCATGAATTGGTTCGATGAGACGCCGGCGTTGTTGATGAGGATGTCGATCTGGAACTTGCCGTTCGGGTTGTAGCTGTGGAACAAGCTCCGGGCGGCCTCGACGATGACGGGAGCTGCTGTTGATGCCTGGGCGAGATCTGTCTGAACTGAGTGGCTGTGGATCTTGTGTGTTGATGTGAGCTCCTCGACCAGTTTCCGCGTCATTTCTTTGGACGAGTCTGAGGTAAAGGTGATGAGGACATTGCTGCCCTTGGCCGCAAGGCGTCTGGCCGTTGCCGCTCCAATACCTATCGTCCCGTGAATTAGTAGGCGGTGGCGAACATGTAGCTCATCACATAGTGGAAGGCCTATGTGTAAGCTACATGCATCGACGGGGGGAACCAACCTCGCGAGGCACCGGTGACGATGGCCAGCTTCCCTTCATACGGTCGTGCCATTTCAGTAACTGTGAGCGAATTTGATGAAAGATGATGATTTCAAGAACAAAGTCTTCTCGATCATCTATTTCAACGGGCATCGGGCATCCGTCTATTGCCCAGCCGAATATATTCCCGTCCATACAACCCCACCAAGATATGCCCCGCGGCATGTTTCTCCGTCTTGTTTCTCCATAGATACTCCGCTGCACATGTCGTCATTGGAGCGCATGGAACTCGGTGGGATAGTCAGGGGAAAATCAGTTGTTCGTCTGGCAATACTAGTGGGAATAACTCAGTTATTGATGGGTTATGGTTATATATAGTCCGTGGTGGCGTCCATCCTGTTCGCTCCAATCAGCGTCTATCTTCTCCAAAGCGCATACACCATGAAGATGCAGTAGAGCAAGAAGAAGAAAGTGGTAGCGATCGATTTCTAGGCAGCCAATTTACTTTGTCTCTTCTCAGCCCTTGTCCATTATTGGAGCGGCTGTCTGCTCGGTTCATAATAGATACATAGGCTTACCCTAGTTGCCGCATTGGTAGCGCATATATACCATTCTGCTTCATGATACCTCGACGTCTTTTGTAGGGGTTTCCCCTCTACGTCGATTTAGAGTTTGTGAGTAGCATTTCCACCTTGATCAACGGGCGTTCGTTAGATCTCGGTTCATCCAATCTATTCTAATCCCACGCTGCCATCTGCATGGTGATATCTAGCAAAGGTGGGTGAGATCTGATAACCTTAAGCTTACATATTAACTCCTGTCGCGAGATCTCCATACGTAACAGTTTAATGATTTGCTTTTTTTTTGGCGGTAGTCTAGTGCAACTTGTTACTTATCCGGCATCTATCCGTCAACTCCCGCTTGAATCCTATCCATTAGCACCCGGCCAGCACCCGGTGGCATATAGCAACCATATCGGATAGGTGCCGGATACATATACCAGCTGGTGTGCTTGGTTGAATGCTACAGTGCCAGCATGAATACATGGTGTATATGTATGTAGTGACGCTTAACGCAACTTAACAAGCCAGCAAGTAATCGCGCTATGCTTGATAAGTCATCTCATCATGAAACTAATTTCCCATTAATAGCTTGGATCTCGGAAAAACAATCCCCAACGGCGGCTTACATGGTTCCATCTATAGAATACACTGCTAGGATATGAAAAAAGACAGTTGCTAAGAGACGGTAGGGGTTTGGTTGTTTCGTAGAAGCCTGGCACTGGAATTGTATAAATCCCATGCTTGTTTCATCAAAAAGAGCAAAGTCATGTCTAACATGAAGCTTCAGACTCGTCTTCTGATTCTTTCCCGCAAGGACACAGCAGCACAAACAAGACATAATTCTTCAGAATTCCACGTGTAGCAATCATGGCAAACGTTCCTTCTCCTCTCAAGCCGCACATTCTCATCATCCCCGGAGCATGGTACCCGGCCTCAAACCTAGACACATTCATCGAATCGCTAGAAGCCGCAGGATATTCCGCTGAAGCCTTCTCGCTCCCCAGTTTCAACACAGCAGGCGTCTCTGTCCAAGACGACGAAGATCGAGTGAAAGTTTTGCTCACGTCTCTGATCGACAATGGAAAAGATGTCATCATCCTCGCCCATTCTTACGGCGGGTTGGTTGCAGCGGGAGTTATCGCCAATCCGGGTCTAGACCAGAGGACCAGAGAAGCACAGGGGTCAAAGGGGGGTGTCGTTGGTATTGTATATCTGGCCGCTATTATACCTGCAGAAGATGAGGGGATTCTTCAGCTGGTGGGTGGAAAGTGGTTGGAGTACATTGATGATACCAAGGTGAATAATAGACTGTTGTTGCGCCGCCTTCATCTTCTTCCCTCTCGACAGATCAAGACTCGAATGGCTTTACCTTTCTTGTGCTAACAATACATCTTTCTTTGATGCCAGGCTGAAACAGAAGGTCTTCTCTACACGTTTAACCCAACAGAAACCTTCCATCATGATTGCTCAGCCGAATTAGCCAGCAGCGCTGCAGAGACCCTGATGCCACACTCTGAACTGGCTTTGAAGACAGCCCCTTCGGCAGTAGGGTGGAAAGATAAGGCGTACGATGGCCGCCGCGCTTACATTCGCTGTCTTCAGGATAAGGCGCTTCCTATTGGCATTCAGGAACACTTAATTGCTCGATCGGAAGTCGAGTGGGTGGCCAAGTCTCTGGACTCTTCGCACAGCCCATTTTTGTCGATGCCAGGCGACTTGACGAGGGTATTAGAAGAGATTGTAGAAGAGTTTGTAAAGAATTGAGTGCTACGCTAAATGTACAAGATGCCACGATTATGGCATTGGCATATAATCTTTACCGCAAGATCAATAAGAATTCATTTGGCTGCCTCTTGATGCAATGCGCATCTGCCTAAAGCCCCTGTATCAGAATGATGGCGTGATAATGTATATGCTGTCACAATACCAGCCAACAGAATGTTGAGGAATTGGTGTTGGTCCTGTTGCATCGTGATCGTGCCTTGCCTAGATCGAGGCTGAAATTATCAAATCGACAGTTTGTAAGGCAGTATCTGGATCTTCGATAACGCATATGCCCATGCGAAAGTCGAATGCTTTACAGCGATTACATGTATGCAGTAGCGCAAGTTCTGCATCAAGGCTACACATTTGTATCCTCTCATATGCAACGACTCTATTGTTGATGCGTTTCAAAAAAAAACTTCATTCGATTTACGCGCGCCGCAGAAGCATCCATATGGCCTTCTTCCATGGCCGCTGGCTGTGCTCAAGACCCCTGCAAGCCATCATCAGACTCTCTCAGAATGCCTTATAAGCCTCCCGCGCTATTGCTGAGAACCACTCACACCACCGTCGCAATATGATCCCAGCCAAGGCTTTGCGATAAAAAGCACGAGAGAGTCCCTCTTATTTCCGTTAGTTTTGAAATAGGATCCTGTGATTAATTTATCTGTCTAACTTTCAATATTGTACAACTTGCAGTTATGGATTCTAAAAGACGGCGCGACGACAACTCAGATGATGGCGAAACCGGCTCATCGAGCAGGCTTGACGCTAGAAATGGACATAAACGCCGGAAAACAAGCCAAGCGGTTAATCTCTGCGAAGAATGCAGACAACTCGACATCGATGGTCTCTTCCATAAAGCTGCTGAAGACTTCAAAAGAGCTAGAAAAGGCCTAATCAAGCGACCTTCAAAAATATACGGCGGGCGCAACGATGGTCCTCTATTCTACGGAGATGCTTTCTTTGCACATTCCTTCGGGAGTCGCTTATCGGCGAGAGCAACTTGCCCTCTATGCCGCTTCTTTTGGTCTATGAGAATCCAACCGGATAAGCGTCATGCAAAATACAAGCTTCTTGGGTTTTGCAGCAGCGAGAGTTGGATTTTTGGCCTCTCCGGATTGAAGAAGAGTCCAGCCTGGCACAATACGCGAGATACGGTCTGGATGGGCGTCGTGCCAGATGTTCCGTCTATACCACAGTCAGGTCATGGCGAGAATTGGCTGGATAAAGACATTCCAGCAGTTGGACCAATCTATCTTTTGCAGCCTGATAAGAACGGGGAGGATATTCCCGTCTTATTAGAAGCACGGCATCTCAGTGACGCAGTCGATTTCGCTGTTGCACAGGAGTGGTTCTCGTTCTGCCAAAAGTGGCATTTAAGCTCCTGCAGTCGACCGAGCAAGGGTGATACCATTACTCGAGGGTTTCGTGTAATTGACTGCGAGAAGGATCCGCCGGTAGTGGTGGAAATGCCCTGGGGTGTTGAATATGCCGCACTCAGCTATGTATGGGGTCAGCGGCCCGAAGACTTGGTTGACTGGCCTGCAACAGTTCTTGATGCCGTTACGGTATCTCGTAAATTGGGATTGCGGTACTTGTGGGTTGATAGATTGTGCATCAACCAATCTGATGCTGTGGAAAAGGACTATCTCATATCCCGGATGACTACGATTTACGAATATGCTGAGCTCACTATTGTATCAGCTTCTGGGTCGGGAGCAAGCGATGGTCTTCCCGGGGTACGATCGACGCCTCGAAAAGGTCAGCCCAAGATTCCATTAGAGAGTGGGAGTCTTTTAGTGTCTGCACTCCAGGATCCCCGTCAAGAGATTCTGGCATCCGAATATTGGACGAGAGGATGGACATACCAGGAAGGCGTCTTGTCGAACCGGCGTCTAGTATTTACTGACCATCAAATGTACTGGGAGTGCCGTTGCATGGCTGCACATGAGAGTCTCCAGATGCCTTTGGAGCTACTTCACAGAAATCACACCTCCGTGACGAGTGCTACAGATTCGCGCAGGAGAGAGATTTTGCCCCAAATACCCAATGGACAACATATGGAGGACTATATTTTGGGAGGAATCTTCAAGAGTGAGACGTCTGGTGGAGATTTGGACATGGGCAGCCATCAACGAGACGTTATACAAACAGATGAATATCGGCTGGAATACAGATTTCCTGTGCCAGACGAAGCATCCACTGGCTCACAACTACGATCGTTGAATGACCATATCCGGGCTTTTTCGGCAAGAAAACTAAGTCATGGCGGAGATTCACTCAAGGCTTTCCTTGGTATCGCCGGCATGTACAGAGACAAGAGACTTTGTATATATCTTGGCATTCCCATGTGGACAAACGATATCTTAGTCGACCTCACGGGTTCTTACATTACATTCGCCCTCTCAGTCTGCTCATGGTACCATCGCAGCGGTACAGAGCATCAAATGTTCATTTCAGAGTCCTGTATTCGCAGAACACACCTGCCATCCTGGACATGGGCAGGATGGCAAGGCACGGTATCATGGCGCGCTCCACCGTCGGACGAGCATAGTGTCTTTATGAGCGATCTGATCACCGCAGAGCCACTCCAGATCCACTTGGTATGGGCAGCAGATCTTTATCTAAGGTCACCATGTGAGCCGGTGTGCTTATGCTTGCTGAACTTGTATTCTACAGATGTACTAGAGGCCGAAGTTCCTACGCTGCTTGAAGTACGGAACCCCCTAGTATTGAAGTACTCGGTAAGGCATGAAGTCAAAGGAAGCTGGGAATGGAGACGCCTAGCAGGCAGAGCAGGCGAAACACGCCGCTACCAAGCCGAACGACAAGAGTGGGATAAGAAATGGTATCGTATCGCTGGCAGGCTCGCCTTTGTAAGCATGTCCATTCCAATAAGAGAAGAGGACTGGACTCGAAAGCACGACACAGGCGAACTCATCAGCGTGCTTATATTTGCTGCTCAACGGCCCCGTGCAGAGCATGGCCGGGCAAGGTTTTTGACGCTGCAGAGGGTTGAGTCTGATTCGTTTGAGACGAGGTGGGAGAGAGTTGGAACGCTGCAGCTTACAATTCCGGAGGTTGACTTGGATAAGTGCTTTACGAATGAGGAGTTTCTGAGGAGGATTCCTGTGAGGGAGTGGAGAGGTGCAATTGTCATTCAGTAAGATATTAACTGTAAGGAGAACAAGCATTGCGAAACACTTGATCTTGTAATGTATAGTATTCTTGATTTAGCTAGAGGATAATATCCATGACAAAGAGCCCAAAGAGATATGATTCCTATAACTTGTGGTGAACTAGAACTCTCTTACTCCATTCTTTGAACGTCCTTGTATCGATTTCTAGGAAATAAATTAAGCATCTTGTTGCTAAATAGCAATTGCATGAAGCTGCTTGAATGAGAAGCTCATGCCCATCATCAAGAGTTCATAATTAGAATTGCAGATATTCGGCTGCACAACTTTTACGGCACTTCTCACCATTTGTGAGACCTTAGCTCACACCTTGGCAAGCTCATCCAAACCTTGGTCCTGAGACATCATCATATCCTGAAGCAGTAGACCATATTAGTATGCGGCCAGATTCGATCGACTCACCTCATTCAAGGTGGTATATATATATAAAAAAAAAGAATATGCTTACAAGTATCGATACTGGTAGCCACCCTGTCACAAACCGGATGATGCCACTATACGATCCTCTCCATACTATTCCGTTTCTATTACTCGCCACGATATCTGGCACGATAGAATTGACGAGCTCCTGTGTAGACCCTCCTTTGGGACCGAGCTCATTCTTAGCCCACTTGGTGATTGTTTTGAGGATTTTGGCATAGTAAGATGTTTCGGGGAGCACAGGAATCGGCTCATTGACGTGAAATGGCGTAGCAACGGTGCCGAGCAAGATGGTCACGACGCTCACGCCAAAGGGGGAAAGTTCCAAGCGAAGCGTCTCGGAGATGCTGTTGATAGCAGCTTTGGAGGACGCATAAGTTCCTGTAAGAAGCTTCTGCGTTAATCACGGTGATTCTCGCCACACAACGCAATGACAGTTGTATTGGATCAAATCACACTTACCAATCCACGGGGTGTTGACTACTGAGCCCACGGAGCTCATGTTAACTACTCGGCCTTTGCTTTTGATCAATTGCGGACCAAATGCTTGAACAGTTCTCACCACCCCCCAGACGTTTGCATTATATAAGTTTTGCGCCTTGTCAATGTCCACGTCCAGAATTGGCATCGTGTATCCGAACCCTGCGTTGTTCACCAACACGTCCAGACAGTGTCCCGCCTCCTCGACTGCCTCTGCGGCCTCCGCAACAGACTCTTTGGATGAGACATCGAGGGCTATTACGGACACGTTGGGGAGACTTCTGAGCTCAAAGGGGATTTTGGACGTGTCGCGTGCAGTCGCAAAGATACGGTGCTGTTGTTTTGCGAGTGTGAGGGCGAGGACGGCACCGATGCCGTCGGCGGAGCAGCCAGTGATGAGGATTGTCTGCCTCTTGGCCATTTCTATGCGACAATGGCTAAAGACAAATGAGAGAGATATACTACCCTCCGAAAGGAGGATGAAGAGAGGTCACGTCGGGAGGGGGGCAGCGATTCAACAAGTACGGGATTTTCAGCCTTCAATCCTTCCGCTTTCTTGTCACATTCGCTGCAGTTGTTACAATAATAGCAACAGGAATGCTTTTTGGCTATAAAAAGTTCCTTCACTGAACGTTGGTTCGCAACGTGTGCTAACCAAATCTCGTCCACGCCGTGTAATTCCCCTCATTTGTTTGGCATCTAGCGGCTTGATTTCGTGGCTGTCGACAGGGTTGAGAGCTTCTCCGCAATTAAAATTGGGCTTGACTTCATCGTGAGCCTGAAGGATTCGTAGGAGCATGTACATGCACCCATTCACGCAACCTGTGTGTGAAGTCAAGATGGACACGATCAACGAGGCAGACCTAGTAACAGCCCCATGTCGGCACACATCCCGATCGCTTGCAATAAACAATTACTACGGTGACATGAACATCAACCAGGTTTACGGGAGTCTCGAAGAGGATCAGAATCTCTGTCTTGTGCGTGCTTTCGGCCTTGGATGAGAATCGGCTTGGAGATGGCCCCGCTCGTGTAAACCAGAACCAACAACAGAAGACCCTTGACGATAAGGATCGACTCGGTTTGTCATCCTCAACTTGCAAATAATAGCTCTTATTATAGTATCTAGCTCAATCCAGAATCTCGCTTTCTTGGGACATTTTAAAAGTGATTGAGCATATAGAGGAAAGGGAAAGAAAGAAAACGACAAAGAAGAGAGATTTTCGAGTCGCAATATTCAGCCGCTTCTAAACCACATGCTCAGGATGAACCTCGTGCGTGATATCAATGTTTCGGACAATTCCATTCGCGCCAGCATTTGCCGATTCCGGCATTTCATTCTCTTCTTTGGTGCCGCCGTGAATATGAACTACTCGTGACGAATAGCTGCTCGCATCGTAACTGCCAGAGCCCTGTCGTGAGATATAAAGTGCTTGAGATTTCTCTCTGAAGCAACCTCATTTTCATAAGTCGACTCTTTGGAGTTTTCTGTGTTGAGATAGTCTTGAGCAAGTCGGGGGCCGCCACAATGTCTGTTGCCGTCTTTCTCGACGTCCTTGCCGCCTCTTCCATCACCACCTCTGCCGCTGCGTCTGCGGTGGATTCTGGATATAAACGCCTTCCATACACGAGTTTCTGCAATATGCTTCTTGCACATGTTCTTGAAAGCAGGTACACAGCAGACCACTAAAGCGACATTGTTTTCGACGATGCTGTGTAGAAACACTTGTTAGATGGGATTATTGGCGTTACTCGCTGGCGCTGCACTACTTACATGCAAATAAACAGCTGAGTCTCGAGCCAAGTGAGGTCTGGTGTGCCTAGCAACTTGATGCGGCCATAAAGTGCGATGACACTGGCGATAACTCCCCTGTTGCCTCCATGTTAGCACATACACGTGTACTCGCTAGCAACAATCATGGTTGAGCACCTACATCAAGGCAGTGAAGAAGACGGCGCACAAAGCGATGCGTCTTCTGAGGGGCATGTTAAGTTTCCATAATACCGGCAGTGGTAGTATGAAGATGGCTATATCGATGACGACGGCCAATGAACCCTGAACCGGTCCGAAGTAGATGATCTTTCCGGGATTGCCACTCGTCAAAAGATCTATCCACGTCTCACCAGGTCGTGGGCATGCAAAGGCAATCTCAAGAATCGAGTTGGTCCAGTAGGTGAGAGTGAGGACGACCATTAGAATATAGACAGTTATGCGGATAGTCCTATTTGCAGAGAATATTTGAAGGTAGAGCAGCAAGATGGCAGCTTTGGCGAAGAAGATGGCGGGCCCGAGCAGCATGCCAAATGAAAAGATAAGCTTCAAGTATGTTGCAGTGTACCAACATATGGGCACATTCCATTGATGCCGTGAATACCGAGCAACTAGTGTAATCAAGATGAGCATTTACGGGCAAAAGCTGCATTCGAGTGTGTGTTAATGCAACATACCTGACAGGATAAGCCCTGTATAGGCCGCATTGAGAACGCAGGCGATGATGGCAAAGTCTGTGTGAAGATGGTCAGTTTGCATATATTGTTACCATCGTTCGGTCCTACAACTTACAATCTGCCAACTTCAAGTCCCGCCAGTTCATCCATAGCCGCGCAGCAATGAATATTGTCGACCAGGTGAGCATGACCGCCGATACCGCGATGAGAGCTGGCGCGAGTGATTCAGGATCGACGAAGTTAGGAACAACACCGGGAGGAGGCATCGCTGCAGGGAGCTGGCAGAGATCTGTGCCTGGGGGTATAGTGAGACTGCTCATTTTGTCTGCAGCTTGTTTTGATCTTTTCTGCTTTTCTTATGCTTCTTTTCCCTTATTCTCCAACCAGCAGTCGAGGCTTCATGAGAGAGGAGGCCTTCCGCTTGTTGGCCGCCGTCGTGAAGGTACAATGGTAGCTGTCAGTTATATAAAGGAGCAAATATAAACGGTGGGTTGATCGGCTAATTCACCCCAAGAACCAGACGGTGCCAGCAGGGGAATATATTGCAATTACATCCAAGACGATAATGAGACGATTGAGGATGAACAGAGCAAATATAATGGACATCCAGTCAAGTCGCCCCTCTGGGACCGACGCATTGAGATTCCATCCTTTTAAATCTCCAAAGGGCATCAGCTAGTCTTTGAAGAGCTACAGCTGATGAACCAAAAAGGTATGAATGAAGAGTTAAAAAATAGCATTGGTGTTGGTTCGATAACAGTGTGGAAGGCGCTTTACGCATTAGTCGATTTAGCCACTCTCGAGATCTCCGAGAGCGTCCGTATTTAGGATTCCTTATTGATAGAATCAGTTGGAGTGCTCGATAACGATAGCGATCGAACTCCCAAACTTCGCGGTGATGCATGGAGATTTGTATCGTGTTCTTCTTTTACGGTCCACGAGCAAATGTTTTGAGAATTTCATCACATCGAGCAGCCAAGATTTGAATCTTCAACCTGCCTAGCGCGATCTACTAAAGCTTCTCATTGTGCTCCATCTCCATTCTTCGCACGTTGGTGTTGGTGGCTTGGCAAGCTGGAGCGGGGGAATGAATGTGCATGTTCCGGATTGGAGAAGATGTGGCCAAAGTCAAACCAGGAAAACAGCCAGTGCGTAGAGGCTCCAAGGGTATCCTGAATCAAAGCTGAAAATGAATCGCAAAGTATATGAGCGCAAAGAAGAGCGATCTGTCCCTCGTGTAGGCCATAGCCGTGTTGCTAGGAGCTGAAGCTCTATAAAAAAGACCTTTCATCACATCGCTGAGTAATAACAGCAAGGAATACAATTTATCCGTCCAAACACGATACGTTGAGTTTGAATTTCAACGTTGGACGATCCGCAGAGCCTTTTCCATGGCATCAAAGCAGGCATCAGACTAACATGGGATGCTCCATATATGATCGTAGGGCGTACGAATTACACATCAGAAACAGCTTCAAGCACAGACCTTGCTGCAGATTCTCCAGCCGGCACACCGGATACGACTTGCTAGTCCAACTAGTTCAACACCAAGCTGATTCAATTAGCAAGGTCACGCCGGCACGCGATGGGGGCATGAACCAGATAGATTCCCGCAACCTAGACGCCTCCAATACGAGAAGAATAGAAATGAATACAAGCCCCTCACATATTCATGCAGGCGACTGTGACTCTGGGATTGGCCTTCAGCCAGCCGTGGCGCAGCGCTCCAAAGGTAATCGATCTGTTTAGTGGCACTTGTGTTGCATTAGGCCCCTCCCGTAGCCACTTGTTGCGCATTTGTTGCCTCACTGGCTCATTTTCGTCGTTCTGATGGTCAGGGCGATGCTCGGCAGCAGTAGATGAGATCTTCTTCAGGGAGGGGGGCACGGATACTAAGACAGAACCTGCGTGTAAGTCCAGTCTGTGCACACATGTGTGCCGGAGTACCCCGGCGAATCAGATCTCATGTATCTGAGTGAGGCTGACACGAACTATGAGATTCGAAAAATGGGCATAGTCTGTATAGAACGTCGAGACCGTAGTCGCAGAAGCTTGATTTTGCAAGCGGCTACTAGGGGAGGGCCGAAGACAAAATGAATGGAAGAAAGAATCATATCGTTACAAAGAAAGTGATATGTGAAAATATTATTATTTTACTAATGTGCTAGATCAAAGCATATTTGACAACAGAAATCCAATAGCCCACTCAATAAGAGAGTTCACAACGCGCATGAGTGAGCACCTGGTACCAGATATAGTAACAGCGCAGTAAAACAAATTACTTTTGCTACTAAGGATGCTTTTTGCGAAACGTGATGATGGTGCTGCTCCGAGGCACGATGCTCGACCTCCAGGACATGGATCTTGGTGCTTCAGGCTCAAGTATCTTGCACTCCCAGTCTTCCAAGATGCGGATCAAGATGAGCTTGGTCACTAGCGAGGCATAGAATCGGCCGGGACTGTTTTTGCAGATCATTTTCCATTAGTACAATACAACGCCTCAGCCGCTCTCTTTGAGCAGATCATGCTTGACTCACCAAGCCGCATTGCCAAGTCCCCAAATTGGCCAATCAAGAGTGGCATCGGTAAATTTGGACTCTTTCTGTCTAGGTATCTCCGTAGACTGCTTATGCTGCTGGTGTTGGGCGTTGTCATGCGCGAATCTGAAGCCGTCAAACGTCTGCGGGTCTCCGTACCGCGAGCTGTCTTGCATTATAGCTCGCTGGGGGATACATGCCCAATCGCCCTTGTTGAGGGATGAGCCATCTTGGAAGGTATACGGGACGAGAGCGTTGCGCCGGCACGTAACTAAGGCTACCGTAAGTCAGTGTTCTTAAACATAGGCGTCGTCTTATAATAGTAATGCAGCTAACTCACTGGCATCGAAATTGCTGTTGCGAACCGATTCCTTGATGAAGCTGTCAAGCAGCGGCAGTCTTTCAACATCTCTTGGAGAATCTTCCGCATGAAAGCAGTCTCGAATCTCTATAGCCAATGGCTCAACGTACTCGGGATGTAGACATAGATCTTGAATTGCATATGTCGATGTCTGATCAACAATGTTAGCATACTACAACGATATGGCATAAGAGGCGGACGTATTTCATACCATGGCCAATTGATGGACTGATCCAAACCAAACCGCCATAATTTCGCCCACCATTTTTGCAGGCGTCCAGGGGTCTTTGCGAGGCGAGTTGTTAATCAACCACTGCATACAATCCATCTAGGCTGTGTCAGCTATACATATAGAGTCATGTATGAATTAGCTTGGCAATTTGTCGACGCACAGGTGTAGCCTCATTGGACCGAAGTCCTTTAACTGCAAATCGCTGCTCTATAATTGGCACCAGATAGCGGTAGATTGTTGTCGCGGCTTTGTGTCGATTGGTGGCGATGGATGCTACCAGTGGCCGCATGAATTCCGGAGTGATACGCAAAAACTCAGCCGCAAAGGCCACGTCTTGAGGGAAATCCAAGGCCGCTGTGGTAAATTCTGTGTTTTGGGCTATTTTCATGCAGCAATCGTTAGTTTATAGCTACTTTTTCAAAGGATATTGAGAAGAAATGAGAGTCGTACAGAGTTCTTCACCGAAGAAGACGAAGCAGTTGACTCTGGTAACGAGTGTCTTCATCAGTGGGAAAATTTTCGCATAAGCAAACCCTATCGAAATTATGTTAGAAAGATCACCCAGTGCAATTGAAACACGTCAGGATACAGTTGGCTTCAATACCGTCTGGTTGCACGTCTCTCAGTCCACTCAACAGAGCATTCTTCACTATAACCTCTAGATGGGGTTGGAATTTCGGGAGGTGAGAAGTAAGAAGGCTTCGAAGGGCACGGACATATCCCGTTCCCTCAATTCCATGATGATCTTGCACCTCAAAACCACACATTGTGTACTTAGGTTGCAGAATCTGCCTCTTCGTTAGATGTGCAGGCTGCTGGGTGTGTATTTTGGCATCATATACCTCTTTAGCTACAGCATGTAGCGATAAATGCTGGGATGGCGCATTTATGAGCTCCTTGATAAGACTGGTGGACGTGATGAAAAGATGGTCATTAGATGGAGTGGAAACCTTGAAAGGCTTTCCTTGGGCCTATCCGATGTCAGATTCGCTGGTAAATGTTTGCATATGTCCTCTTGCAGGCCTCTTACTCGATTATATGCACGATCGATGAGCTCGGGTCCTGAGAAGAGATACAAAACGCCGTGAATACGTCGGACCAAGAATGAAGTTGCCTATATTTCCATGATTCAGTAAAGTCAGCAACCCGAATCACAGAATCTCCCAAACTGACCGTTCTGATCTGGCGAAACTGAGACACAAGCAAGACTGCAACTAAAAATGTGACTCCAAGTAGCTTCTCTTTGTATATCACGGGGGCTGCCAGCTTGAATGTAAGAATAACGGTATCTATAATGACAGACATTTTGTAGCTTCGATCTTTTGGCGGAGCTCAGGAATATGATATGGGGGTAAGAACTTGTAGAAGGAGAAAACATAACACAGATGGATCGAGTTCAGTCACGGCTTCAATTGGAAGCCCTCTATTTAAGATGACTGAGACTCTTTATACTATAATGCGACCTACCGGGCGCACATTTCCAAAGTCAAACCTTGGTATGCAGCCATTCTTCACATCTCTATGAGCAAACCCGTTTTTCAGCACTACAAGGAGCTTCTACTTCACATTCACATGCGTACAAAGCCCCTATTAGGGGACAGTTCGCTTCACTACCCTGTTCCCATCCCACAGCCCTGTTACTGATATGCGAAGTAAAGAGACAGGCATTACAATCCGTTCAGCCCCAACTGATAGATCAGTTCAGATGAAACTAGCCGACCTATGCTCGCATCCCAGTTTATAAATCGGTGTTATTGTAGGCCACACGATGTATAGGTTCTGCACATGCTTTATACGTACACTGCCTATTACGATACTATGCGCTTCAACAGTTGTTATATATTCTCACAAGTCGCCCACTCTCCTCATCTATCGTCTTCCATATACCTACTCAAAGCCTATCTCTTTCCCCCACAGAGCACGTACCCCTCAAGCACGGTCCAAGTTCATCGGCTGATGTTGTGACACCGGTAATTGTACCCCTGGAACTCTCAGAAAGAGGCTGCATAAGTGCCGGCTGCGTACGGCGCCGTTAGGCTCATACACCGTCAGATCGTAGACGGCCAAGGAAATTGGAGGCGCAGCTCCTTAGTACGCCTATACCTCATTATCCAATCATCCCTTTATGATTTGCGGCTGAGAGAAGGGACTGACGGGCAAGGATCCTAGTCGTGAGTCTTGGGAGAATGCCCAACAAAAGGTAAAAGGGATATCTGTTACAAACCCGCTAGGGTATCTTGCTGGCATGATGAATGACTATTTAATCAGTATAAAAGTTCCTGGATAAGGTTATCTGCCAAATGATCAGCCCTATAGTCTCCCACTCTCTTCTTCTTAGTCTAACAAGGATGGAGAAAAAGTATAATATCGGTTCTCAGTGCTATAAGAATAACTTCAATTCCTGCAAAAACAAGATGAGATAATGAAAAGAGATAACATCTTCCTCGAGTGAATCCGGGAGGTTTCGTCCGAGGCAGGGGTTATGAACCTTGCTATTGGCCAGCCCTGTCTGTTTGCTCGGGCACAGCCGAGCGGCTGAGATGACATCCGGCCCCTGTTCAACAAACAACAAACACCACTAACCGGGTAGCTGGGTCAATCACAGGGCTGTTGCCTGATATAAATGCCTATAGTTTGGAAATTAGAGGATGATAGTGGCCTTGGGGCGTTCTGTCACCAAGGAGCCGGTTGCTTCTGATGGTGGCCCGGCCCGAGCTCCCGGGCCGTGAATTTGAATTCCTTATAGGCCAGATTTTGGAAAGGATTCTAACCCTGCTATCATTATGGCGGACTAGAGTGAGATTTTGCCTGACATCCTAGGGAGAAAAGTATACGGGGATATATACCAGGCTTCTTGTACATGTCTTGGCATATGGTACCCTGACAATCCGACTGAGAATATGTAATCATATAAGTATGCATACATGCCTAGCGATATATCGCAAGCATCATCATATATCTGATGAATATCAGGTCTGCTGCAGCCCACACAAGTGTTCCCCTTCTCTCATCTATTCTAAGCGACAGTTTCCTCCTCTTCCTGTTACTGCGTGTTTTTCTCATGCCCCAATCCATCATGTTACTCATGATACTAGCTTGGCAGGTGATATTGGCCTTCGATGCTCTGGTGGAGAACTCTCGGGACAATTTATTCCTAGTTGTAAGCGGCATCGCGTTAATGTCTGGATGGCTCGTTTGGAGACTTTGGAGATTCACTGTCTGTCCTCAAATATACCCGGACGATCCGCAAGAATTGCCGTATTGCATTCCTAGTAAGTTAATCAAAAGCATCAACTACCACTGCTTCTTTCTTCACGTTCATTCTGTCATCTCCTCTGTGTTCTTCGAAAGGAACACATTTGCTAATACTCTTCTTAGTTTTGGGTAAGCTGCGCAAAATAATAACTAGGGGCAGACTCCAAAAACTGTTGACACAATTCATATTTAGGTCATGCACCGGCGTTCTTCAACAACTCCAATACCCTGTTAACTAAAGCTAGGTAAGAAATTATAATTCACATCATTTCTACCACACATCGAGCTAAGCACTACCTCTCTCAAAGGGCCTATTTCGGCAACACCAACGAGCCGTTTGCATTGACCATTGCCGGGTCGAAGATATATGTCATCACAAAGCCCAAAGACGTCGCCAGCGCGTACCGAAATACAGAGACCCTATCTTTTAATGAGTTTGTCCAGGCTTTGATGCGCGCTTGGGGGAACACTGAGTCCTGCATCCAGGCAATGTACACACCACTGCCAAAGGACAAAGGAGGCTTTGCAAACCCCCAAGGAAAGCCATTGGCGACGTTGGCGAGGCAAATACATATTCACCAGCTGTTTCCTGGAGATGGACTAGATTTCCTCGAGAATTCTTTCCTAGAGTGGTTTGATGTGCGCATGAATATTAGAAAGCTCCATGCTGTCTGTCCCTATGCCCTCAAGTCGACTGACGTCGACATTGTGCTCCCTCTCATGGAGTGGTGTTCCGATTTCTTCACTCGTGCTGGGCAGAGAGCATATTTCGGAGACGAGCTTGACCAAATCGATGTTACGCTTGCCAAAGAATTCGTCATTTATGACGAGCTGAGTTGGCAAGTTCTCTACCAATTTCCCGATTTCCTCACTAGAGAGATGAAGCGATCCAAAGACGTCATTCAGCGCGCGTTGAAGAAGTACATTCAACTGGCTCAAAGCCAGAGATCTGGCGAGGCTTGGTTTACTAAGGTCATGGAGAACGAGATGCGGGCTTTGGATATCAGTGAGGATGACATTGCAACCATGTTCATGGCTATATACTGGGCGTACGTCTGCTATCCAACTTTCTTTTCTATTCCCCTCTGTAACAATTCCACCTAAATCTCACTTCAGGACTAACATACATCATAGAATCAATACGAGTACGCGTAAAGCCGCCTTTTGGTTGCTCACGTACATCCTCCACGCTCCCTCGCTCATCGAAGTGATCCGCGAGGAGACAAAAGCTGCTTTCAACGACGACGGCAACATCAATCTCGAGCATTTGCACAATCAATGCCCTCAACTCAACGCCATGTGGAACGAAACCATCCGCATGTCCTCCTACGCAGCCTCCGTACGCTTCATCACCAAAGACACCATCATCGGAGGCAAAGTCTTGCGCAAAGGCAACAGGCTCATGATACCGTTCCGCCAGCTGCACTTTGACCGGGGCGTCTTTGGCGAGACGGCGGACTCGTTTGATCACGAGCGTTTCCTGAAGAAGGCGACTTTGACGCAAAGCAACAACTGGAAACCCTTTGGAGGCGGAAATACAATGTGTCCCGGAAGACATATGGCGAAGAGATCCGTCTTGTTGTTTGTTGCCATGCTGCTTCATAGGTTTGATGTCGAGATGGATGGCTATCAGCCTATTCCAGCGGCAGAAGAGGGCAAGCCAGTACTTGGCATCATGTCGATCAAGGGCACAGATGATCTGAGAGTGAGACTGACGACGAGAAAGGCAAAGGCATAAGATACAAAGTCATGTTGAATGATTTTAAAATGCCTTATCGATCATTTGGTGGAATTGGACAGGAGAGAAGCTTTGGTGAGAGAACAATGTAGCTAGATGAAGTAGATGTGAATTTGCTGGTTACGTGTATAGATAATAGGGCGTGTGAGTGAGATATGCATGAGCTGCTGTTACACCGCGTGTTCACATGTCAAGAAGTGCATTACTAGTAGAACTACTAACTCAATCCCAATCTACTCTGTATAAAATACATTGAGCGATTGATTCTGCATCAACATGAATATGCTGTTATCAGTTCTCGTCTGTGCTGCGATTTCTAATACCATGCACCAACTCGTATTCCCCAACCACCTTGATGGTACGTAAACAAATGAGACTGGTGCATCAATCCTTGTCCCGCCGCAAACGCATGTCATCATCGCTCCTCTCACCGTCGGACTTCCTGACTTGGCCATCTCTACACTTTCCAACCCAAACAGAGACTATCATCATCTCATCAATCGAGTCAAAAACAATGGACGGCGCTGCACGTAAAAATCGAGACCCTCTGGAGTCCATGGACGCCCATGAGAGCCACGACGAAACCACCCGCCAATTCTTCTCCCACACAAGCGCCAAGCGTGTCAACACCGACGCCGCCATCGCAAAGGCCCTACGTCAACAATATCCCAATCTCTCCGTCTCCATCGCCCCGGCAGACTCATGCAATCTGCTCGCCTACGCATCAGGCGGCCACGCCTCATTCACGCCCGTCGGCAGCGACGACGACTCCCACGTCCCGTCCTCGCTGTCGTGGAAAATCTACGTCCCGCCCTCGAGGCGCATGAACGGCGACCTCGGCGTCATTGCAAAGAACGTCTTGTTTGAAAAGTACCTGTTCCAATGGAAGGACAAGGACTTCATCGTGTACCTCGTCAGCGGCCGCGACGGAAGCGGCGCCTATCCCACACTCACAAACTTCTTTGTGCTCTCCACGCGCGAGGAGCTGGCCGAGCAGCTGATTCTCGCCGCTGGGCGGTGGACCAGCGAGCTGCACGAGGAGATTTGGGTGTTTGACGGCGGCTACTGGTCCAAGAGCGCGGAGCTGTACCAGAGCGCGATGAAGTCGTCGTGGGAGAATGTCATTCTGGATGAGGACATGAAGAAGGCTCTCATCGAGGACCACATGTCCTTCTTCCGATCGAGGGCCACGTATGCAAGGCTCAAGGTGCCGTGGAAGCGAGGCATCATTTATTACGGCCCGCCTGGAAACGGCAAGACGATTTCTATCAAGGCTACGATGAATATGCTTTACCATCTTAAGCAACCCGTGACGACCTTGTATGTGAGGTCTCTGAAGTCGGTATGTTGTCACCCCGGGTACTTGTCCCGTTAAGAATGGTCGAATCGCTTTTCACATGGAGATCTGGCTGACGAGAGTATTTGTAACACAGTTCTCTGGACCAGAGAGAAGCATCGCCATGGTCTTCGCAAAGGCGAGAGAGTTTGCACCCTGCTACCTCGTCTTCGAAGACCTCGACACCATTGTCACCGACGACGTTCGGAGCTATTTCCTAAACGAAGTAGACGGTCTAAAGAGCAATGACGGTATCTTCATGATCGGAAGCACCAATCATCTCGAACGGTTAGATCCAGGCATTTCCGTAAGTCGCCCTTAAAACGCCGCAGCATCATTTCATCATATCTAACGCTTCGTTTTTAGAAACGCCCTTCGCGCTTTGACAGGAAATACCTCTTCCCAGACCCAGATTTCGACCAACGCGTCGCCTACTGCCAATTCTGGCAGAAGAAGCTCGCCGACAACAAATCCATTAGCTTCCCTGACAAGCTCTGCACCGCCATTGCGGAAATCACAAACGATTTTAGCTTCGCATACATGCAAGAGGCCTTTGTGGCCGCGCTGCTTGCAATTGCGCGCAATGAGCAGCCCGGCGATGGCGAGGATGACGACACGGAGGACGAAGCCATGGTTATGACGATGGATTTGGCGGACAACGAGTGGGTCAAGGTGCTGGATCGGCCGGTGGAGGAGAGTCCGGAGCTGGATGAGCTGGCGCTTTGGGTCGAAATTAAGAAGCAGGTTGCCATTCTACGCGAGGGGATGGAGGAGAAGACTGCATGAGCCTGCTTCTGGGCGTCTGCAAATGGCCGGGCCAAGAAGGAAATCATGACGGAACAGAATGTTAATATCGTGTTATGTATCAAGCGAGTCGCAATAAGTCAAAAGAGAGATATAATCCTACTTTCTTCTTTATTCAATTTGCCCTAGTATACAACAACCAATAGCTAAAGGCGTGAGAGTACATGTAAAATGATCATAACTAATAAGTACATAGAATCATAAGTCTTGCTGCTCCTCAGGTATCCAATATGAATCAGCGAATAAACCAAAAACGAAAGATGAGCCAATGAATTGATGTCTGGTACTACACCCCTCATTTAAACCCGGTACCAAGACAGACAAGCAGAGGTGAATGTAAAATAGCCCTTAATGGGGGATATCCAATAGAAAGCAATGCCATACGGGTATTAGCAGGAACATAGCTCAATGCAAATAGCAGTCCATCTTCATCAAGTTTGAAACCTGCTTATCGATTAGCGCAATTAATCTCGGCTTCAGGAGTAATGATGGTCCTCACATTTCGGGGGAATTCGTTATTTCCTCGAATGTCTGCAAAATATCGAATCCCATGGCCACCAGGGGCTCAAACGCATCATCGACAACCTGCATCGTATTAATATTCAAAGGAAGTAAGTCAAGGAGAATCAAGGAAAACGTACCCAGCTTAAAACCGACTTGGTTGCTTTGTGGCCCTTGTTCTGTCGAAGGCCCATCAAAGCAAGGCCCTGCAGCACCAAAGTCGAAAGAGGAGCCGGAGGAACAATTGGGGCCAGGAGACCGCCAATGTCTTGACCGAGAGAAACCAATGGGGGAACATATCTGGCGAGGGGGCTGTTTGGCCTGCAAATGATGATGGTTCCTAGCAGATTTCCTCCTGCATCCTTGGCTCGCACAATGCCACATGCCTTGCTCTCTTCCAATGCGGTTCGGTAGAGTTCGAGAACTTCAGGGTTTGCGTGGGTTCGTACATGATGCATCACCGTGTCCCCGCTTTCAACGCCATAGATCAGGTCAAAGCTAATGTTGGCTCGCTGGATGCTTTGCGAAAGTCCCTCGGGAGCATACCACGCACTCAAATCTTGAATAACCATGTTTGTGAGTCTTCGTGGGAACTGAGTGTCCCACCCACTGTTGCTGAACCATTCTTTTGTCGTCGTCACTTCGATATCAAGAGGGATTCCAAGGAATAGCGCAGGGAAGCTTGATCCTAGCTGTACTTTCTTGATGCCTCTCTGCTGTGTTAAGCTCCTCAGTGCTCGGCGATGAAGAGATCGTCCAATCGACAGATTCCGTTTGGTTGGGTCCACAATGAGGGCTCCAAGGATGCCGACATTTTGGATGAAATATGTAGCAACGAAGCCGTAAAGGGCCTGTGTGCTACTGTTTCGCACCACGAAATGGGTCTCTATTATGTTCGGGTTGTCAAGGACAAAGGTATCTGAGGTAGTGGTCTGCAGGTACCGGAAATCCTGGTCGCTAGCCCTGTGCACCGCCCGAATGAGGTCGTTCAGGCCTTTTCGATCCCGATTGCTATCAAACTCTTCCACCAGCCAATGCTGTCGAGACTTGAGAACTTTCTTGCTCTTTCGAAGGGTTCCCGGCATGGTGCCAACCGGGTTGCTGTCTCCGATCAGGGCTCGGACGAGGGCAGCCATGGCATTCTCCGTAAAGTCGTATGTGCAAATGTAAGTACCTATGGATTTGTCCATGGCGAAGTCGTATGGAGAGCTCACGGCAACGACAATGAGCTGCTTCTTTTGCCCTCTGCTACGAAGCATAGAGCACATCATGTCAACATGTTTGGTAAATCCGGCCTGATAGAGATTTCGGTTTGCATCTGCCGTGAAAATGATGATGCAAGATGCCCTGTTGATAAGGTTTTCATGAACTACAGAATAGAGTTAGTGAATGCCTTGGAAATCTTTCCTGCCACCAGCATATTTCTTACCTGGCCTGACTCCGTTGGCTGTGTAGCTTGTGTGTAGAAGCTTTTCATTGCGATATCTTGCAAGCGTTTTGCCAAATTCTCGAAAGACTCCTTCTCCGCTCATGATGGCGCTTCTTTCTCGGATTTGATGACTCCATCTATCGTGCATAGTGTGGATCATAGATGCATCGTTCTTTGACTCGAGCAAGCTCTTAGTCAAAGAGGAGGCCGGCAGTGGCTTGACCAAGGGGGTCAGCAAGAGGAGCTCCTCACCGGGATGCATTGAGAGAGAAAGGGGCAGCAGCTTCTCCTTATCTCGTACAATGGTGATGGAATCATCATAAGCTCGCCGAGATAAGGCAAGATGAGAGGGACGAATCTGTGAGAGTAGATTTATGCCGGGAGGGTTTAGTGCCTTTGCCCAGGAAGTGCAGGTCGACTTTAGATGAAAAATTCTTCTCAGGGAGGTAAAGATCCTCTCCTTTGTAATGATGCCGTTCTCGTAACCCAGCTTGAGGCCTTTGATAGCTTCCAACTGAACGTCGTAGGCTCGGCAGAGCAGCACGATATCGCATCCTGCCTCCACAGCCATGACAACGCCGTTCTGGACTCCAAGATCTTGGCTTAGTGCCTCCATTTCAAGGCATTCTGAGATGGCAACGCCTTTAAATCCAAGTTCGTTTCGGAGAAGGTCGTCGACAACCTGATCAGACAGACAAGCATGGCTGACATTCATGGAAGGGTTGGAGATGCCACATCCGCCAATGAACATGCCGTCGAGCTTCCCAGAGGAGATGGCGTTTCGAAAGGGCACCAAAGCGCTAAGGCTCAGCTCTTCTAGTGTTTGAGTAATGATGGGTACGTCAAGATTGGAGCCAAGAAAGTCGAGATTTCCATAGGATGGGAAGTGTTTTCCACAAGAGGCCACGCCAGCGTCACGAATTCCACTCAAAGCTGCCAGTCCATACTGAGATACTTCTTGGGGGTCATCACCCGAGGCTCGCACTCCAATAACTTGATAGCGCGCATTGTTAAGAACGTCCAAGACCGGGCCCAGCATGAGGTTAACACCACAAGCCGCGATTTCGGTGGCGGTTGCCTTGTTGACTTCATAGGACAACTCAAGGCTGCCAGTGGCTGCAATGGCCATGGCGCTGGGGAACTGGCAGACATAATCCTCGTCAAACAGACTGTTGACGCCGCCATTTTCTTGATCTACGGCAATGAGAAGCGGCTGTGGGTGACCGGAATTCTTGGCAATCATCTGAAGCTCTTGAACGAGCATTGCAGTGTGATGCGCCGCTAATTGGCCAGTTAGCAAGATGCCCGGATCCACCACAAGAGGTCTATGTAAGTGCGCGAGTAGGAATACGAGTAGGCATATTAAGAATACCAGGCGCATGGAACACATGAGGACAATGTGCTGTTGAAGGAAAGGGAATCACGCACATTTCAGGTTCTTGGCCGTCAAAATGATGGAGCCGAGATGGTGATCCTCAATGAGGCTTCTGATTTGGGGTGTAACTTGGGTGCCATCCCAGCCCATGAGCAGCATCTGCCCTATCGCCCTATATCAAGTAAACCATGTCAATCATAGTCATTGCGGCTAGCAAGCCAGTCACATGTAGAGGCTTCCAAGCAGCCAAAAGAGACAGCTACAACAGCAGCATCACTGAAGCCGATGGAAAGGATAGAAGGACAGCCGCAAAAGATCAACAGCAGTGCCACGTACCAATCAAGATTCTGCCATAGCGGATCCAGCTCAAACTTGTCGGCAGAAGAGCCGCTGATGGAGTTGGCCATTGTGGATGAGACGCGAGCCTGTCATCAAAATCACCTCCAGGACATGGCAAGCGAAGCACCGGCGGCGCTGGTGGGCGCAAGGCGAGTCGAGTCGAGTTCGAGTCGAGGAAGCTCAACTGGAGAGAGTCTCACGACAAGTGACGGCCCGGGAGTGGGCTTGTCTGGCTATCCTCGTACGGGGATCACACAACACGCAAAGGGCATTCGCTACGTCTCAGCTGAAAGGCCCATGTCTCGAGCATCGCTCATGACATGAGGCCGCCGCGGTTGGAAATCCGGCTTAATGTCGGCTAATCAGGAGATAAACTCGGCGGGGGGCGCCTCACGGGATTCGGAAGTTCAAGGCTCTAGACTGGACTATCAAGATTAGTCGTCGGTAGGCTAAACGGCTGTCTGCAGTCTTGGGAACACAGTGGCAACATAGGTAGTGGCGTTACCAAGTTCGACGGTAGTACAAGACAAGCCAAAGTGTTGAGCTGATGCCCTTAACTGTCCTCAATGAAGATTTCACTACATGTACTACAGGTAACTAAGCCTTGGCGGCTCGGCGGAGTCGCTCTCCATCAACGGTGCTCCGATTCCAGCGGCCGATTCCAGTTCCAGCGGCTCCTCCAGGATTGGCTTCAGCGCGTGTTCCCCAAAGTGGGCTGCTGCCGCATCGTACAAGTACTCGTCTGGTACATTCGCATGTACCGCAGTATCGCATCGTGCCCTTTGCCTTTAGCGCATTGCAAGTCAACGTTACATGCCAGCCCAGGCTTTTGATCGCCACCCGCACTGCGTTTGTGCCCGTTTCAGCAGCCACTGTAAGTTGGGCCACCTCAGGTAGCAGCGGAACTGGGTACATGTGCATACAACGGCATCTCGTTATAGTGCTAGCATCTGCAATAATTCGCCGTGGCCAAAACGGATGTTGACGACGTTAGTTATGCACGATAAATGAAGAAAATGGACTCGAGCTTTTTACAAGGACAATGTAAATGACCAAGTCTTTTTTTTGAATCCAGAATCTAAAGATTTAAAAAAAAAAAATTGAAGGCATTCAGCCTGTAATAAGCGGCCTTCGGGAGAAAGGCAAAAGAGACAAGTAGAAACCAAATAGCTCTCAACCCATTCCATTTCCTAGCACCACGCCCTATCAAAGCGCTACTCACTATGAGACAATCCAGTCCATCTCTTTTTCTGCACGTCAGAGCCCAAGTACAGCCCATGTACTCCCATAACTCACCAGATCTTTGCGTGCAACAGCTCTTGGACCCCCCGTCCAGACTCCAGCCGGGCAAGCTCCACCGCGAAGGCACATGGCACCGTGACTTCAACGGATAGGCGAGGATTTTTTTTTTCTCTCAGTCTGCTGCTTGCTCCATAACCTAGGCGCTTGCTACCATCGGACGCTAATCGGCGTTCAGGTTTCGAACTCTATGCAGTTACTCGGCCGGATCAAGGGAGTGAGACCAAGGCGTGAGGCGTGAGGCGTGTGGTTCTCAACTGGTGTGTGGTGTTTGTAAATGCCGTATATACATGTACCGGCCTTGCTCTCGGGCGTTGAAGCTGCTTCCTGTTCTGCTATGGAGCCAGTATCAAACGGTGCCGGGACAAGCAGCCCGAGTCTTTCTTCTCCCAGAGCGCTCTTTCTTGAATCTTTGTTTCCACCACATCCTCCGTGAAGCCCGAGAAAACATCTCTAGCATCAGAAGATCCTATAAAAGACAAAAAAGACTTATACAAAAGAATCCTTTGCTCACAAAGGGGAGCGCCGGAGCAACAACATGCCCATAGCACTGTCCCCTCCCTTCCGGCCAAGAAATGGCTTGACCAAGTTCACCAACTGCCGCCTCCTGCGCGGCGATAAGCTGGTCGAGGAGGATCTCTGGGTCAGCTCGCTGTCCGGCAAGGTTGTCAACAGCCAGGCTGCCTTTTTCGACGATCTCGTCCTCCCCGACCAGACCATCGACCTCGGCGGCCGCATCATCTCACCTGGCATGATCGATGTGCAGCTCAACGGCGCGTTTGGATTCAACTTCTCGACGCTGCTCGATGACATGTCACAGTATGGCAAAAAGGTCAAGGAGGTGCAGAAGTTGCTGGTGCAGACGGGCGTCACATCGTACAATCCCACCATCACCAGCCAGAGGCCAGAACTATACCAGAAGGTGGGTCACCATGCATATATTTCTGTGTTCTATAATTATGTTCATTCTCATTTTCATTTGTGGTGGGGGGGGATTGCCTCGACCTCATGTTATTTATTAGCTTACGCATGAACTGACTCTGGTGGCATTTTCATGTAGGCTCTTCCGTTCCTAGGACCGTCAGGGCACTTGCAGGAGGCCGAAGATGGGGCCGAGTCGCTCGGCGCTCACTGCGAGGGGCCGTTCCTCAGCCCGACCAAGAATGGCGTGCACAACGTCGACGTGTTGATAGAGGCGCAGACGTACGAGGATCTCGAGGCGTGCTACGGCAAGCACAATCTCACGCCTCGCGCCGAGGGCGACAAGATCCCCATCAAGTACATCACGGCGGCGCCGGAGCGCGGCCAGATGATGAAGCTGATTCCGGAGCTCACGGCAAAGGGCATCATCTACTCGGTGGGACACTCCGAGGCGACCTACGAAGAGGCGTCCAAGGCCGTGGGCCAGGGCGCGACAATGATTACGCACCTGTTCAACGCCATGCGTCCTCTGCATCACCGAAACCCAGGCATCTTCGGCGTCCTGGGCATCGCCGAGAGCCTGCCGCGGCCGTACTTTGGCATCATCGCCGACGGCATCCACTTACACCCAACCACCATCAAGATTGCCTTCAACTCACATCCCGACGGATTCATTCTCGTCACCGACGCCATGCACCTTGTCGGACTGCCTGACGGCGCATACCCGTGGACCAACGGTGACACGACGTGCAATATCGTCAAGGTGGGATCCAAGCTGCTCCTGGAGAATTCCGACACCATTGCCGGCAGGTAAGCTCACTCTTATTTTCTTTTGCCACTTCTTCGCCCCCAGCTGTTATCGCAGCACGTACACCGCAGGATATGCTAACATTAGAATCAACCCCCCCAGTTCCATCACCCTCCTCGAATGCGTCAACAACTTCCTGCAGTGGACAGGCACCGGAATTCCACACGCGCTCAAGGCTGTGACGGCGACCCCCGCTGCGATGCTGGGCTTACAAGGGGTCAAAGGATCGCTTGACGCTGGTGCTGACGCTGACTTGGTCATCTTTTCAGAGGCGAAAACGCCCGGCCAGCCCAGCACTCTGGTATTGGACGAGGTATGGAAGTTTGGCACCAGAGTTCACCGCGTCATCCACAATTTGTAGAGGGAAAAGTAAGGTCAATTGATGGAATACTAATTTTGTCAATCCATTGACCGGATTGGCGCCGACGGAAGACTGATGAATGAATGAACGAGTCAATGCATCTGACAGCTGCAGGAATTTAACACACAACAATAAGCATAACACCAAAACCAAAACCAAAAGGGACAAAGTTTTTTCTTTTATAACTTCTATAGATTGGGGGCTGTTTTTCTTGGAAATTGCAGGGCGTCATTAGCAAATCCGTGTTAGGCAAAGAACATTAAAATATCCTTGATATGAGTAAACATAAATGAGAAGATCTGGGGGCGAGAGTCTGAGCTGCGATTGGAGATTGGAGCATACAATTGGAGCACCGCTGTGTGCAAACTTAAGGAGGAGGCCCGTTCGGGTGCTCGTGCCTGGGAATGGACACGTCTGGTATTACTCGTCGGGTTTTCAAACCATGATACGATGTGCACAGCTTTTCCGTGCCAAGTGAGCTTGAATTTCCGAGCCGACCCTCCGTCAGCTTTCTGCTTCAATGCCGCCGGATAGATCCTTGCTGCTTGTCTCTGACAGCTCTGGAAATTGCAAATTGCACGTGCGATCCTGTGACGCTGCACGTTCGAGGCTCATGACCGCTTGGCGGCATTTGTGGAGGAGGCGAGTGTTTCTGTTAGCAAACAAACCGCACAAAGTACATCCGGGCCAAGCATCAATAGCATCGGGCACCTCCTCTTTGGCAGGGCCTGCCCATGGGGGAAATGGCGCCAGACGATGGATGATACCGGACATGGAGTGACTGAGGCGAGTGCCGACCAACCGTAGGTTCTGGCTAGTGCGCGTCCCGTCTTTGCAACCGACCCCGGACTTTTTGATGAGAAGAGCTGAGCGGATTCCAGGAGTCGAAGTGGCAAGGCATGGGTACATGTACTTTAGGCGTCGGGGGGGTTGGAGGGCACATGTCGCACGTTCGAGAGTCGAGTTTCGGTGAGGAGATTGAGGTTTACAAAATCAAGTTGACGGTGACAAACAGATATGGAATAGGAGGAGATAGAATGCACGTGGGTTCAATTATTAAAGAGATAGATATCAATTTGATAGCACCTTAGCTTCAAGATAGCTGGAAGTGCCTATCTGCTTTGACAGCGACAATCAGACGGCAGGCAAAGATAGCAGTGGATACGGCACAGCTCTGAGCCAGAGATAGCTGCGCTGATCGAGAGATAACAAGCGGAACGGCAGCGTCAAATCACGCAGCAGCGATAGGGCTGATACTGATGCTCTTGATCGGAACGTTCCAGCCAGAAACTGGCCATCAGGAACCGCCATGGTCCCCACGATGCTCCCAGCAGTTCGACGCAATGCAATCACTTCCAGATGGATGTCACCAAGAGCAACCTCGAGATGGGACACAAGACAACCTCCTCACTTGTCCCTGCAGTGCGACCGGCTCTAGTGGCCTTTGGGGCATCTCATAGCGGGCAGCCCCGCTGAACCATGGCGCTGCACGCGTTTTACCCCAAAGTCCCCGGCTTCTCACTTGGCTCTAGAGCGTCCTTCGGAGGGTCTCGAGACGCCAGCCCGCGTGCAGCTCCACGCTCCACTGCCCAGGGCCGGCCCAATGGCGATGGACGGTTGTCAAAGAGTCTGGCCGCGGGCATTTTGAATTTTCATTTGAATGCCTGCACGCGAGCGAGAGCCAGAGCCTGGAGCCAAAGCCAAAGCCGACCACCCCCCCAGCCCAGCGCGGTACAAGTGCGGGTTACCTTGTACTGTACGGTACTGTCCTGTAGTGGTTGCGCCTCAGCGCCTCCAGCGGACGCAAGGCTCTGGGACCCCCCCGAAGCAACGTCCGGTTCGGTCCTATCGCTGCTGTCCCGTGCCTGGAAACTCCATCGTCTCCCCATCTTCATTTGCACTGCTTCTCCAGAACCTGCTGCGAACCGGCGTCATCATCGCTGCTGCGAACCGGAAAACCCTTGACCTCGGCCTTTGCTCGCCTTTCTTCTCCTCGCACCCTCTTCCTCTTTCTCCGTGCCGTTTGTCTTTGTCTCCGTCTCGCTACCCTCCCAGCGGCTCTGCGACTCGATGCGTAGGTGCTAGGCTGGATGATGCCATGGCTGCCTTCAACTCCATGCCGGCCATGCCTGCTGCCCCTACGGCGCCCAACGATGCGATGGGGATGAATCACGGTCCGCCTCCGCCTATGGGCATGGATTCCTTTGATCCCGAACTTAACTTTCACGAATCTCTACTGTATGTTGAACCCTTTGAGCTGTCCTTTTCCTTGGGCGTAGCCGGGAACCGCTCTACAAGCCGTTCTCACCTAAGCCCATTTCCCCCCTCCCCCTTGAATTTTGCCACTGACTCTCAGCAACGCATGTAGCGACGGCAGCGCGCTGGCACCTCTACCGTTTACGCCTTCGTACGAGTTCGACAACTTCGTCACCACCTTTGAAGATCCCTTTTCTTATTCGTCTCGCCCGTTCGAGCCCATCACCAACCAGGATGCCGCGAATGACGAGGCATCTCCCCAGGAGCTGGACAACAAGCTCCTGGGCTTCTCTGACCCGATCATGCATGCGACCATAGTGGATGAGGCGGGAGCGTTTGCCGATCTAAACATGACGGCGGAGCTATACGGCATGTTCTTCGTTGCCGAGGATGTGTTTGGCGGGGAGAATACAGGCCGTCCGCTAGAGTTGACGTGCTATCGTCGGAACCTGTGGCAGTGCTCAGGGCAAATTACCTTGCCTCGAGCCGTGAACAACGTCATAGATGAACAGGGACGCCAGACAGCCATTACGGAGCTATATGCGTCCATCACGGGCTTGGAATCGATTGAGGGGAAAGCCGCTGAAATCATCACAATACCGTGGAAAGGCGCAAATCCCCAATTAGAAGAGGCCAAGATCGCGTCTGCTCCTCCCAATTTGACTCTTGACCTAAGCATTGGCCGCGAGATTGATGCCAACAGAGTCTCTCTGCCCGTCTCCTGGAAGAGACTGCAGTTCAAGCACGCCACCGCTAACAACGGCCGGCGGAAGGGATTGCAGCAGCATTATGTAGTCCAGATCAATTTGCTGGGCAAGACGAAGTCGGGAGAGATTATCAAAATCGCCGAGGTTCAATCCGGCCCGGTCATTGTTCGAGGGCGAAGCCCGCGGAACTTTGACAGTAGAAAGGACGTGCACCTCACCAGTGATAAGAAGCTAGAGAGGAGAAACACAAACAGCACGGACAATCCCACTCCCAAGGCGGAGAGAGACAATTTGCTGGCTTCCCTGCCAAGATACCCATCTGTAAGTGGCAGTTCCCATCAGCACCCCCCTGGCCTTGGTTGGAGGTGTGCTGTTCATACATGGGGTTCTATTTTCAGCATCAGGATGCTAACATGACATGCCCAGTCGAATGGAAATGAATGGACTACTCCCCAGGCTGCACCACAGCCCAGCCAGAGTCCGCACCCAGCGAAGCGCATGGCTCTATCCCCTACAGTCTCGCTTCCACCTGTCCCGGCATGGACGACAGAAAATCCTACGGGCAAAGGCCCTCCACCGAACCATCGAAATTCCTTCTCACGGCCGCCCAATCCCACGGTCCCCATCACCCTTTCACTATCAGAGGACGAAAAGAGCCCCAACAGATCAAGTGCTGAGCTGCAGAGCCCACAGCTATCCAAAGCCTACCCAGCGAACGGCCAAAATGCCAGCAACAGCCCGGCTGAGGAAGCAGATCCTCTCTACGAATACTTTCCCCTTAGTGTTGATGACTGGTAAGAGGAGACAACTACAAACATAGCCGTTGTACGGTATTGGTATCGGGAGACTAACTCTGCAACTGTAGGATGCCACCAGTCGATGCTGTATATAGGCCGCACATAGTCCACCACACCATTGCGCCGCCAGAATTCAAGGCTCAGCAGATAGGCCGAAAGGTCAAGCGCTACTTCACCGCCGATTAGAGATCGATGCCCGGCGTCATATTTGCACTCGCCAGAAAGCAGTGCTACCATTTACGGCGAATTTTGCAACGGGGACATGTTTTTAACGAAATCACGAAGGCTCCATCCGACGGGATCGCAGCATTTCATTGTATCATAGTGCGGAATCTTTCTTCCTACCTTGTCGTTGGGGAGCCCGTGTATTCAAGGGATTTTTTTTGTTTTTCAAAGTCGCGGGCTATTTTTCATTATGCGACGACATGACTGGGACACAGCAGGGATATATATACCCAGGGGCTCTTTCTGGTTCTTGTGTTTTTTGTTTCTTTCGTTTTTTTATCCCCGTTGGTATTTTTCTTTTATTCGAATCGTGGGGGCATGGATAGTATGAGTGCAAGGGCGAAGAGAAAAAAAATGTAAATCATTCGTCAAACATTACGGTGTCGATTTCTTGGTGGTCCATAAAAGAGAAATGCTGTGCCTGTTTGTTATATCTGGGCCGTTGTGTCAGTCCGTCTCGTCTCAAGAGTTTCTTGTAACCGCTTTTTGAAGATTTGGCGTGTTCAATTCCACACGTAATCATCAGAGGGGATTGATATCGCCTTGGTGAACTGCCCAAAGATGAATTTTGCGTGATACTCGATCACATATTTCCGAATATGTAGGTAGGCAGCCCTTAAGCATGAGGAAATAGGAAGAAGTGGTATAACAAAGAGAGCTCCGAACAAGGACCTCGGGAGGCTTTAGATCAAGTGACAACGATTTTTCTCGATCACACCATCAACGCAGCAATCACACCAGGAGTGAAGTGAAAAGAGCAAGATTCAAGCAAGGAGAAAAAAAAAGGAAAATACGAAAATAAAAACATGAATCGCGTACAAGCACGCTCACATGCGATGAAACGTAGCCGTCGATCCAATTTTTTTTCTCTTGCTCTTGATTCCCATGACCAGGACCCCTAAAGGTTCCCGCTTTTAGCTGGGCAGCATCTCGGACGTGCATTGCATCGGACACTTTTTTTATTTTTTATCCCGTGGTATTTTTTTTTTCCCTTTCAGGTGATAGTATGAATTCGAAATCGGGAGATGGTATGGCATGATGTACTCGTAGGCGAATTGGTTCGATGGCAGCGTAGCACTCGTTTGGGCTTCAATCTATGTTTGTTTTTGTCTCGGCCGATATACGGCACAGCGAGCATGATGTGCCTTGTATCGTTGTATTGCAGATGATGCTTACATTACCTTCGTGGGCGCGTTCCCGGCTCGTTGGATGCTACTCTGTCAGGGCACTTAGTTGCAATTGTCAGATGCTAGAGTCGTATCGACAGATTTTTCAAGGTTCATCTCCAGTGAGAGTGTGAGAGACAATAAGAAAACTCTGTTTTCTGGAGTTTGTTCAAGTTGCAGTTGTATTAAGTCGCCAAATAGTATGATCATCATCTCGCTTCGGATAGACGGCAAGCATGGGCAGAGTATCCACATTTCGCATCATACGTGTGCCAGTTTCGGTCCGGTTATGTACGAGTACATGTACTGTATGCTGAGCCTCAAAACACAAATCCTATTAGCTATGAGAAACAGAAAATAGGGCATTTGATGAAGATTAAACGAAGGGGACGGGATGAGAGAGGAATGGGCAAGTAACGTAGCAGTTCTTATGAGACATCACTCGGAGGAGACTGGTCCAGACTTTTGATGCAAAAAAGAGAAGACAGATCCAGGGTAAATCACGACATTTGGATATTCATTGGAGTGACGACTGATGGAACCCCTTCTCGGACTGTAAAGAAGAGAAAGACCAAGGCTCCGAGAAGAAAGAGGAAAGGCAACGATCCATAGGTAGGCAAACGAAACCATGTTGCTTTTCCTCTACCAAATCCACGTTACGCATGTAGTATTGCAAGAAACCCACGTGGATCAAAGAAGCTCTGCAATACTATCCCCACGATGCAAAATGAAACAAGAAGAAACCAAATCTGAAAAACGCAACAGCATACAAAACAATCTTAAAACCTACTCGTACCAGCAATCACCACCCACGCCTCAAATCACATCCATCCCTCCCCACGCATCCCGAATAAGACAAAGCCTCCCCAATCGTCCCCCCACGCATCATTCCCAGCAAAACAGCGTAAAATGGGGGTCCCCAAGCACACATCCCCATCCCATCGCCAGCTCTCCCTCTTTCACCGACAGTAGTCCCATCGGCCACCACAAAAATAAGCTTGTATTAACTCATCCCTCCCTCCCCCAAACTTTCGGGAACCCCCTGCCTTGTCCCCCCAAATAACGAACAGCAAATCGGAATCTCAAGCGTGGCCTGGACGGAAGAAGAAAAAAAAGAGGATACCAAGGGGTGGGGGGGGGGGGGGGCGGGAATGTCATCTTTTCCCAGCGATGGGAAATCGGCTTCAGCTAGTTTTGGGACTATTGATGATGGGAGGGGGGGTGCCTGGTAGTAGTTTGGATTTGGCCTAAACGGGGCACTTTGATTGCCTTTTAACCGCTGTCTTCTTTTTTGGTTATCAAACGACGACGACGGACTTGATTTAAATTGATAAAAAGTACCTTGGAAGTACCATTGGATTGAGTAGACGATCATGTATGACGTGCATGTCTTAGCTGTCAGACTTGATGCTGGGTATGCGTGCGTGATGCGTGCCACCCTAGAGAGCAATGACGATAATTGTCTTAACACGTCTTAACACACACTTACAGAAGAAAAGTACAAGGTAACATGATGGAAGGACAATACGTTGACAGACAGCCAACTGGCAATGCCTGATAAGTCTTTTGATGTTTTCATCTTTTTGCTAACCCTTTTTTGTATTTCTGTGTTGTGGTATATATATACATCATTCCAAGGCTCCTATTCAAAAACCCAAAAAGCGTCCAAGATCCTACGTGTGAATAACGAGAGAATAATAAAGCGAGAGCCAACCAATTCTAAAACTCCATGATTTCGTGTTCCTTTTTTGCCGTCTAAGCAGTAATGGCATTCTGCTGAACAGCCTGCTGCTCAGGGTTAGGGGTCAGCCTGTCGGTGAGGTGGGGCTCAGGGATGCGGGAGGCCATGCGGTCCGGGACCAGGTCCGGCGACACGGAGCGGATGGGGTACTCAGTGGCCGGAGTGGCCCGGAGAAGACGAGAGGTGGTAGGCTGAGGAGCGTGGATGGTAGGGGAGGAGACTTCTTCCACCTTGGTCTGGGGGATGGGACCATTGCCAGTGCGGACCTTGGACGGCAGGATCTGCTCGAATCCGGCGTCCATGGCCACCTTTTCAATGCTCTTGAAGTACTATACAATCCTTGAGTCAGCCTATGTTTGTAGATGATATATGAGACAAGAGAGCTCCTTACCTTGACAGTCTTGACCTTGAGCTCGGCAGTGGCATCCTCATCAACCACAATCATGGGGTGAGGGTGAAGCTGCAAGCTGGACAGGGTCCACATGTGGTTAACACCCTCCTCAATGCACTTCTGCAGAGCAAGCGACTTGCGCTGGCCCAGGATGATGACGACAACCTCACGGGCCTCGAGGACGGTCTGGACACCGACAGTCAAGGCCATGCGGGGCACCTTGCTGATGTCGTTGTCAAAGAAGCGGGAGTTGGCCAGGATGGTGTCATAGGCAAGAGTCTTGACACGGGTACGGCTGGCCAAGCTGGAGCCGGGCTCGTTGAAGGCAATGTGGCCGTCCTCGCCAATACCAGCGAGGAACAGGTCGATGCCGCCAGCTCTCTTAATGGCATCCTCATAGGCGACGCACTCGGCTTCCAGGCTGGGTGCGTTGCCGTTGAGAATGTGCACGTTGGAGGGGTGGATGTTTACATGGGAGAAGAAGTTCTTCCACATAAAGGTGTGGTAAGACTCGGCGTGGTCGCGGGGGATGCCCACGTACTCATCCATGTTGAAGGTAATGACATTTTCAAATGAGACCTAGCATGATTTCATTCATTTAGCCACTTGGGGTTCAAGAAGCTTTAGATGCTTGCATTTTGCTTACCAGGCCGGCCTTGTACTTCTCAACCAAGATCTTGTACACGCCTAGAGGGCTGGAGCCAGTGGGCAGGCCGAGTACGAAGGGGTTCTCGGCAGTGGGGTGGAAGGTGTTGATACGGTCGATGATGTAGTTTGCGACATAGGCGCTGGCGCCGTTGGCATCGTCACGAATAATCAAACGCATGGTGTTCGACTGGGAGAGGGAAGAGGACTAGTGTGGGGGAGAGAGATAAAAGATGTGTGAGTGTTATGAGGGGGGGGGGAGAATGGATATACAGGCTCTCCGGGGAGGTCGGAGTAAGAGGAGATTTGAAGCTGCTCTTGGGGCCGAGTATCAGGAAGAGGATAAGAAGATGTTTGAACTCGTTAGTTTAGAGAGGAAAAGAAGAGAACCTTTTTCTAAAGAAAAGAGGGAGGGCAGGACTACGGCTCCCATGGCTTAAGAGAGCCCAGTTTGTATGGAGGGGAGGAGGGGCGCCCCTTCAAAGTGAGCGACATGCAACTCTGCCAAAAGCCGCCCCAGGTTCCTGAATCGGAAGAGCGCTTAACGACACACTTGACACAAAAGTAAGTCATCGCTGGGTACCTATGGGTAACGGCCATTGGCGACACATGGGCGAATACAGCAGAGTTACAGCCCAACGAGCGGAACGGAGACTGCGGGAAGAGCGTCTGGGCTGGGGGCGTGTTTCTGCCACTCGGGGTGACGGGCTTGTACTGCACTAACATCGAAAGTCGCAGCGGCAAACTAGCACGCTTTGGAGGTGCCATGTGAGCGGCGCTGGGAATGTTAGTGGGCCGGCGATTCGAATGATGCTCGGTTTGGGTGTGCGAGAAAAAAAAATTTGGTTCGATGGAACGTCACTGCATGCTTCCATCGGTTGCGCGCCACTTTGGGTCCCCGTAACTGATGGACGTTGGTGGTGGGGAGGGTTTCAATTCTTCTTTTGTCTAAGACAGCCCGGCTCCGTTCGAGTTTCCTTACGGCCGCCCGGTATATCCAATGCTTTGCCGTGCTCCGTATTCGATACTATACCGTAACCATCGCTAGGACATGATACAGCGATAGTGCTCCAATGCGAGTTGTTGCATCGCGGCATTGCAAACGGGGCAACCCTTTTTTTTCGTGACGTCTATAACGGGCAATCCAGCTCACGCCCGTTTGCCGCTAGGGCAGCCAATCATGAGGCTCGCCTGACTAGACATTTTGATCATCTAAAACAGCTCCCCTTGTTGACTAACAGTGGTAGATGGAGCAGAGCCGTTCCATGTCTCATTACTCCGGCTGGTGGATTTTCCCATCGCTCAAAGGTCTCATCAATAGTGGCAACTGCCGGATCGGTGGTACGTGACAGAGGATTGACTGACTACCTGCCTATCCATAACAGCAGCACAGCAGTACAACGTTTGAGGTTTAGTTGTTCACGATGGATCGCATCAGGTGAAGAAGAGTCTCCTTCGGCCAGTTATGAGCGGGGCCGTGTATGTTGCCTGCTAAACGATGTTCGATGCCGTCTTGGTTCAATGTTGCTGCTGGCCGTCTCGTGGCTTCAACGTTCCCAGAGATGCTAAGCCCAATCAACAACCCCCTGGCATGTCGAGCATTCAACACTGGCCACTCATTCATGACTGTGACCCCAGGCCGTCGTGCGACTCGTCTCCTGTTTGCAAACTCTTACTCCATCGTGATGCGAGTATTGTCTCATGTCATCTCGTCTCATCGTCCTGATGCTGCCATGTATCCACGCCGAGACATCGAGGCAACATTGAATATCCGCAACGGGCACCGTAACACAGGAAGTTTGGCGAAGTGGCTTTTTCGTTATACGAAGCACGGTGCAGGTAGTACCATCGAGATTTGTATGCATCTCTTTGCGACGCTGGCCGGGTTCCAGATCCATGCCATGCCAGAGTCAGATGCCTTCTCATCTGGTGACTTTGTTGTTAGCCGAGACTGGCTTGCAATATTACTCGCGTTTGCACAGGCAAAAAGAGCGTCATGTTTCGTTCAGGCATTACGGCTCGAGTAAGCGCTTCCATGGACGAGGGTTAGACGATCTTATGAATGCACAGATGGCTTCGGATACAAGATACCGCCGATGCTACGCTGCTCCGTCCGGGAAGCATACTAATCTAGTAGGAGGAAAGGTGATGCACATGCTTATCCGGGCGATCTAATGTCGAAATGCTATACAAGTTCAACCACGGCCGTTAGATGAGGTTGCACCTGATATCAAATTATCCTATCAGGTGCAGCTCGCTATCTACAATCTCTGCATTAACCCAGTGCCCAGGGCTGGCTTGGCCCTGCGAGGACGATATAGGAAGGCGATTGCAGCCGAGGCAGGATTAAAGTTGGGATTGGGAGGACGAGTGTTTCGAGATCGAGGCTTAGCGTTTGTGCTATATGCGATTACCACTTTCTCTTGCTGGACGCATTAAGGGACAACCTTGCGGTCACGAGGGTGCATGGATGGACGCATGCCTACAGGCACTCCTTGTTCGTGTACGAGTACAGCATAGTAGCTTTCATGTTCCCATCAATCTTATCGCCGGCCGCGAAGCTCACCCCACGAGAAGGCAGACACGCCTCTAGCTCTGCCCAGGTCCTCGACGAAGCTGAGCTCACCGGAATCAACAGTAACAGTAACAGTACCAGAGAGCATCGTAGCTATGTGGCTTCTTGGCAGACGTAGCGGCCCCAAAGAAGGACCCCTAAATGGGGGCAAAAGGCAACGAGAGAGAGAGAGAGACATAGGCAGCGCTGAGTGAGTTGGAGCAATGTTGGAGACTGAATTGGAGAGACATGGGGGTGCACACCTCGAGTTCCATTGGCGGTTGGGGCTTTCTGCGCCACAGGGAGATTTCCATGGCTGCAAGTACTCCGTACTCCGTACTATCGAACGAACTGTCCCTGTAACACGACGATGGGGCGGCTCTTGAGAGACTGACAGGCCTGGAAATCACTATTGATTGAAATGGAACAAGCTTGAACATGACATGAAATGGATGCGGTGGATCATGGCTTCGATTGCAGGCTGTGCGGAGCTGTGGCTGGTGGGCTGTACCCGCCACTAATGAATGGATTAATGGATTGATGGCCCGCAGCTCACATTGATTGCATTGGATCCAATTTGACTAGGTGATCAACATTTGATTGATTAAGCTGACTGGCTGATTGATTGGATTGATTGATTGATTCTTCATTTGAGTTGCACCATGTACATGGACACTTCCGCTGAGCCGCCAATATGTGTATCAATTCCGCAGGTTCCCTGTACCTGTACCTGTACTCCGTGTTCTGCTCCGCGCCGTTGCATCTCTGCAATTTCAGGCCATCAGCACGCCTCCAAATCGCCGGACCCAATGGCAAAATTTCCCGGCCAGCTGGGCCAGCCCCCCCTGTCCATCCCGCGCCTAGTCGCCGTCAAAACCTCCACGCTACCAACTCTCCACCGCAACGTTACAACACCACAAACCTCTCGACTTTCTGCTCAACTTCCAACAGTCTACGAGTACAGCACCTATCCTTTTGCGTTGCCTCTTTGTCTTGCCTGGCCTCACCTTGCCTTGCCCATCCCATGCAGCGCCACTCCCTCTGCCTCTCCACCCGCTAATGGCTTCCCCCTTGGCTGGCCCCCCTGGAATGGAAGCGTCGCCCGCACCCAGAAGCCCTCCTTTTACCAAGGTTGATCTCGTCGAACGTCCCTTTCCCTTTGGGCCGTCTCCATTGTCGCATGCGCTGCTGTGCCAAATACGGGCAAGTATGGAGTACACGCGCCACTGCGCTGTTGACTTGCTTCGTATTGCTGCTGTCTTGCGAGTGAGCGCGTGCCCTGCGATAATTATTGCTTCCAGACAGAAAGCCCCGATGTGACCCCCATCCCGCCCATTGACTTTCTCCCCCTTTGCTCGCCCTTTCGCAGCATACGAGATACTGTCTGTACAGCCAGCTACGACTACTTGTACAAGTACCTGATCTTCTGCCAGTGCGTGCCCGCTGAAAGCCAGCCATTGATCGGCTCCACCGTGCCGTGCGACGTTATTTTGGTTTCCATTGTTTGGTCCGGCGAACAAGCTCTCGGCAGTCTGCATACGAGAAAAGCTCCATCTAGCTCAAGATCGCCTTGTCGTCGCGCAAGCACGGGGCATGCCCTGTAACCTTTCGAGGCACACGCCTTCTGCTGACTGACCTGCCACCATACCTGTACATTACATTACATTGGATTGGCAAGGCCCGTTAGCTGGTTACCTTTCTGTCGCTCACCTTGTTGTGGCCATCCGGACGCTGCCATTCGCCGGCCCTCCGCATATCCATCCGACAACTCAAGGGAGACCTACCACCTATACGGACTACTCCGTGCCCAACCCTCGACCTGGCTGGACGACCGCATCTCTTTTCTCCCCATGCGACCCTCTCTCGACCCTCTTTCTTCTCCCCATTGCCAGCTGTGAGGTGGCCGTTGCCCGAGATTGCATCAGCACGGGGCAGGTTCCATTCCACTTCCCCTTCCATCGCTTCTTCTACTACCTAGTAGTTCTCTCCCTCGCTGCCTTCTGTTGGTCGACGGCCCTTCTGTTGTTGCTGCTGCTACAGATCCATCAGTCCCGCGCTCCCGAGTCGTGCCTGTCGATCGGGTCCCAAGCCTGACCTCGTGTTTGGACGCCTTGTCTTGCATTTACCAAGCAAAGATACGGGTGACCGTCGCTTTCCCCCTTGTTGGCGTGGCAGAGTACGGTCCGGCTTTGTACCTCTCGATTGTTCGGCGCTTCTTTTGCCGCGATCACACCTCCACCATCACCCTCGTTACTTTTTGGCTGGTGACCTTTGCTTATACCACATCCTTGATGCCCTACAGTCTCCATACTTTCTTATATCAGCCTCATCTCGCCCTAACCTCATCCGACTATCTTGTTCCTTTCGCCTCTTTTCTCCTCTGCCTTGCCCATTCACGCTAGGTCCTTAATATCTTTCAGCAATGTCACAGTTCCGGAAAGCATTCATGGCCGCCGTCGTCAAAAGCTTGCTTAGGGGCAAGTCCCTGATACAGGCCATCTTGGCCTTTTGGTTATCGGGAAATAAGAAGAGCAAGGAAACAGACGGTCAGAAGAAGACTCTCCAGCAGTTCCTGAAGGATGCCGAGGCCGCGCTGGTCGGTCCCATCAGCGGCGATGGTCTGCAGGAGATTTCCATGAACTTGAAGAAGCAGATCCTGGAGGGGCTCAACGCAGATTTGCAGTGCATGCTTCCTTCATACAGCCACCAACTACCATCAGGTTCCGAACGTGGACAATACTTGGCCTTGGACGTGGGAGGATCGACACTAAGAGTTGCCTTGGTGGAACTGCGAGGACGCGGGACAGAATCTGGAAGCGCTACTGAGATTGTGAGCATCCAAAATTACAAAATCACCAAGGAGGTCAAGGATCTGGAGGGAATAGCCTTTTTCGAGTGGATGGCTGCGCGTATTACCGAAACGATCCAAGGTACGCTCAACAGACAACACAGCGCCGAGGATCCCCTGCCTCTTTCTTTGGCGTGGAGTTTCCCCATCGAGTGAGTTCCCTTGTTCCTTTGTTGGATCGATTTCGTGCCAAAAACTGACATTTTAAAAAAGCCAAACTTCTCTTGGTGGTGGCAGACTTGCAGCAATGGGTAAGGGCTTCTTGGCCGATATTGGCCTCGTTGGACAAGACCTAGGAGACATCGTCAAAACCGCATGCAAGAACCAAAATCTCCACGTCGAGCTCAAGACCATTTTGAACGATTCAAGTGCCTGCTTGCTATCACGAGCGTACTCTCACTCGTCGACACGATTTGGCCTCATCTTGGGTACCGGTGTCAACATCGCTGCCTATCTGCCCGTCTCAGCTATTGGCCGAGTGAAATTCGGCGAGCGACCGGCCGGATGGTTCGATGAAGCATCTCACGTCATCGTCAACACAGAGCTCGGCATGTTTGGATCCAAGATCTTGCCCCTGACTCGATGGGACAAACAGCTGCTCAAGGAGCACCCCAGACCCGACTTTCAGCCCTTGGAGTACATGACTAGCGGCATGTACCTTGGCGAGATTGTCCGGTTGGCCTTGGTAGAGGCCATTCAGACGACTGGTCTTCTGGGCGGTATCGTCCCGCCTGCTTTGACTGAGCTTTATTCTCTCGGCACCGAAGTCATCTCCTTAATAGAGGGGTAAGTCGCCTTTGCGTTGGATTGATGATTTGTCAGCCTGTAGCAAAACTAACATGTTTGCCCATCTAGTGACACCACTACGGACCTATCACAGGCCATCAGCATCTTTACTGAAAAGTACCCTTCAACTCACACTCCCAGCGTTGTTGACATGAGCGCCATCAAGGCCATTGCGTCATTCGTTTCTGTGCGTTCAAGCGCACTGATTGCCTCCGCTGTCTACGCCCTCTGGGATATTCGCCTGGAAGGTGATGAAAAGTTTCTGTCAACCCTTCCTGAATCCTCTCCCCTTCGATCCAAGGTTGAAGACGACATCAAAATGGAGAAGACTACCGTTGCGTTCAATGGCAGTGTCATTGAGCACTACCCCGGCTACTTGGCTAGTTGCCAACGATACATCAATGAGCTGATGGAAGGCAACACATCCGGCCTGCCAAAGTTCATTGAGCTTGTTTCCGCCAAGGAGAGCTCATTGACAGGAGCTGCTGTCGCATTGGCGTGCGTGGACTCATGAGAAGAAGAATAAAACCAACAAAAACCGAAAACCAAACATTCTTTTTCGAGCTTGTCTAAGAGAAAGTGCGTGTGTGTGCGTGCGTACGTGTGTACGCAAAGACATGATACCTGGGATGATGTGTTATGTTTACTGGGATATACGGGGTATGCGAAGGTGATGCATACGTAGAGGCGCCGGTTTCAGCATTGCTTCTTTCTTATCTGGCGCCACTGCCGGGGTTTTCTTTTATTTTCTGTTTTTCCCCACTACACACTCTTATTCACTGTTTTCCTTTCTCAGTTGTATGTTTTGATTCCTTGTAATTTTCTGCTTCTGTTCTTTTTATTTTATTTTTTCTTTGTTCTTGTGGGCGATGGTTATAGTCTGGAGCATTTGACGGTACGCTGCTGCAAAGAGCGAATGTTGCGTCATGTAGATTCAAACAGCAACAACATGTATATATTGCATTGCATGTCCTGGATCAAAAGAAAAGCATTACATTGCAATCTTGACCACTATGTTGGTGACTGCCATTGTTTTAAAAACTACTAGGTACTAAAATTAATGAAGGTGAGGTATTATCAAGTCCCATTTGGAGAGATGTTGACAATGGCACTGCTCTCGTATCGTTGGAAATCTGGCGGTTGGTTTTTCATGAAGAGTGACGTTGGGCCTATAAAAAGTAACATGTCTTCAATGTTGTTTTATGTGCCTCCCGCGTTGCTGCTCCCGATACTATTTTGAGAAACTGTCGATGGGCGTGTAAAGTGGATAGCTCCGTGGGCTGGCGCGCCCAAAGTAACGATACGACTCTCAGGGTCCCTCTTAGCCCGCAATTTGCGTAAAGTGCAAAGTACCGTGTACCCCGTCAAAGTCATGTGACAGCCTGCCTACTTCGCGTAAAGAGGCTAAGGAGCGCGTCTGGCCACAAACAAAGGCAAGGCGCCAAGGATAAGGCGTCGGGCTACGTCAATCTTTCACGATCATCTTTTTTTCCTCCATACTCTCCTCTGTCAAATAGTACCTTGTGCAGATTACGAGAGGCACTTTTCGAAGTCGTTTAACCAGAGCTATTTGCTGCTTTTTAAATTCTGAGGGGGGAAAGAGAGTCGACTCTTATTCTTGGAGATACCGCCGCATTTTGGCAACATGGCTGATGCTGAGGGCATATTCAGCGAATGCTTCATCGCATTCGTTCCCAGCGCGCAGCTGGCCCCGAAACTAATCAGCAGTGTACGTGCACTACCTGTGGTCTCTACGGCAGACTTGAATCCTTGTTTCGTTTCGCATCTAATCATCGTCATTGACAGCTCTCGACTATTCTAACAGAGAATGGCGCCACAACAGTCGAATATCGACGCGATGGATCCATACCAATTGACCGAGTCACGCACATCGTCTCCAACACGATTGACTTCCCGCAGTACATCGACTCGCAGGCGTACATGATTCCGGTTGTCAACACGCACTGGATCACCATTTCAATATCTCGGCGGAAGCAGGCGCAAGTACGGCCGTTTTCGCCCGATCCCCGCATGATCTTCTCCGAGGTCGTTGTTACGTGCGCGGATCTGCCGCAGATGGACAAGGAGAGCATCTTGGGGGCGACTATGGCGCTGGGAGGGCAGGAGTCGAAAGATGTGGGCAGGCTGACTACGCACGTCTGCGCGCTGTCCATGGACCATCCTAAGGTTGTGGTTGCGATGGGGAAAGGCTGGAAGGGCAAAGTGGTTTTGCCGCACTGGTTCGATGATTGCTTCAAGTTGGGAAAGAGGATCGACGAGGGTCCCTACCTTCTTCCCGACCCCGAAATTTTGAAAAAGGACCCCGATGAAGAGCTCGACATTCCGTCAAACAATAACTTGGTCGGCGCATCATCAGCAAACCCTGAGTTTATATCTTTGTCCGATGGAAACTCGGCCAGACCGCCGGTTACTGTCTTTCAAGACAAGCTTATCTTGCTTGGTTCCGACCTAAAGATAACACCCCGCCTCGAGAAGGCTTTGAAGGATATCATCGTGTATGGTGGCGGTCGGTTGGTGGAGGATGTGGAAGAGTGCACTACCTTGATTTGCCAGTACCGAGACGGCGAGCAGTACGTGAAAGCCTCTCAGGCTTGCAAGGAAGTTGGCAACTTGTCCTGGCTCTATTTCCTCATTGTTCACAACGACTGGACGTCGCCCCTGCGTCGCTTACTCCATTACCCCATCCCCAGGAATGGCATCCCAGGGTTCAAGGATATGCGCATCACCGTATCCAACTACGGTGGCGAGGCTCGCATCTACCTGGAGAATCTCATCAAGGCTTGCGGCGCCGAATTCACCAAGACTATGAAAGCGGATAACACCCATCTCATTACTGCTCGCAACTCTAGTGAAAAGTGCAAAGCTGCTCCTGAGTGGGGGATCACGGTGGTAAATCACCTCTGGGTTGAAGAATGCTACGCCAAATGCGAAATCCAGCCTGTCAACATTAAGAAATACAACCATTTCCCCCCTCGAACAAATCTGGGCGAAATCATCGGACAGACCTCCTTCAATGAGTCTCGGCTGAGAGATTTGTTTTACCCCGGAGGCGAGGAGAGCATGTCCCCGAGAGCAAAGAGAAAGAGAAAGATTCTGGAGGCTGCTGAGGACAACGCGTACTCACACGGTCCCGCGGAGGGCGTGGTGATTGGCGAGGTAGCGCACGGAGGGGACTCAGACACCACCATGCAGGAAGACAATAGCGAGGAGGATAGCATTCCGTCAGCTGCTGCGGCAAAGAAGGGTCGGCGTACTACGCAACAAGTTACACCAGTAAGAGCCCGACCTGGCAAGGAAAACATGACGCCTGTTGCCAATTCCAGCGGTGGACGTAGTGCCAAAGCAAAGGCCATGGACGTGCTCTCAACAATCGCTTCGGATATTGCGCTCTATGAAAAGGAGAAGAAGAGAAATACCAAGCCAGGAACTCCATTTGGCGGCAAGCGAGCCGCAGAGCTGGCAGAAAAGGAGAAGGCTGAGAGTGCGAAAAAGTCAACGAGCCATAAGGATGATGCAGATGACGAAGAGCGCCCGGCCAAGAAGTCACGGCCATCTCTACCTGGTGTCGAAATGCGCGTGATCCTAACGGGATTTACGAGATGGGTGGGTAACCAGAATAAAGAAGATCAAGATCGGGTGAGTGACAACTGTTATCCTCCTTTTGTTTTCAATTCCCTTGCCCCAGCCGATTAAGGCGCATTACTAACAGCATATCTACAGAGAAAACTCCGCGATCTTGGTATTCAAATTGTCCTAGAGGGTCAGCCTTGTGACTACCTAGCCGCCCCACATGTTGTGAGGACGGTCAAATTCCTGTGTGCCCTGGCCCGCGGCCCTACCGTCATATCTTCTACCTTTATCGAGAAAGTTCTCGAGACTGGTAAGCTTCAGGACGTGGATGACTTTATCCTCAAAGACTCCGAAGCCGAATCCAAGTACGACATTGACCTCGAGAGGTCTGTCAGCAGGGCCAAGGCCCATCGCGGCAAACTCCTTCGAGGCATTCCCATCTTCTGCACCGACAAGATCAAGAATGGACCCAACAGCTATCGCCTCATAGCAGAAGCCAACGGTGCCATGTTCATGATTTATCGTGCACGAAGTGGATCGAACATCAAGCCAACCACTGCAGAGCAAGACAACTTTGCGCCTCCCGAGCCGGTCTATCTTCTGAGCGGTTCCACCCCGGAGGAGAAGCAGCTGTGGCCACGCTTCAAAGACATGGCGGAAAAGGGCCATATGGAGCCGCGGGTGGTATCACCAGACTGGCTACTCGACGTGGCAATGGCACAGCAAGTGCGATTTGACAAGAAGTTTCTGCTCGATACAGAATAGGACATGTATTTACGCGGAGGCAGTGATGACATCTTTGGATGATATAAGTATATGACGGAGTTTTTGGAAGGGTGGATTGCGAAATCATGGGTTGGTGTTGGGAGGACAGTTAATAATAGCCTTGCTGGGGATGGGAGGACAGTATGTCCGGCTGCGGTTTGTAGCCTGTTGCTTTGTGCCTCTTCTAGTTGTGCAATCCTCTACTTTAGAAGAATTTGACACCGAGAGAGTCTTCGGAGCCGAAGATTTGAGCTTTGCCCCTTTTGACCAAGATATTCAATGCCTTCATGAGCACTTGGTTGTCCATGCCGTGGAACTCTGTCATGTCTTGATTAGCACTGGTGCGCTTGGCTAGACTCGAGTGACGTGATTTTATATGACAAGAAGGCCTCTTGGTTAAACTTACCTGTTCCTCTGGTGTTTTCTCCCTCTGTCAGCTCATACACGGTCAAAACGCTCCCCTTTTGTGCCGTCTCCTCCACAAACGCCTCGACAAGAGCCGCCCACTCCTCAGGTTTCCGCCAATACAAAAACACGACATCCCCTCCAGCGGCGGCAGCAGCAGCAGAAGCAGCGTCAGCGGCGCCGTCGGGGCGGAGAAACTCTGCGCGGCCGTCCTTGCGCATGAAGTCGAGGACCTCGCGGATGTCGGGCGGAGACAGGCGCCGATCGATGCCGCGGTTGAAGAAGAGGTCCGACTCTGCGGCGGCGGATATGGTTATGCGGAAGAGGCGGTGGTGGCGGGCGTAGGCGAGGATGAGGGCGGACCATTTTGTGAGCTGGGCGTGGTGAATGGTGATGTTTGTTTGGCGGGTGAAGAAGGCGGGGAAGAAGTATTCGCGGGGGAAGGGGAATGAGGGGGATGATGAGGAGGATTGTGGTTGAGGGGGTGGTGATGTTGTTGTGGTGGCCATTTTGTATGAATGTTGGATGAGAGGGTTATAAGGGGAGAGATGAGAGTTGTGAGGATATGAATGAGTGAGTGAGTGAGATGTGTGTGGTTGGTGGTGTTTGTATGAGGGATTGGATAAGGGACTTGGACTATAAGGCGGGATGACGTTGTGCCACGTGCTGGGAGCTGCCAGGTACGTGTACGGTATTGGGCTTACCCTGGAGTGGGAATGAGAGAGATAGAATTGGGGAGACGATGAGGAGAGAGGCAAGCGTTGAGGGTAGTAGTAGTGATGGGGAGAAATATCTGAGTGTTTTTTTGTCTACTCTATTCAATTCAGCTTCATTTGTAGTAAATTCATGTGATATGAAAGCAGTGCTGCAGATGCTAGCCGGGAGAGATGATGCACCAAATCCCGACATGAGTAACTAATTAAGCAATCATATCGTTGCATGACTTTGATAGCAGTTTCTATATTGAGAGTTTGGGTCTTACTTCTTTATTGAGAAGTTAGATTTCCATTGATGCGTCGATACTTCCACTGGCTTGACAGCTCCTTCCTCTGTACAAGTGCCCTTTACTCCCCTTTCCATCACACGAGAACTGCCAACATCAAACGCTCTACCAACACTCTACACAAGCAACATTCGTTACCATTCTTCAAGTATCACGCTGAATCCTATAAACAATATATTACAAACCCATAGTCATCCATGCAATGGAGAATCCTCGCGGTCTAACTACACCACCCAAATCACGCGGTTCGGACGGACCAAGCGAACCAGCGGAACCAAACGAACCAAACGAACATGAGTCTGAAATACTTCAAGCAGACGCGTCCAAACCAGATGATGAGCTTGATGGAGGTAAGTTTGACTTGGACATGTTTGAACTGAAGGATTATGCGCGGGAAGAGTTTTGAAGCAGATAGTTTCGGGGCTATTGAAGTTTGAAAAATAACAATTTTGAAGCAGTTGCTGAAACTGGAGCGGACGACACAGGAGCAAACGACGCAGAAGCGAATGACTCTGATTCATCACTTGAGGACCCTGACATTCGATCTCGACGACCTGACATCCATAATGGAGGCGTATCCAATTCTGCATACAACCCATACGTACATTCCGGCGAAATTGTGAGAACCGCACGTCACGGACCAGACGGACGTCCCATGTTCGTGTGGGTAACCCGGCTATATGAGCGCAGAAGCATGATATACTATCCCCGAAGCCTCTTTACGGGAAGACGTGGAGTGAAGAGGGGGGTGGTCACCGAACAGGTTTCTAACACTATAATGGTACACGGCGGCTTTTTCAGCAAGACCCTCAGAACCAAGACACAGCCTTACTATGACGAGAGGGAAATCTATTTCGTTCAAGAGCGAACAATGTGCTCGTACTGGAGACGGAATCGTGTTAGAACTACTCCCCCTCCTGATGTGGTTCGTAAAGTCAAAATACCAGCCCTGCCAATGTGACGTGTATGGACGGGACGTATACATGTTCAATGGGGGTTTTGGAACAGGACAGTGATGCTCACCCTTGGAATTGGAATTTCTCTGTTTGGTATAGTTGCGTTTGGTGGAAGAGTTTGGAATTACGCAGCGTGAAAGCCTAGGTGCTAGACGCCTGAATCCTTTGGGGGAGGCTGTTCGGGGGGCAATGGGGTCTCGGAGGACAAGACTTTGGGCATGTAGAGCTCACGAGATCCTTTGGCTCTTTTACTTACTTTACGAGTAGATCAAAAGCGTTTTTATATAGCGGGTGAGTAGAAGATAATGTATACTTTATCTGATATATCCCCTCTTGACCGCATCACTCAGAGTCTTGAATGTGATGTCTACTAGATAACACTTGTAGCTTTTAGAATATCTACAATTATAACGACCCATCTTTCTTCCTTAGGTAGTGTAAGATGTTAAACATCAAGTATCGTGCCAGGAAATAACCTAAGTTCTACTAGGATATGAATTGCTGCCCGACATCCAATTAGGGACACTGGATAGTCAGCCACCCTTAATCAAAACCCCCATCACAAAATGACCAGAAATCGTATCATATCACATCCGATCGGATCTACCCGTGAAAATGAAACACCCACAATCCCACAGCACCACCATTACATCAAGATCAGCTAATCAACAAGAATCTCCCGATTAAACTAGAAACACCGCACAAAAGCCAGCTGTTGCTTCGTTACCCTCGTTGAACGTACACACACACTCGAATATTCACAGTAATGAATGAGAGAGACCCATTGAAAATTGAACAAAAACATCTTTTTTTAACTCAGGAATGTCCCTTATCCTGTCTTTCATGAGTGCCTAAATGATGAGGCCCTAACACTACGCCCCGCCAGGTATCGAACCGCAGTAACAAAGGAAAACGACAAGATGAAGAAAAAAGGGGGTGAGGAAGAATAATACTAATGAAATAGAGAGAAAAAACAAAGCAACAAAGTCCCAAATAGCTCAGATAGATGATGAACACGCGTCCCTGCCATGAAAATACAGCAGTAGTTAGTTTCCCTAATCGCCCCTTCCAAATTTCCCTCCAGAATAATTTTTTTTGTCCTGCCTTGTTGTTGCATGATAAAGTCGTAATGAGGCTAGTTGACTCCTGATACAGATTCTTTCTTATATATACATACATCTCTCAGGTATAAGGGGTCGTCGTTCTTGTCTGAAAAAGAAGAGTCGTCCTCCATAAAACACCTGTTTGCCCAGAAAAGCAGGAAACCGGGGGAGAAAAATTAGGAAAAAAAAGTAATGACAAAAAGCCAAGTGAAGTGGAGTATCGTAAAAGCAGATTTCGAAATGCAGTTGCGCATAGTCTTCATTCTCTCTTCTCCCTCTTCATTAACAATCATCAGAATCCTTCGTCGTCTGTCATGCTGTCGTAGCCTGTATCTACCTCCATGCCCACTAGCCTCTTTGTAATGCCCAGACATTTATTGATAACTTTTTCCTGAAGGTCGGGAGGTACACCGCAATTTAATGCTAGTTCGCTACCCATCCAAAGACGCAATATGGCTGCTAGTCTCTCCACCAGGGGTGCAAAGTTGTTTGTAGTATCTTTATGGGCTAGGATTTGCTCCAAAACTTCCATGACCGACGTAAAGCTCAACAGCGTCATTCGTGTTTTTGTTGTCAAGTCAATCACTTTTTCGATCGAGGTGCGGACATATTGTTTCGTGCTGGCATCGCCACCCAGTCGTTTGAGGTGAGCTGTAGCAACCGCACAGCGAAGGCAAAGCTGAAGGTCGGGATCTGCAACGTCTGCTTGAAGAGGAATCGGTGCAAGGCCGGTATAAGGATTCGGCTCGGAACAAGTCAGTGCCATGGGGTTCATCAGGCCGTTGCTACCAGTATCGACCCGGAGGACCTGAACAGCAGCAGCAATGTTGTCTCCACGGGATTTGTACGCGAGGACAGAACGAGCCAGGATTGCCCGTGCTCGAGCATTTGAGCCTAATGGTGCGACTTTGACGGCCAGGTTCATTACTACGTCTTCTGACGCCTCCTCATCACCATATAATGTTGTCGTCAAAACGTCGTGCACCTTGGATGTTGACCACCAGGCGGCAAGAGCATCCATCGGGGACCCAATCGCCGTGTCATCGACTACCGAGTCCATGCCATCAATCGGGGCCGAGTTGTGTGTCGTTTCCATGTTAAAAGCCAGGTTGTGGGCTCGTTGAATGACGGTGGCGGTGAGAACGGCGTCACACTCCTGTTCGACCAAGGCAGCCAGGTGATCTGGTAATACGTATCCTGCTCGCTGCATCTCCAGAATCTCGTCTTCTTGTAGGTCATTGATTAGTCTGTTATTTAGGTCACGAGCTGCGTTCCACTGCCGTTGTGCAACCTTGGTAGCGAAAAAGTTGACCAAACCAAGTTGATACCATTTCTGGCTCAAGTCCCACAGAAGGACTCGAACGTGGAGTGCCTTGAGCATCAGACCGCTGGGGGTATTGGGCACGGTGCCAGACGCCAACAGCGTCAGGATGAGGCGGCTCATGCAAATCTCCGCATCTCCTCCGGTAAGCTGTGCGTCGAGAGCAGTAGCCCAGGCACGGACTCGGGCCACTTCTTGGTCAGGAGTCAACCCGGTCAACAGTTGATAGGCGTGGATGCCAAAGACGTTGCGTACGCTAAGCTTCAGTGTCTTGAGCATCAGCGCGGCCGCCTCGAGGAAGAAGTTGTGATGAGGCACCCAAACAGTTTGGATTGCAGTCTCCCAAGCGCGGCGACGGACACTAATGGGAGAAGCCAGTGAAGGGGCGGGATGTAGATCAGTGGATTGCTGCTTCTTGGGCTTTCGGTCCATTGCCGAGAACAGTGAAGGGATGAAAACCCACAAAACAAGGCCGAAAAGAAGCATAAACTTAATGGAAATGTCGGCTTGATACCCTGCCAACCCTACATTGAAGTGAGATGGCATATGCCTGAGAAGCTGCACGGGCAGAGCAAACAGTCCGCGGCCCTGAGGCTCTTCATTGCTCGTTTCCTCTTCTCGAACCGCTTCCAATATCATCAGGCCGGCGAGCGAGCCCACCATCAGCTTACCAAAGTAGGGGCTTGCGCTCCATCCGGGCTGGCCCTGTTGCTGCTGCTGCTGTTGCTGCTGTTGCTGCATCGGCCGAATCTGTTGTTGACCAACCACGGTCGGGTTGGACCGAAATAGCTGCTGGGGGACGGGATATGGCTGGCCGGGCATCTGGGAGAGGATTCGTTTCATGTCCTCTGGAACATCAATCATCCCATTGGGCATGCCGCCAGATTCTTGGCCTTGAGCGTCCAGCGGGGATTGTGACATTTGAGACTGCTGTTGTTGCTGTTGCTGTTGCTGCTGTGATTGTTGCTGCGACTGGCCATCTTGGGGATACTGTATCGGCGTGGGCTGCTGCATTGGAGGCATAGAGCCGTTCATAGCTCCAGCCATGAACAGTTTCTCAAAGGCGGCGATTCTTTGGTGCATAGCGCTGTTTTCATCCAGTAATCGGTTATTCCTCTTCTCCAGGTGTCGTATATATTCAGTCGCTTTACTCAAAACCTGCATCATTAGTTAGCCATTGGGGACATGACGCCCCTTGATTCTTTGTTTTCCATTAAATCTCGAGTGGGATTCCTACAGTCGCTTTGTTGAGTTTGTGTGCGGGTGTAAGGCCGTGTAATTCCTCACGGTCCTCGGTCGTGTCCTCTCCCCTGGCGCTCTTACTCATGATGCGCAGGCTGGGGACGCTGTCTCTCAAGGCAGCAATCTTGTCGTTAATGTTGGTCCGGTAGCGCTTCTCAATCATGTTGTGAGCCGTCTTCTTGATGGGCTTACCGCCCTCCTCGAGAAGATCGTCATCGTCGTCTTCGTCGGCAGGAATCTTACGCTTCCTGGAATCCTTTTGAGAGCCACCAGAGATGTCTGGCGACGAGGCAGCTCCAGTCTTGGCCGACTCAGGGCTGGAGGCGCTCTTGGGAGAGCCGTACTGAAGATGAGGGGGCATAGCAATGTTTCGCAGCTGTTCCTGCAGAGCAGGACTCAGGGCAGTGACAGATCGTAGAGAGGGTTTAGACACCGGGAGGGCGCCCCGCTTGGTGGCCGCTACGCCGGGGAGGAAGACTGACGCAGGGTCAATGTTGGGTAGGCCAAAGGCGATAGAGTCGGGTTGCTGCTGCTGCTGCTGCTGCTGTTGTTGCTGCTGTCGCGGGTCAAAAGTTGGGGCTGGCCAGGACGGGGACACGTATCCTGGCTGGGCTGAAGAGAGGGTGGTGTTGCTGCTAATGTCGTACGAGTTGGCCTGAGATGAGGCGTCTAGAGGCCAGACTCCAGCGTCAAGGAAGGCAGCCGAGGGATCGCCGCCGTAGTTGGGAGCATCTGAGATTCCATCGAGAGGCCCGGGGCCACCGCCTATGAAGCCGAAGCTTGGGTCGTCAAACCCAAGCCCGTTGGTGCCATCCTCATCAGTCATGAGAGGGGATTGGCGGCTGCAGAGACCGGGGGAAGCTCGCGGATCAGCTCATGCAGCGACAGCCGGGCTCGCAGAGAACGAGAATGGAAAGACTGAGACCAGGCGGGAGTGCGTCAGGGCCTAGGGGGGAAAGTGACTCGATAGTTGGCAGAGAATCGTGCGGTCGACGGGCCAGGTGGACTGAGTGGTGCAGAAGCTGTGGACGCTCTCACCAAAGGATAGCACGATGAGATCAGCTGTTTTTTTCTCCTGCTTCCCTGGCGGGTGGACAGCTTAAAGCGGGATCTGCTGAGACAGACGCCCAGTGGGAGGCTTGCCGAGGGTGTGGGATGGCCAGGGATGGCTGCGCGCAGGCGAGACGACGGATTTTTTTCTTTTTTTGACGGTCAACTAGCAAGCGCGTGCTACAGACCGAGAAACATATGAAAAGGGCTGGTACTTGGATCTCCGTAGCGGCAAGGAGAAGAGAAACTTGGAAGGAAAAAAGCTGAGAGATGACGATGGCTGGATCAGACAGGGGGCGGGTTTAGCCCAGCTGGGAATTCTCTTTTTTCGCCTCTTTCCCTTTTTTTCCCTTTTGCTTTTTTTCTCTTGTTTTCCCGTTTTTCCTTTTTTGCTCGAGCTGGCTTGGTATTCCCTGGTTATTCTCTTCCAGTCCAGTCCAATACCAAGGCTCAGGCTGTCGGGATGGGGTTGGGCGGGATTGCACGGGCTCGGGCTAGGCTCGCCTGAGTACAGCACCGTACGAGTATGGATGGATCGATGGATCGTCGGGACAATGGCAGATCGATGGGATTGATTGCTCTCTTGCTTGGACTCGGGCGCCGAATGTTGGGAGCGTCTGGCTTGGGCCACGGCAATGCGGTACGGACAGCCGGAAAACTGAAAAAGAGGTGCAAGATGAGACAGGCAATGCACGACAGGAACATCGTACGATCCGGAGCCGATATCAGGCGAGGCTACGCCGCAACGAGCAAGGGAAAAAGCTAAAAGGTGAAAAGGCCTACCCGAGAAGCCCCCACCTGCCTAGCTGCCAACCCGCTGAGGTTTTGTTTTGCCTCTCTACTCTGTATGTACGAGTACTCGTATGGGCGGGATCCACCGCTTGGCGATACTGCCCAGGCTGTCTGTGCTGCTGCGTTGTCCAGCAGAGTTGCAGTTGCAGTGCAGTGCAGGATTTTCTTCCAATCTCTTTTCCCTTTGCCCTTTGCCCTATTCCCTCCCCTCTCTTCGTCCATGCATGTAGAGTAGGGGGGATGGAGCCCATACCTGTACTGTCTCTGCGCAGACTAGCCCAAAGCACGCGCATATCGACATCGGCCACTGCAGCAAGCCAGACAGTAGGTGATTGTGCAGATGGCGTCCCTCAGGTACCGGTACAAGTATCACCCGTGGCCGTTGAGTGGATACGCGGCCTGTCAAGAGGTACCGAGTACAGCCACCTGCATGGCCTTGTGCCCATACTTGGAGCATGTGGATGGATCAATCAACGCCTTCACACGAGATGCCGCAAGGGAGAGGAGTCGTCTGCATGCACCAGGACAGGACTAGCGCCCGTGGCATTTTCGTAAAGTACCCAAAGTACTCCGTGCGAAGAACATGCCACGGCAAGTGGGATAGCAGCAATAATCCTGCCTGTACTCCGTACCAAATACTACCCCGTACTGTACCTATATGCTGTGCTCTCACCTCCCGTCTTCCTACCATGGACGTTCAATTTCAACCTCTTGCAATGCTCGGGAACTGGCCGACATGCCATCTGCAATCGACCCTGACAGCGCCCCTCTCCCAACCGCCCCAATCCATACCAGCGCAGTTACAGCAATGTCACTCCAGGTCCGGGTTCTACTGTAACAAGACATCAAATTGCGATCTCGATGCTCAGTGACATCAACAAGGCCAAGCGACGCAAGGCGCGCAAGCTGAGCCTCCATGGCAAAATAAGCCCCTAGCGCCCCTCGGCCTGTACACGCGCGAGCTGGCATTTGCCTTTTTGTGGCTCAGCCGCAAAGGCGCCAAGATTCACCGTGCAACTCCAGCCGGCCAGCCGAATACCGAAGAGCACTGATCAGATATTGGCATTGAATTGAGGGATCCTGATGGATGAGCCCAGCAGCTACGAGCGGAATATGAGCAGCTACGGGAAGCTTCGAGCAGCTACGGGCGCCTACGACTAATATGTTGAGCAAGTTTTACAAGAGTCGAAGCCAGCAAAAGGTGCCACGTGAAGTCTTAGAGGCGGCCGCTCACCATTTGGCCGCCGTCGCCGCAGCGGAATGCCGCACGCCAATGGAATTGGCAGCTCCGTGCTACACACGGTGCTCGTACAGTTTCATCAACGTTTCTGCTCTACTCACCCCTGCTTAGCCGTTGGTGTCTTGGCTGAGCACAGCACAGTCTTTGGTGTCTCCTCAATCATCGCACAGAATAAGACACTTGCCGCCTGAGACATTGATTGAGACCAGTGCCGCATTCCAGACGTTCTAGCCTCTCAGCCACAGCATCGCCAGGACCTCTGAGTGGCTGCTCGGACTCCAATTCGACTCCGGGTTCCCAGCAATTGGCAGCGCTCTGGTCACTGCAGCATCCTTGCGGTTTTCATCAGCTGCGGCGCCCTCCTGTAATATTTGCATGTGCAAGTGAGCAACCCGTACAGTGCTCACTGTACAGTATACAGGCAGTCCGAAATCCCAATTCCGGATGCTCTACATCCATTCGCTCACTCACTCACTCATCCTCATTACGGCTTGTGGCACTTTGAGCCTGTCAGCGACTTGCGTGTGTCACTTATTCGTACCGGGGCCAATCACAGCCACCTCGGAGCCAGCGCCGTCGCAACCTCATGGCCTCAAGGGCCTCTAGCACAACGTCCCGCTCCCCTCAACGGCTGTCGACTTGATATCGCCGCTCGGCTAACACAAGCTCAATGAGTACACACGAGGGGCAACAGCCATCACTCCTGACATGTTACCTATCATCTTCTGACTAAGCCCACGTTTTCCAGGGCTCTCAGCCTCTCCATCCTTCCCTTGAGTCTGCTCGCTACCGTTACCGAGCTTTGTCGATTCATGTACCCTCACAAAAGAGTCTGGCGCTCCCTTCTTTGCTTTGATAGCCTGCCAGACTAGTCCTGATACATGTTGGTAGGCTGTCTCCCGTGCAATATTCCCCGCCTCCCGCGAGCGGGTCGATCGATATTGGCTGCATTGAATAGGATTCCTCACCCAGCCCGTGTGAGCAGGGAGTTTGTGCACGAGGCCGTAAAGCTTGCTCCGGCCGGTTGTCCTTTGCACATCCTGCGTGCCCATCACCGCGGGAGCGACGTCTGCAGGATCAGATCCCATGCTAGCTACGTTCAAATTACTGGACTTGGTGGGAGATATGAGGTAGTGCCTGATAGTTGGGTAGCAGCCAGCACTACAGTACTTGCAGAGAGCACTCGCACATGTGCTTGGCGGAGATTGTCATCGAGTCATACTATCTACCACCAAGGTTAACCATTCCCGATGGGCATCAAATTTTAACCATGCCAAGCATGCCTACCAGCTAGGTGGTAGTCACCGAGATAGTAGCAGTATTATGACCTCAGAGCAGGACGTAGGTAACACTCGTTACGGAGCATGCTCAATTTAAATCGGCGCGGAACACGATCCGCGGCATGGATCGACAAGAGCTCGAGCTGTCAGAACCGAAGAGTTGACGACACGATATCACATGGCTTTTTTGTCTCCTACTGTAAGGGGGGATTTCTGATATGCTATGGACCAATCTCTTTTGTATTAGTCGTTTATGCGACCAGCTCGAAATCCGCGGGGCTGAGTTTAAGTTTAATTAACTCTTGCCGCTTCAATGCCCCCATTGTTCTAGATTACCTTCACGTTGCTTTTGTGAGTGCTTACATGACGAAAGAATGGTAATTGCTGGTGGAGAAGAAAAGAAGAAGCAAGGGGAGGAGAGGGGAGGAGAGGAAACGAAACGACAAGAAACGAAACGAAAAGTTCTTTCCAGACTACGTTTCATGTCTATGCCATCAGCGTCAGATTAAGAACGTAATGACCTACATAAAGGCTGATGACTGTTATGCTATGCTATGAGTCTATCATTTTAGGTCATATGCTACCAGTAGCCGAGAAAACGTAGAATAGCTCTGGTCTCTGTTTCTAGGTATAGACTAAGGTGTAATCGTTGGATAGGTACCTACTTACGGTATTCGCGGAGTGCACTCGTCGAATGTTATATCTGTAGCAAGGATAACGTCAGCGTGTAGCTGGCTGATACAGTAACAGAAATCGACATACGAAGAGTACCTAGGTATTGAGCAACGGCAAAGACGTATTGTTACCTATCTCCAGCTACCGACTCTAAAGATTTTCCTCCTCATCCTTCCCGGAAATCTCCATTCGTACAGTGTAACACATCCCAAGCAAACACACACTTAAACGACTACCATCTTTACACAATCACGAAGCAATATTCTTTGGGTGTACAATCTTTTATTTCTTTCAAAATACCAAACACTCAATTATTGATGATGGATTTTTTAGATGCTTATAGGCTTATCAAGTACACAAAAATCTCGTCAGTCGTGAACAAATATGCGGGGGTATGAATTTCCTTCTTTCCTCAATCCTGCGCTCCTGGCCCAAGTCATTGGATATATGTGTGCAATAAGAAAAAAATGAAAAAGATGAAAAGGCCATGTGTTTTGAGAAAAACGAGAAGAAAATCACGGCGACATGATCAAGGTGCCCTTCCTGGGACAACCCAGGCAAATTATCTAACAGTAGAAGCGTGAAGTAAAAGGGGGAAATGAGAAAAAAAAAGAAAAGTTAATGTATGAAAAAAAAGAACTGCTTGTTACTCCGATCCCTACCAAATTACCAGATGTCCTCAGAGCTCTTAACCATCTCCAATGTTGGCGTCTTGGGCACCATTCGCTTCATGCGCTTGCGATCTTCCTTGGTAACCAAGCCAGGGGTGATTGGGACGCAAGGAGTATACGGCTGATACGGAGAGTACGGTACTGCGGTTCCGGTAAACGGAGTCATGCCGCCACCTGGTGATAGAGGGCCGGTTCTCTCAAAGACTGTCTGCTTGGTCGTCTGGGCAGTGACGAAAGGCGAACCCAGCTGCTCTTCGTAGGCACGAAGGGGCAAGGCTCCACCGGTTCGGACCGCAGACGGTGGGTTGGGACGGGAGAAGGAGGCACCGGGCCGAGGTGAAGACGGCAGCGAAGGAAACGTACTTCCGGGCTTGGGAGATGACGGAAGACCAACCAAGGGAGCCTGAGAGCTTTCCGTGGTGGCCGAATCGGGCTCTCTCTCGCCATACGGTAGCGTAGTCCTCGATCGATTGGCGCGGCCGAAAGCATCTCCAATGCGCTCGTCGATGGTTTGAATGCTTTCGGGAGACATATCGGGGGTGATGGGAGCACCCGACACCCTGGCGTTGGAGCCACCAAAAGGAATTTGGTCAGTTGGGATCGGAGGCGGAGGCGCGGGAGCGTAATGCCTTGGAGGAATGGCGCTCATCTCGCGAGATTCATGCTGAGGGAAAGTTCCCGACATGGGCGTCATGATGGGAGACGAGATGTTGATGCCCTTGGCCGCCTTCTTCTTCGGTGAGAGGAGCGAGGAAAAGAGAGCCGAAGTCTTTGACTGGGACTTTTCTTCTTTAGCCGCGGCCAGGTTCAACCCGGCAGGCTTGGCCTTGTTCTTCTTTGACAGCAAACCGGTCTTTGATGTGGCCGAGTCGCGCTGAGGGTTCGGAGAGGCAACTGGAGACTCGAGAATGATGCCCTTTTGCTTGGCCTCCTCATGCTCCATGACATATTTGTACATTTCTTCAAGCTGTTGTTGCGCCATGGCTCTGTCTGCTGCAACGACGTTTTGGTCTACAAGTGGTGAGACTCCAAGAGTGGAAGGAATAGCAGACGAAGAGGGCGATGGTAAAATGTATGATGCGGGATGCGCCTTGGGATCGAAGATGCGGGCGCTATATGGACCAGAGTGATAGTACTCGGACTTTGGGATGATCAGAGGGGGAACAACGTGGCCCTCGGGTTGAGCTGCGAAATCGAACTGCTGCTGCTGTTGCTGAAACTGCTGGAACTTTGGGTCTACCGGAAGTTGAAGAACGTAGCTGGGGATATCGTTCCCACTAAGATGTTCTCTTCGTCGTCTAGAAAGCGAAAGCAACAGGATGGCGACCAGCACCAAGGAGACTCCGTATGCCGCAATGATACCGCCAATCTGCGCGGGTAGAAACTTGGTGTCGTGAATCGGCGTTGCAGAGGCAGATGAAGGCCACAGAAGCACAGAGGTCAAGAGGGCGAGGGATGATGATGATGAAGGACGAGGACGAGTTCCAAAAAGCATGATGGAGACCGGCCTTGCTCTTATGAAGGCGATCGCTGCGTGATGGAACCTCCTGGCGTTGAAATGCGAAACATGACCCAAGAGAGATGTGACATGAGTGAGGAGAAATATGCGGCATGTAAAGGGTATTTAGACAGATAGAGTCGTCACAGCGGCTGGCGATGCTGGCCGGAGCAACTTTGGCGCTGGCTCGTGGGGCCGGGCGAGGATTGAACCTGGGCTCCCCAGCTTGCTGGTCTGTGACTGGCTGGGTGATGCATTCTGGCGGTTACATGGCGTCGACGAACTCAAGGCACAGAGAGCAGACGGAGAGGCCATCTCGAGCCTGTGGTTGGGCCGAAGCTGGTGGTTAAGCGCCGACCTGTTCTGTGACGGGCGCCACCGGGTGCTGATTGGCCGGTTGGAAGAGTCGATGCAAGGCACTAAAGCTTTGCTCCCTGCAGCGCCCCGCCTGCAGCCCACAGGGGAGGGGAGAGCCCTGAGTGATTGGGAACTGGACCTCCAGCTACTGTAATCAATTCCACGATACTGGACCTCGATTCAACCAAGCCACAGCCAACGTGCATGTCGGTTCTTTAGCTTAATAGTATAACGACAAGTACTGTAGTATTCTTAAGATCTCTTCTGCCTTCTTTTCTTTGTTCATTTCTCTCAGATTCAACAACATCGCTTACGGTATTATTCCCTCCATCACAGGCTATGATATGCAAAGCGGGCACCCGACGCTAAGGTGAGCAATTCGTTGCTAGCAATAGCCGCCGGCGCCGGTGCTCACACAAGCAGGACATCGGGACTCATCCCTGCTTCTCTGCAGTGACACCCGCGACGATTCGTCCAAATGCCTCCCCAATTAGAGCGAGCCGGCGATGAGGGCTGCTTAGAATAGCAGCGATAGCACCAGCTCCCCCTCCAGCCACTCCTGCTAGTGGTGATGGGCGCCCTGAACTCCAAAGCCCAGGTCACCCAAATTCGACCAACGAGGTGCCCGTCCTGTATGTCTCGTCACATCGCCAGGCACACCGCCGGAGCGGATCCGGGTGCCTCTTGGGCATGGCTGAATTGCTGAATTGTTGTTCTGCGAAGTGACTGAAGTGATGATCGACAGATACACCAATCGTGCTAACGGACCTCATCTTTGAACACACGAGTCACGCCATCTCTGGATTCTGGATTTGTGACGGCTTCAACTAGTCGTGTGATGTGAAGGCATTTCTCATCACCCATTCTATCACTCATCACTCATCACAGATAGCACAGATGGGCGCGTCTGACATTCACATTCACAATCATGAAGGATCATCGATGGGCTCTCTCTTTCTTCCATTCTCCCATTCCCTCATTCTGAAATCTCAAATTTCGAAATGGTTAAAATGGTTAAAATCAGTGCAGCTTCAAAGCCGTTAACTAATTGCGTTCCCATATGCTTACTAAGGCGCATCATTATGGTCACATGACTTCGCGATGCCGTGTTTGATGTTGGTTGCGCCGACGCGTTTCGACAGCGGCGTCTAGTATGGACGAGATTGATATGATAAGGCAAAATCACAATGCTTTGTTGAATTGAATGTACTTTTTCTCTATGTCTGTTGTATTGGAAATTCAGTCATCGTCATTTGCTTGGATCCGCAACCTCAGCTTTCGATGCCTAATCTCTGCTTCTTTGTTTAATACGCTGCCGCCTTAACCACCACCATGACAGCGGCCCAGGCTGAAAATCCAATCTTAAAGTCACTGAATGCGGCTCAGCGCCGTGCCGTTACTTCCAATGCGTCGACAGTCGCCATTCTGGCTGGCCCTGGCAGTGGCAAGACGCATACTCTAACGTCACGCGTCGTGTGGTTGGTCCAGCAAACCGGCTACCAGCCGTCAGACATCGTTGTTGCTACATTTACGGTCAAGGCGGCCCGGGAGATGAAAGAGCGGGTTGGAAAGGTCCTTGGTCCAGAATGTGAGAAGAAGATTGTACTCGGCACTTTTCATTCCATCGCGCGGCGGTACCTCAGTGCCTATGGTAAACACATAGGCCTCGACTCCAAGTTTGGTATTGCGGATGATGGCGATTCGAGGGCAGTTATTCAGCGTATATGCAAGCGGCACGATTTCAACATTGATCCAGGATACGCAAGGTCATGGATCAGCAAGAAAAAGGCCAAGGGCCACGCAGCGGAACCAGCCCCAAACAAGAAGCAGCCTGAGAATCCATCTCTAAACGAGTGTTACAGGGAATACCAGGAACACTTGGAACGATCGAATTTGTTGGACTACGACGATCTACTAGTGCGCTGTGTCGAACTTTTGAGGGAATATCCCGCCTGTGTTTCAAACATTCAGGCAGTGCTCATTGATGAGTACCAGGACACAAATGGCATTCAGTATGAGTTGATGAAACTATTTGCGCAAGCTCGCCAACGAATAACAATTGTTGGTGATCCTGATCAAAGTATCTACGGCTGGCGATCGGCCGAGATCCGAAATCTGTACCGTCTGCTGCGAGATTATCCCGACACCGATGAGATATCCTTGGAGGAAAATTATCGATCATCTCAGTCAATCCTCGACGTCTCGTTAACAGTCATTCAACAAGATAAGAAGAGATATCAAAAAGTCCTTCTGCCAGTCCATACAAAAGGTGCAAGACCAGTTTTGCGAAAGCTCAAGAGTTCCGCCGCGGAAGGAGACTGGATTGTCTCAGAGATTAAACGGGCTGTCATGATGTTTGGGGACATGCTCACATACGAAGACGTGGCTATTCTACTGAGGTCTGCCTCTCTCTCCAGACACATCGAGTCGGCATTGGGAAAGGCGGGGTTGGCCTATCGGATGATTGGAGGCCACAAGTTTTATGAACGGAAAGAAATCAAGATTTTGCTAGATTACTTGCGCGCCATCTATCAACCGGACAACAACGACGCCATTGCTAGAATCATTAATGTTCCGCGTCGAGGGATTGGAGACACGACGATCAAACGACTTATAGAAGAGGCCGAGCAACTGAAAATAAGTCTCTGGTCGCTCTTGAGAAAGCACTGCCAGGGCAGTCGTAAAGCGACGACAAAGATACTGCCCAAGATGGAGCAGAAGCTCAACACCGAGCTGCTGAGAATAATTTCAAACCTTCAAACTCAAGCCCAGCAAATCACAGAGGACACTCAACATACTCTAGTTGATCTAATTGAGAAGTTACTGTCACAGCTCGATTTTAAACAATACCTCGAGTCAGAGTATCCCGAAGACCATGAGCAGAGGTGGCAAAACGTTCAGGAATTCCTCAGCTTGGCAAATGATTTTGTACGAGATGCAGCAAATCTAGAAGATGAAATGCTACCTAAAATCGACAACGTCGATCAGGTGAAAGATGACAGCATCTTGGGCCGCTTCTTGGCAAACGTCGCGCTGGCATCCGATGCTCAGAAAAACGACGAAGGGGCAGAGAAAAAAGCAGTGATAACTATATCAACTATTCACGCTGCCAAAGGGCTCGAGTGGCCCATTGTGTTTGTTCCGTCAGTCTATGCCGGCTCCATCCCCCATTCAAGGGCCGAGGACCTGGACGAAGAAAGGCGGCTCCTCTATGTGGCCATGACCAGAGCACAAGCGTTGCTTTATCTCAGCTGTCCCTTGTACGGATCTCAGGGTATGGGCACAAAGGTCGAGCTATCACCTTTTGTTTCACCATTCGCCTCATCGGCCTTTGCCAAGCAAGGAGCATCGTTTAACAGACCAGTCCTGGAAGGGGTCGCAAAAATCCTTGGGAGGGAACTCCCCAGCGAGAAAGCAATCTTTGCCAAACTCCCGGCCATGTTCGCCCCAGAGGACAATCTGTTTCCTGTAGATCCAATCGACACTAGAGATGCGGAGGGTCTAGAAGACTCAGAGGGATATCGTCCAAAGGGCCCCAAGAGGCAGCGCTTAAACAACCAGAGCTATGGTAACGATGAAGAAGAAGCGACCGAGGAGCGGCCATGGAAGAAGGAATACAGCACAACCATGGAGCAAGCGTCCAACTTTACCATGGCTTCGTTACCCGGATTCATGTCGGCCGGAGCGCATCAAAACGCCCTCTCTGCGGCCGCTGCTGCTGAAGCAGAAAAGGCGGCGGCAGCCAAGAAGGCTGTCAAAATGGGAACAACTCGTCGAAAGGCAGACCAGTCCAGTCTTCTTGGATTTGTAACCACAGCGTCAAAGAAGCCAGCGGTTACAGGCGGCGGGTTCGGCGGTCCAGACGCGTCCATGGCTCGATATCAGCTTGCAGCATCTCGATCCGCAGCTAGAATGGCGGCCGAGACGAAGGCGCCTGAGCTCCCAAAGCTACCCGCCGTCGACCAATCGTTGGCGAAACACAAGCTCGCCAGCGGCAATGCCCTAAACAGGCCCAGCGTCATCAAGCAGGACGACGACGAAGGCTCTAAGCAGCGGTATCACTGCTTCTCCAGCTCTCCACCAAGACCAGCTGAAGCCGTAGACGTGAAAGAAGAAGAACAGACAACCACGCAAGAGCCTTCTGCTCCCGATCGCCCTGCCACGAGCTTTCACAGGACGACGTTTGTTTCTGCCGCTTCCAGGGGCGGCGTAAGGCGTCCGGTGGGCTTGGGTCCGCCGCCGGGACTGGATAGGCTTCGCAAGCCGTTTAAGCCATTGACGATAACGCGGCCCACGAAGCCGCAGTGAATGTTGAGTTATATCGGGTTATGTATGCGCATTTTTTGGAATGCTTGATTGTACCTGAAATGATGGGGCGCGTGGAGAGTGTTTATTGTGGCGTTGGGGCATAATGGCAAACCTTACGAATAAGCATAACGACTGGGCGGGAGTAAAGGTGGCGCGCCTACGTATATAAAGACCGTGATGAACTGAATGAAATAGAGCATCGGCATCAATTCAATCCATTAAAACAATAGACTCATCATCAAGCTACGCAATCAAACGCAAAAGCACTCAATTACTCATTGGTTTTTCTTGGAGACAATAAAAGAATACAATAAGCAAAAAACACATCATGTTCTCTACCGTCGCGTCGCGAGCCACCCGAGCCGCCTTTTCCACTTCGGCACGCACCCTCAAGCCGGCCGACGCAAGCATCTCTGCGTCTGCACGAAGCTGGAGGAATTTATCGCCTCAATCTCGCCGGTACATTGCATATGGAATTGCGACGTGCTTGGCTGTGGATGGATATCTCGTGTACAACTATGCGCCTTGGATCGTGGGTTTGGAGAAGAAGGATTAGGGAACAGCAACTTGTTTGCGGAGTGTAGGGTATGAGCAAAGGGTCTGCTATGTAGATTGGCAGAAGCAGTCGTTAGTTATACATTAAGTCGGATACTACTAACGTGAAGAGAATAATACATCGATTAATACAATCTTGATCTTGTCTCCTCTGCTTCTTTACCAGCTTAGGCGCTAAGGCGTTTGTTGGTTGGGAAAGCTCTCCATTTGATTTTTGAAATGGTACATGCCACTTCAGACGACTTTCGCAACCCAGCCCCATCTCAGCTTGAGCTTTTGCACAAGCCAAATGACAAGGGTTGTTTGTTTCTCTTTCTTTCCGGATGCAGAACCGAGGCTCATGTTGGGCAATCGGACATAATACTGTTCAAGGCGGTGGTAGAAATGCCAGTGTTGACACCCCCCGCTCGACTAAGGCATCGCGCCGATTCGTGGGATGGTGGAGGTGATGACGATGCCTCGCCTTGCACACACCGGCGAAGACAACGGGCGGCATTGGTTGCCTGTACCTGCTTTTAGAGATTCACGTCTGACATACGACGCTCACGATGACGTGGTGATCTGTCATTGTATGTATCCGCTGTCTTGGCTCTGTATGCAGATCTTTGACTCGCTCAAGGAGAGCCAGACCAGAATGCCAGATTGGCCGGTTTTCTTCCCTGCTCCATCGCCAAAAATACTCGAAGTCTCGGCAGACACAGTGGATTCGAACTGGCATTTGCCCAATGGAGCCCGCGGATGGCGGGTGACCCAGTTCATCTATGTTAGCGGCCCTCCCCGCACTTTCAACCTTGATCTGAGGGGGGGCTGCCGTCACACAACCAACAGCTCAGCACGCGCAACACTTTGTTTGGATCTGCCATCCAGACCTGTCTCGTTGCGCGATGTGACGACAGTCGGCTGGCCTAGCCGTGCTCAACTGCATGTCCGGACTCGTATTGGCCTTCTCTGGGTGCTGCATGATGGCTAAGAAGCTGAGCTGCTGATGCTACGTTGACCGTCCCACCGGCCGGTGCCCTCCTAGATGTAAGGTGTCAATTGTGAGTGCTGCGCAGAACGGGGTCGCATGAATGTCGATAGCAATCAATACGACCTTGGGTGTGTCGCTTGGAGTTACTCGTGGTTCTTTCGTCTGTTGTCGATATGATGAGGGTTGACCCGACTCCGAGTATTTGTCATTATATGGACATGCAATTCGAATCTCAAGTGCAGAATCCCAAGTGTAGAAAGGAGTTGAAAGAAACAGCTGGAGAAGGCTATTCGCTTAATACGGAGAATACCTTAGTTAAAATAAATAAAATACTCCATTGAATATCGCAATTACGCATCATAGCTGCCTTTTTCACGACGCCAATTGTATTGTCCCAGAGCAGCCTTCCCCAGCGGGATCTGGACTGCCGCTCTCGCTAACCCCACAAGGGCAGTATAGCTCCGCGTATCGGGACTAGCGGTGCGGAGCTTAAAGTTGGAGGGCAGCCGGGCATGCCGCCCTTTCCTTGGATGGCATCGCCATGTCTTAATGGGCAGGAGCGGAACGCAAGCTGCTTCCCTTACAGTCAAGTGATCCGTGCCGATACTACAAGCAGAAGCATTGATAGACAGTTCACGACTTTTGGGCATTAATTTCACGTCTGCCTTACCTTGCCTATACTATACTAGGACTACTCAACTGAACTGCGCAGATAAATAAGTACTGCATGGCCGACTCCTCACAGGGAGAGCTGGAGAAACTGGCTCCTCTCCCAACTGCGGAGAAAGTCAAGTCGCCAGCTCCGGCTCTCGAATCTCCAACCATGGCGTTGCTCTTTACCGGCAGGGCCCGGTCGGCGCTCTCCATCTTTAGCATCTTTGCTCTCCTTTCCGTGGTGCTGTTCGGCGCCATTGCTACGGCTCAGCCCGGCGGGAAACTGCACAAGTTCCAGAAGCTCGCCGATGCGGATCGTCAGTCGTATCTCATCGGCGTGGGCAAGGCCGATATCACAGGCCCGGTGGTGGAGATTGGCTTTGCTGGATATGCCAACCTGGACCAGACGGGATCTGGCCTTCGCCAGCGTCTCTACAGCCGTGCTTTCATCATTGCGGACAAAAACAATCCCAGTGACCGCTTTGTCTACCTGGTCCTCGACACGCAGTCCGGAGACACTGCTATGCGGAATGGCCTCCTAGACGGTCTGAAGGCGCTAGGCAGTGACTATGCCGTCTATGGTCAGAACAATATTGCTCTGACGGGAACTCACAGCCACTCTGGCCCCGGCGCCTGGTTCAATTACCTGCTGCCACAGATCACGTCCCTTGGCTGGAGCCAGCAGAGCTACCAAGCCATTGTCAATGGTGCTGTCCTGTCTGTTCAGCGTGCCCATGAGAGCCTCCAGGAGGGCTATCTCGATGTCGGCACAACGGATATTCCCGATGGAGCCATCAACCGCTCGCTTTGGGCATATCTCAACAACCCAGAGGAGGAGCGAGCCCAGTATGACGCGGAAACCGATATTACCATGACTTTGCTTCGCTTCCAGCGCGCTTCTGACGGAAAGAACATCGGTGTCTTGTCATGGTTCCCTGTTCACGGCACTTCCCTCCTTGGAAATAACACTCATGCTGCCGGTGACAACAAAGGTGTTGCTGCATGGCTCTTCGAGAGTGCTATGAAGAATGACGCTACAGCTGCGGATGGCTTCGTGGCAGGCTTCAGCCAGGCCAATGTTGGCGATACCACTCCCAATGTTCTTGGTGCTTGGTGCGACGACGGCTCTGGCCAGCAGTGTAGCCTCGAAAACAGCACTTGTGCGGACGGTAAGTCGCAAAGTTGTCACGGCCGAGGACCCGAGTTCCAGGCCTTGGATCTCGGCGCAAAGAGCTGTTACGAAATGGGCCGCAGGCAATTTGCTGGAGCTCAGACTATCTATGTAAGTGATGTGTCTTTTCTGCTTGCTTGTTTCCCTTTCACCTCACCTATACCCATCTATATATTATTTCAATGGAAAAGGAACTGCAACTTACGAAACCATAGGACAATCTGAAATCATCTACTACTTCAGTTTCTGGATCCACGGTCAAAGCCTTCCACTTCTTCCAGGATATGCGATACTTTAACTTTACGTTGCCAGACGGAACCAAGGCTCAGACTTGCCCGGCCGCTCTCGGCTTCTCTTTTGCTGCTGGAACTTCTGATTGGCCCGGCGCTTTTGATTTCGTTCAAGGTGACTCTGGTGCGCCAAACAACCCTTTTTGGTCACTTGTTGGTGGCCTTCTCAAAGCACCAGGCCCCCAGCAAGTTGCGTGCCAGCAGCCCAAACCTGTTCTTTTAGACGTTGGTGAGATCTCGACGCCATACGCCTGGACGCCGAATATCGTGGACATTCAGGTGCTCCGCGTAGGCCAGCTTGTCATTATTGTCAGTCCTAGTGAAGCTACCACTATGGCTGGCCGGCGCTGGAAGGCCGCAGTTGCACAGGAAGCAGCCACATTCCTTGATGAGGACCCCATTGTCGTCTTGGGTGGCCCAGCGAACAGCTATTCTCATTACTGCGCAACGCCTGAGGAGTACGATATCCAGCGCTACGAAGGAGCCTCAACCCTCTTCGGTCGGAACGAGCTCAACGCCTACATCAATCTCACCGTCAGCAACTTGCACTACCTCCAACCTAGCTCGACCAGCAACCCCTCCCAAGGTGTCCTCCCTCCGGACAACCGACAGAACATGATCTCATTTATTACCGATGTTGTCCAGGATAACGCACCGCTGGGCAAGAGCTTTGGCAACGTTTTGGTGCAGCCGAACCTGACGTATAATATCGGCGATGTCGTCAACGTCACTTTTGTGGGTGCCAACCCACGTAACAACCTCCGCCAAGAACAGACCTTTGCGGCAATCGAGCAACAAGGCAGCGGCGGAACATGGACGCAGGTACGTGACGACTCGGATTGGTTCCTGGTCTACACCTGGCGAAGAACCAATTTCATCTTGGGACAGAGCGAGGTGGACATTACTTGGGAGACGTATGGCAATGCACAGCCGGGAACATACCGTGTCAAGTATTACGGCGACTCCAAGGCACTGTTTGGAGGAGTGTCGTCGTTTGTGGGAACAAGCAATAGTTTTACGCTCAAGTAAGGTAGAAGTTTGTTTAGGAAATGATGCTTGAACCTTGAACTGCTATGCTGCATGAAAGAAGACTAGTGTACATGTTTTCTGTTTTGACCCTTAATGTTGAGACAAGGCATTGGACTAGACAACGACTATTGATGGACTCGTGTGAGTGTTCTCTGTGACTCTATGCTATAATTGGAAAAGCATGTCACTAAGGCTACTTGCTGATTATGACAAAAATGCTTTGCTTTGCTACATGACGCCAATGGCACGGGTAGCCTCCTCTGTTGTGGATACAGAGGGACGAGGTGAGAAGAGGACTTGATAGGTTCATGGTACAGACATGGGAAGCTACGTCCCGTTTCTCCCGTCTTCCTTCGTATACTTGTTTACCTGACGCTCATGGCGGATGAGGCTTCGTGACACATAGGGGGTGGTGTAAGAGACCTGACCCGGGAATTCGGGACTGGCCTCGTACGACGGGATTGAACGGAGCAGTGTTCAATGGAGCAGTGTTTTTATGAAAGGGATTTAGTTTGAGCTGCTTCCGTTTGTTGGTCGGTTCGTCGTGGGACTGAATGCACTTGGCCGATATTGCTGCTCTCATGTATATTCCCGTCTAGTCTAGTAAAGTTGTGGACTTTTAGTCTAGAGACGGGTATGGATGAGACGGGATCGACGGGTGTGTTTGGATTTAAGCTTACGCTACAAGGTTACGCGTGATGGGCGGTGGGAAGTTATGCTTCTTTTCTTGTCGGGGTTGATTGGAGTGGTGATTCTATCATGTTGTTTCTCAAGGATATCGGCTTGGTCTTGTTGTTTCTTCTAGATGATTTGGTATGGATGCTTCTTACATTGATTAGCACAACTTACTGATCATTATTTTTCACATGCCGTCTTTCCCATGAGGTCGTATTCGATCATTTCATGATATCTTCCTGTAAACATCAGTATATGCCGTGTGCATCCGGTTGTGTTGTAGCAGATGGCGTTCTCTCAGGACGGCAGGGGCCATGTATGCACGACATATAATGTGCTGCTTGGATATTCAGATAGGAAGATGAATCGATCCCAAGCTGATGCCCTGCCATGTACTTACTTGCTGGGGCGACTGATTCCGTCTATCTCAAAATTAAAAGTGCACTTCCGGGACGGCTGTAGAAGCCCGACGACGACGGCACAATTTGCGTGATAACGTTCTATCCACGCATATTATCCAATAGTCACTCAGAATTGTCCGCACGAGTTTTTTTCCGCAGCAGTGACTAACCAGTCAAGCATATGCAAGCCACCTTTTCTCTTCCCACTCCCTGCGCCGAAGTCGCCATGTCTATTGGATGGGCACCAAGCGGCCTGACGGCACCCAGACGGGAGAGGGTGGCAGCACGCGGCGAAGAAGAAAAAGCCAGCAAACTAGCTGAGAAAAGGGGGGGAGTTAATTTAGATTCACGTCAAGAACATGATCTTGTGTTATCCCGACAGCAACGGGATGAACACGGAGAGGTCTTCTAGTGAGAGTCGAGAGGCATATTCCCGCTGGGTTTCGAAGCCTCACTTTCTTTGGGGTTGGGTGCAGCTTGTCCGCTTGCAGCCGCATAGATGGCATTGTTCATGTCAAACATGATGGAAGATGGCCACGTACAGAAACTTTGGCCAACACAACCTGTGTGACTTCGTTGTTACTGCAGTCTGTGGAACCAGCTATTGTTAGACATAGTGCCGTGTCTTCCTCCTCCCTTCCCCATAGCCTGACCGAATGGTTTTTGACTCCATGTGACTGGGACGAGGCAAACAACAACAAAAGTGTGAAATACAGCTTGGTTGTGCAGCTTTTTGGGGTTGCCAAATCATGTGCGCCTCAACCAAGGCTAATGAGGCGAGGGGGAGCCATGGGGTGAATCCTGCTCCTCGGCAACTGCGTGTGAGATGCCAACAAGAGACGATCTCTGTAGACGCCGTATTTTTCTTCCACTTCTGGCATCTGTTCAAACCCAGGAGCTCTGAGAGCTACATGATTCATTTGAGCACTTGGCTAGTTACGGGCAACGCACGTACAAGTCAGTAGTCAAGCGCGCCGTGAGACCAAGCAGATGGCGATGTGACATTTCGCTTTTCTGCAGGTCTCGGCTGGCTGCCTCCTGCAGAGCGTCCTGGCTCACTCGTGACGTCTTGCTTTCAGGGCGCCGCCTATTCATCACCGACTCTTTGGCCAAGGATAAATCATGGCGTATCGCTTAACTGACTGGGACCCAATACTCTATTCAAGCCTCTTCCGCCTCGCTCACCGACTGCAAAGAAGATCAAGCAGCAAACAAGCGGCTCCGGCTTCCGGCCCACAAGGCGGTGCCGCGAGCCGTCGTTCGGAAGCGAGGGGCCAAATGCCAACGGCATTGCCAAGTACACGACGGTTTGTTGTCAAGACATGATGCCCAAAGAGACAACATGGCGCGAGGATACTAGGGAATCCCGCGGCCCAGGTAAATTGCATTACCCCTTTTGCAGCCACCAAACGGATACTATTTTAGATGATAAAAAAAAGGAAGCAGTTCCCAGACCCGAGTCCCGTTGGTGTGCAATTTGGTGCCTAACAAATACCTGTACAAGTACGTACGAGTACGCCCAAAGATACGTGGATGCCAAAATGATGCCTTGTAAAGCAATCTGCGAGTTGCGTCAAGTGGGGGGCCTCCTTCGCGGAACGGCTTGGAATACAAGGGAATGGAAACACGGGTGGTTGAAGACAGAGGAATAAGCTGGAAAAAGGAAAGAGAGCCATTACAAGTGGCTAGGCGCCGTCTTTGTGCGCGCTCGGCCGTAAGTGTTAACCTACCTATGTGCTCGTAGTCATCTCATCCCACAGGTGAGACCCCAAGCAGCCAAGCAGGCGTGACACAATGTCTTGCGTCGTGCAGCGCGCAGATGATATCACGAGGATCGTCCAGTTCCGAGGGAACAAAATGGCCGAATCTATGTAGCGGCTCGATTTCTGGCGACGGGCTGCGGGGCGGGAGAGATCTTTGCGCCAGGGATGCCTTAGTAGATGGTGCGGTATGGTTAAGATTTGAGTTCTTCGCTGGGCCTGTCGTACTAAGCACCTCAATGCGACATGATTCCAGAGCGTCGGCTCCTCTCCCATTGTTTCAGTCGGTTGGTAATCTTCTCATGATCTGCATCTCCTTTGGATGGCTCGAGTGTTAGTGCGCGAGCTGCGAAACGAAATTTCAAGTACGTACATGGTTCCAAATGTCATATAAGCGCAAATGGTTACACCTGAGCAATGTCTCAAATCTCCTTTTCTTCTCCGCACCGGTGTGGAAGAGGAAGCATAATCCCTTCGCAACCCCAGCATCTTCTCTCCACGCTACTTACGGAGTAGGTAGTACGGTTGCGCGTGTACTTCTTGGTACTTGATCGAGGCGCCGAATCTGCGTCGTGTCGTGTCGTCGTGTGTCGTGTCAACAGTTTGGCGCAATGCGCAGAGAGAGAGATGAAATCTGCCTATCCACATATTGCTGTGCAAGAGATATCAATGCGTCGCACAACATATATGAATATTGTGCCTTGGGACGACAACAGCCATCATATAGCTCCCTGCTTGTTTTTAGGTATGCACACTTTAGTCACGTACACACTCACATACCTATATACTAGGCTGCCTTCGTGCCTTACTTGGGCCTTTTAGGGACGCACACCAAGGCCGCGGTCCTTTTGAACTGAATGAAGCAGCAAAACAAGATCAAGAGACCCGCTCTGATGCCCAACTCACGCCCCTTTTCGGCCTATCGTCAGTCAGTCGTGTGTGCTTAGTTGTCACCGTCAGGATGCCCCGCCGTCATCCCGTGCTCACTTTTTTTTTTTTTTTTTTTTTTTTAACCCTTCCCTGCTGCTTTCTTTTTTTCGTTGACTTCTTAGCCTTTCCCTCCCTTCCTTCGGGGCTTAGATTTTCGACCCTTTGTACTCCGTATTGTACAGGTATTGTTGCGTGTATGTATTGATACACGATTCCAGGCGCAGGGTTGGAAGCAATGCGTTGGCACTTCGCTTTTAGATCCCCAGAGTCGAATGGTTCAGACTTCGCGATGCCGCTTGAGTGGGTGGTAGTACATGGCATACAGCGACTTCAGCCTTAACACGCATTAAGTGGCATCACCGCTAATGCAGTCGTCGTGTGCTCCACAGACCTGCACCACAGAACTGTAGTACATTCGTGTTTAGCTGACATTGAGATCCTGCGGTATGGGCTCCAAACGCGGGTGGATCACCAAGAATAAATGACCGCTCCAAAATGAAGGAGGCGGAAGAGGAGAGACAGTCTTCTGTGACAGAGTCGTGCTGAAAAAGAAATTAATCGGCGCCAACGTGATGTGGGCTTCTCATCGCTGGACATTCAGACGCTGTTTTCCCATCTGCCACTCGTGTTGTGATGGTATTATGGCCTAGCAGCACCGAGTACTCGTAATCCGCAATTTTGCTCTACACAGAGGTATCGACCAGCCTAGTAGGAACTAGTAATTGTCAGCTGGACCTCCTTCGATCTACTACTCACGTCTCCAGTTGGTTCGTCGCCTAACACATCCACGCCAAAGGCATGTGCACTTTGTATGTATATGTGCGCGTATGCACATATAACAAACGCCCATAGATGCACGCCCGCCCTGCCAGCAATCTCGGCATCCCAAGGGGGAAGCATCCTAGTGGCTGGCTCTTGCAACACAACCTCAGCGCATTCAAGAATACCACTTGGTATACGTTGACAGGTAGCCGATGTTGCAGACAGCCTCCATACCTGACGGCATATTGGTCCCAAGTAATATGCACGTATGCACCCATAGCTCAGGAGAGTGATCCCTTTCAGGTAGTCTCGCAGCCAGAACGCCGGTTCGGTTCCTCTCTCTTCTTTTTTGTTTCCATCTCTTTCTTTCCTAGCTTCCCCATCCGTATTTTCATACGTACCCACTCAGCCCTGCTGCTTAGATGGGAGGGGCCATGTATGTGTTTGCCAGCAACTGGTAAGCTGGCGACAAGGTGTTGAGACAACTCATCGAGCCATGAACTTGGTGCCCGGGATTGGGATCCGGCGGACACGCCGGCACCACCAAACGCCAGCAATTCTGAAAGCTGTACTCCGTATGACTCTGTATTTCTGGCTGACAGCGTGGATGGGACCTGCTCCGCACATGCATTAGCACTGCCTGGATTGCCTCGGAGTACAGTAAATGTTAATGGGTAGCAAACTTATAAGAGCCGCGTCACACGGACTGTCGACCGGGGAATCAGTGGTTCACGGCCGAGCTGGCATGAAGGTGAGTACGGAGCACGGAGTGGCTGGTTGCGCGACAGCGCAGAAACTTGGCTTTGACGGCTGCACACCCCCAAAGCATATTGGCCCAAAGCAGGAGTGCCACAGAGCCACAGTCGTATGCTTTGGTCGGCAGAGATGATACCAAGATAGGCAGAAAAAGAGATTTCAGCAGTGAGAGGATGAGCAGTGCTGATTTGTATGCACCAATTGTATCGGGTGGGTAAGGGTATTGAGGATGACTGAATCCCCCTGGTCGTTCGGCAGACGTATCAAGACTCAGAATCCAGCAGCGCCGATACTTGGGAAAATGGAGCCCGGTGTCGTCCCCCTTGTCAGCCTCTGCTGAACGGCTGTTGTATTGCTGAAGCTGGTGAGCGACGGATCAGCCATCGTGCCCATTGTGGCCCAAGAAGTTGTTTTTTTAGCCATCCATGCATGCAACGTGTATGTGGGTATGCTTCCTGGTGTGGGTGGTTTATATGCCTGTATGCATGGCCGCAGTACTTTGGAGGTGAAGTCGGAGATGCTCTATCACGACATGTCTATCTTGTCTTTCTTTCTGCCTGTCTTGTCTCTATTGCCTTTTCTCGATACCTTAGGCACCCAGCCTGTCTTTTGACGTCAGTACCTCTACATGTACGGTACCCAAGACATAAGACATCCCCATAATATTTGTACGCATCTCTGGTAAATGGAAAGTACAAGTAGCAGCTATCGGCAAGGGCGAACAGCTGCCTCCATACAAAATAGGTGCACTGACCTTAATCTGTCCGGTGTGGGGCTCGCCGGCAGTAGTGCCGCGTTTGCACGGCGGTGGCTTCCTCGTCTTCCTTGTCACTCCAGTAGGTCAAGGTACTAAATAGGGCCTCTGTAGTACGGGGTAAGGGGTATGGAGAAGTACGAGGTACTATGAGGTACTGCCCTCCACGCCGCGTGGTTTGAGCTGGGACCGGGTATCGAGTACGGGGAAGATACCTATTCAGAGTTGCCAGGGGCAGGGGCAATGACTTTGGACGTCGTCGTGCCTCCCATTGGCATGGCGGCTGAGATCCGGCCTAATGGCGCTAACAAGATGCATTGTGCCTGCCCTGTGTTTTCACTTTGGGATATCACTCGGCGGTGCCATCTTTCTACTCGTCGTGTGCTCTGCTGATAGGTTTTGATATTGCCGAGACCGAAACCTGTCCTGTATCAGCAACTTCATTATTCATTCGGAACCTGGAGAACGAACAAAAGCGTGTCTCAGACATCGGCCTCCGAATGTGGCCATGTCAAGCTCTCGCGCTGGGAATAGGCGAGCAACAAGACGGGACGAGATGAACGTCGAATGCTACCTCAACGCAGCACAGCACAGCACAGCACCTACAGCGCATCGCTCCCACACACACGCACTGACAATTCACACCCCACCCTCCTACTGGTAGACTCGAGCTCAACCTTGAAATTACATGGACTCCATCTATTGGCATCTCATACACCAATACTTTGCCGGTGCAGGGGAGTCAAAGTCGGGCCAGAAAAAAGAAAGCAGACAATCACCATCCACCGACCAGCCCCAGCAAATGATCCCGGCCCCATCACACTCGTCCGCCTCCAACAGAACAGCTGCTTGAATTGAAGCTTGCTTCTTTGGCCCCATGCCCGCCTTGTGCTCCCCATGCTAGTCGTCTTTTTTTAACCCCCGGTCCTGGGCTACATGTGGCAGAGAATCCAACAGCAGCGTCAGAAAAGTTAATGACCCTCTCTGCTTTTGCTTCTGCTCGGCCACCATCTCCCCCTTAACGTCGCCGATGGACCAGAATAGAAACCCAATGGACATATGATGGCATATAGAGAGACGCCTCCTTGTACGCCTTGCCGTCCATTGTAATATTTGTACTCCCCTTTGCCTTGACCGTTGTCTAGGCCCTCTTACATGCAGTCTGCCGCAGCCGCTCCGTGTCAAACACGCCAACCCTGAGCTGCAAGCATTGACAGCGCAATCACCACCTCGACGCCTAAATTTGATACCAAGACTCTCGTTTTTTTTTCTCCGGCCCGCCTGCATCTAATTCCTACTAGCTTCTCACCGGCTGCCACATCACACATACGGCTGCTTCTCATCTGCTGGGGCCCCCTAGTCCATCGTCTCGGATGATTCATCCTCGTCCACTTGTTCTCTCCACCAAGGTCAAGAAACAAGACCAGCCCCCGTCAGGCCGAGTCCACCACGATATAAGACATCGCGTCTGCGCCGTCTGAACCACAGACTCCTCTCTCTTTTCCATCCCGCCATCCCCAGACCAGTGCTTTGACTGTCTTGATCAACGCAAAAGTGCTCAGATTCACCCCACACGCCGCCTTTCCTGCTTTGGATACAGATACTCCCTTGAGAGTCGCCATCCATCCCTCATTCCAGACTTTCGCTCGATCCGCCATACTATATAATTCTTATAAATTCTGCCACACCTCACCTCTCTTCTCTTCGACCATTGGCCTCTTCGACGCTCGACACTATCATATACGCAGTCTTCTTCTCGCCCCTCTACTTTACCTCGACCTCGAGCATTTACACTACACCAATCACACTCATCCACCACCTAATACCCACAATGTCGTCCACCACCTCTTCTGCTTCTTCCTACACCTCTGGCTCAACCTGGCAAGAGCGCCTTGAAGGTACGAATGGCCACATTTGCCATTGGCCTTCATCTTGACACGACTGACCTGTTATATAGAGGCTTGCCGTGATGCTCAGATCATGCCCCCCACTTTCCAGATTGTGTCCGATCGCCGAGGTATGCCACACATTCCCTCTTGCTAACCATTAGGCATTTGATTGCATCCATTGGCTAACAGATTCTTGTTTTCTAGGCGGCCGAACAGCTTGGTCCAGCCAAGTCACAATCCGGGGCCAGACTCTCGCAGCACGATACTGGTACGATGGCAAGAATCTCAACAACGCCAAAGAAGATGCCGCCGAGTGCGCCCTGAACTGGCTGAGCAGGGCGGCTTGGTGAGCAGTCACCGCTACTTGCATGCCCAGTAGCATTGTTCGCTGGTGCAACGGAATTTTCGCTGCCCGCCACTACATGTCGAGGATGCAGCTCAATGCCTTGCATACCTGGCTTTTCATTCCTTCTCTTTTTCTACTTCTTTCGCTCTCTTTCCATTTTCTTTGTAGGGTTTCTCATCATGTTTGGAGTTGGAGTACAGAGAAAGAAAGCCTTCCACCGTGGGGTTATAAAGAAGACGGCTATGGGAACGGCGCAATTTGCAATTTTGCCATGTTTTGGAAAATTCTCTCTTGATAGATCGAGAATCCTCTCTCTTGACAGATCGAGAATCTTCTCTCTTGACAGATTGAGAATCTTCTCTCTTGATAGATCGAGAATCTTCTCTTGTGGCCTTTGCCTTGATTGCTCAATACCCTTGGTGGCCGCTCAGTCCCGATCAACAGCATTGTCGGTGGAAGATAACAAAAAAGGGCGGCACACGACCACAGAAATCCTTGTCACGCTGCGTTGGCATCGCGATTGCGAAGGTGGAGTTTATTGTATTGGACTAACGAACTTGTTCATTTGTCTGTTTTGTTTTGCTTTTTTGCTAGGGTTTTGATATGATTTTTATCTGGTCTGTTTTGGTTTGGTTTGATTTTATCAGTTGGGAGGGCTATTTCACTTCGCATTTCGATCTCAATATCAGGAAACACCAAAGACGAATGCTGGATTATGACGAATTCAAGAATGATGGAAGAATGGTGACTGGCGCATAGCCCAATAACGAGAGTGGAAGGTTGATACTAATAATTACCATGTTTGCCAATTCAATTAAAAAAAGGACTCTCCGCATTGGAATCGCATGACCTAGGAATGGGCCAACAAGTGAGCAGCTCCAAAACTGCTAGGTGGTATACTTGTGCTTCGTACACCGTAAAAGCGTCCGTATCCCAGACTTGAGCGAGTGGTTACGGTAGGACGAGGTCATGTGGCCAAGGAGGAAATGAGAGCCCCGACCTTGGCGTTCAAGGGATGGGCAGCTGCCAGTCAATGCTGTGGAACAAGCTGCAAGGATTGCTCAGATTCATCCGTCAAGCCATCTCAGATGAGCATGCAAGGATGGACATCGTAGCGGGATGACATAAGCGAGTTTGGAGCAGTGGGAGTTGGATTCGGCCCGGAATTGTTCCGATCGGCACAGCGATGGCGGATGGTGGGCGGCTGTAATTTTCATGGAGGGACATTGGAAGGCGATCACGCGAAAGTGTCGACGACGAAGAATTGCGCCTTGGGAGCCCATTCGGTAGCACGGAGCACCACCATGGCTTCAAGATTGAAGATCTGGGGTGCCTGCAGGACTCTGGCGGTCCGGACGCAGCCCGTCCGCCTTGCGGCTCAGCCATTCCTAGCCCAGGCTTCATCGACTCGATTCTATGCCGACGATGCGACCAACAAACCCTCCAATTCTCCGAGCGGTGCAAAGAGAGAAGCTTCCGGGTCGGTTTCGAAATCAGAATCGAGAAGTACCAAGGCTACTGAGGGTGCCTCTGGAGAATTGACCCAGAAAGCCTTGCAAGAGGTTGGATGGTTCCTCCCCTCCCCCACACGTAGAGTGTACCCCAAGTGCTGACCAGCTGGGAACGTAGACATCTTCATCACAAGCGTCATCTATTGAAGCGCTAGACGATGCGACCTTGGAACAAATATTATATGGCGGTCGACCCGTAACAAGTCAGCGGGAGGGCGGCTTGACAGAGGCGCAAGAGGAGGCTCTATATCGCGAGGGTGTCATTCCCCCACCAGAGCAAGCGGAAGCTATTGTTGCTGCCGGGTCACAGTCAACAGTCCCCGTTGGCACAGAAGTGCAAAACGCCGGCCATAAGTTTGGTCTTCCCCAAAAGCCCTATCCGGACGGGTTCCATGTCAAGAAGCGATACCACCCCGTGCTGGAGCAAATCACCAGGCTCCTGATGCGCCATGGAGAACTCAGCGTTGCGCAAAGAGTAAGTCATGATACAGACCGACATATTACCAGCTCAGAATACTGACTAGCTTTAGAACATGGCTTCTGTCATGAACTTCTTACGAACGTCGCCCGCCCCCATATACAGCCCGAAATTCCCCCTATTACCAGGGACTCCGCCCGCCGCCCACCTCCCTCTTAACCCCGTCCTCTACATCACAATTGCCATCGACTCGGTTGCGCCGCTCCTCAAAGTAAGGAACATTGCCGGCGCTGGCGGAGGTGGCCGTGCCCTGGAACTCCCTGTCCCCCTCGCCGTCAGACAGCGCCGAAGGATGGCGTTCCAATGGATCCTGGACGTTATCAACAAGAAGCCTTCGAAGGGCAGTGGGCGAAACCAGTTTGCCCATCGGATAGCTGAGGAGATCATCGCCGTGGTGGAGGGCAGGTCGAGTGTCTGGGAGAAGAGAAAGCTAGTACACAAGCTTGGCACTGCGGCTAGAGCCAACGTGGGGTCCAACAAGCTGAAGACGAAGAAGAAGAAATAAACGACATGATGCGACGGCGGATTTGAATGTATATTAGATGTGTATTCTACGGCAGCGAACTAGAAAAAAAAAAGAGGTGGGTTCATGATAGGCTTTGAATAGGCTTGTACATTACATTAGGTAGTAGAACAACCTGCGAAACCAAGTCAAAGCAAAAACAGTATCAGTTTCAACACTTCAACGTATGTATATATTGTCCATTGAATTGATGCTTTTTATATGCACGCGCACTGCAAACACTGGCTCCATATCAAGTATAGATCAGCATATAAATGCACATCACGACGCCCCTCAAATCCGGCCTGCTGTAGGCCTATCGCCTGCATGTGACCAACAGCCCGGCTCTAATTCATAAAATACGCACACCCAAAATGTAGAGCAACTGGGAGGCCGGCCCCCGATCCGGGTAGATCAAGCCCATTTTTAAGGTTAATAGGACCAGACAGACCAAAGAATAGTCAGTCGCACGTTACCACCAAAAACACCCAATGAGAACACTCTGAGGCCAGCCGTTTAGCGGAGTAGCACAGGGCAGTGCAAAACCATCCAGGGCAATTTGATACAAATTTACTGAAGCGGGCACGGAGTTGAGTTGAGCCATACGATACTTGCAGGCTGGGCAGGTTACACAGTGAGGAGCGATAAGCTTCTGATTCTCCTCGTTTAACGGCGGTGGCGAAGAGGTTGAGGCTAGCATTCTCGTTGGCTGGAAAACCTGCCCCCTTTTTTTCTGACCAGGTATGCACGAGGGCATGCAATGCGACTTGCTTTGCTCCCTTGCGTCCCCGAATTAAACTTAATCGCGATGCTGCTGTGCTGCCGTGCTAAGGGAAAGCCACGGGCTGCTAACGAAAGGCCGGGCTTGTTTAGGGGCGTTGGGGGCCAAAGATGAATTCTCACGACGGCCCTCATCGCCTCTATGTAAAGCCTGGGCATCAAATTGGATGGATTGATGTCTAATAGCACCCGAACCTTAACAGCACGTAGTTGGAGAATAGGCAGTAGACTAGCAGTACAGTAGCAACATAGTCCGTCCAGTAGCTTCAGGACCTGCTAGCACAGCTTGTTCCGCTAAACGGAGCTTCGTCACTGCCCTACAAGCCCCTCCTCTCTCACTGGAGCTTTTTAGGCTCCCCCCAGGCTCTCCATCTTCTCCCGTCTCGGACCTGCTCCGGCTATCATCTTCTAGACGTGCAACCACCGACTCCAACAGACCTGGTCAAAACAAAATCTACCAGGTAGCACAGTTTATTTGACGCATTTTCACCCGCCCTCAACCAAGTGCCGCTGAGAATATCGCTACAGCTGCAGCCGCTGAGAGGGGAACAGAATATCAAAATTCGAAAATCACACTCCAAGAAGAAAAAAGGGCCCACAGCTTCCCCGTCTTCTCTCCCCTTCTCCCTCCCGGCTCTCCATCGTGTGCCTCACCGGATCCAAGTCCGCTCCTGAACATCGTCCCATCGCCCAGCGCCTGCGCCATGATCTGAGAGGCGCCGCGCACCCGTTGCTTAGCCGCTTTCCTGCTCATGCACAATGCTCCTTTGGCCTCCAACTCGGACCCAATCGACTCGCCGTCGACTTAATCGAAAGCTGCCCCGCTAGGATTTGCGGCGGCCTCCCACCCGTTACACATTCCCCATCGAAGCTATCGCAGCATCAATCTACCGGATCCTGCCGCGGCGAGCAGCACGTGTCTAAGGGCGTTGAGAGCAATTAATTCGGCACATCGGCCGTCACCCATTGCCTGCTCGCGGGCCATCGTCTTCCGTCTCCTGTCCTCGACAACAGCGATTGTCTGGACACATCTGCGATAACAATCGTCTCCTATCCTACAAACAAGATACAAGCCTGCCGGCTTCAACCGTCACCATGGCGAACAACAATAATAATAAATTTCTTCCCATGAGTATCGATGCCATGCTCGATATGGAGCGGCAAGAGGTTCTGGCTCTGCTGGAGCGATCTAATGAGGCTCCTGCTCCGTCGGCAAGGGGCGGTCGGTCAGATTCGCCGTACGCAGCGCGTTCTCCAGTTCGGAGCATGCTGGACATTGCCGAAGAGGAGATCCCCCCTGGCAGCACCTCTTCGTCTTCCAACAGGACTCCCACTGCCACTCAGGGCCCAGTGAGAAGCATGCTGGATGTTGATGCGCCGCCCTCTCCACAGCTGGTCCGCAGCATGCTCGATGTTAGTGGCCCTGTGCCGGACTCTCCTAGGCGGACGGGTAGAAGCTCAACTCCAAGCTCTCCTCTGATGCCCCCCAGTGAACCCTTTAGACCGCAACAATCCTCTGGTTTGGCGCCACATCCGCGAAGTAGATCTGATGCTAGCATCAAGTTCGCCGAGCCTGCACGTGGCCGCCGAAACGATCCGATTGCCAACTACCAGTTTTCTAGTATATACTCGCATGGCTCGGGTTCCCAATCCTCGGTGAAATGGTCGTCTTCAAGAAACAGCAAGCGAGAGAGCGGAGGGTCCCTAGGAGATGTCTTGAGAGGCTCCGACAG